TGTCACTTCAGACTGCAGTTGGTGCTCAATGACAAATTCGAGGCCTTAAATTCTGAAGTCCAGCCATGCTCAGACAGCAGGCTTTTGAAAACATACTAGATCCTTGGGCTGGAGTGATAGCACAGCGAGTTGGGCGTTTGCCTTGCACGTGGCCGACCCAGGTTCAATTCCCAGCAGCCCGAAGGGTCCCCCGAGCACCGCCAGGAATTAATTCCTGAATGCAGAGCCAGAAGTAACCCCTGTGCATCGCTGGGTGTGACCCAAAAAGAAAAAAAGAAAAAGAAAAAAGAAAAAAAAAGGCTAGACCCCCAGGCTGATGCCCAGAGCCAACTGAGCTGGGCATGCCAGACCTGGGCTTGGCCTATCCCATCACTGCTTGGGGACCTCCTGCTCCAAAGTGTCTATCAGAGGCCAGCGTGATAGTACTGGGTGGACACTGGCCTTGCACACAGCAGACCCGGGTTCAATCCTCAGCATCCCATATGGTTCCCTGAGCACCACCTGGAGTGATCCCTAAGCGCAGAACCAGGAGTATACACCCCGGGTACCGCCGGGTGTGCCAATTGTCCCTCGACAGTGACCCAAGGAGACCGCTCTGGGCACATGGATGTGTAAGGCCCAGGCTGGATCCCACACCCTGGGTCTCGAGCACTGGACTGTCATGTCAGCACCGAGTGGCTCCCAGGCACTGCCGGGCGCAACCCCAAATTAAAAAAAAAAAAACGTATTTCCTGAACTTTGTCATAATTGCGGCTAATCAGGTTCAATGAGTCTAAGGAGCACCATGCCAAGTCTGGGAACTGGCAGGGAGAACGGGGCTAAGGGAATGCAGAGCCAAGGTCCCCCTGGCAAGCAGTAGGCACCACCGCAGCCTTTTCTTGTCGTTATAGCCCCCCACCAAGGACGCCTGCTTACAAGACTCATGTGAGCACCTTCACTGCTTGGGACCGGGTGAACTCCGCTGTGCCAAGGTGTGGGTACTTGTTACATCACTTTGCGGCCACACAACACAGGTAGACAGGCTGGGCATCCGATGGGAAGCACTTGTCTGTCCTGTCGTGGATCAGGCTGGAAGGTCCCCCTGTTGCTTTACAGCCGTTAATGGGTCCAGAGTAAGCAGCAAAAGTCTGCCCATGGGGAAGCAGGAGAGCATGAACCCGACTAATGTGCCAGCACCTGGGGGGGATTTTGCTACTTCCTACTCTGGGGTCCCGGGTTAGTCTGTGATGTTCAGCTGAATGCAGAGGAGGGACGTGCCAACCGTCCAGGTCAAAAAAACTGACAGGGATCCTGGCGGCCATTCAGAACTTGGCCTTCTCACTCAGGCATGGAGCGATGGCTGCGAGCCTGCCTGACTGCAGCGAGACCCCGAGGGCGGGACTGAGGAAGAGGGCCAGCATGTGCTCAGAGCCGTGTGCAGGTCCTCTCCTGCCTCTCCAGAGAAATCTTCCACTTCTCAAGCCCCAGGGTCTGAAATGCCAGGCACAATGGGCAGTGACCAGCAGAACGTGGTGTCCCTTAAGACGAGGGGCCACCAATCAACATGTGACTTGAGAGGCACACCTGGGAACACGGAACCTTTGGGGTGCAGACCCCGCGTCCCGTGAATAGTCAGCTCGTCTTCAGGAAAGGGGACTGAGCAGGCCACAGGATAGGAGCAAACCTCTCTCCCCCGAGCCTCCAGGGTGCAGGGATGTGGCTGGGAACGCCATAGCCTTCCTGGGGATCACGCCTCTGGGGCCCCGCAATGCCAGCGGGCTGATCAGGGAGAAGGGACGGGAGCAGGGGTGTGCCACGTCTGCCCACACACACCCTGGTTAAGCCCGCATATGGAGGCTACCCAGGCATAGGGCACAGCGGGCAGCAGAGAACCCACCCTGAAGGGCAGAGCCCGGGCGCCCACGTTGTTCCGTTGGTCATCACTTTGGAGAAATTTAAGGCACGTTGCAAGCTGTATTTCAAATGACCCATCTGAACACAGCCCGAGCAAGCTGGAGCGATCAAGACTGCACCTCCCCCCCCCCCCCCCCCCCCCCCCCACCGACCCATGCTTCTGTAGTGACGAAAAGCATCGTTCATCCAAGGCTGAACTTGAGGAAGTGTCCTTTGTGGAGAGTGGGTTAGTCCCACCGAGTGCCACGGCAGGGTTAGGAAGCAAGGCAGTAAGGCAATAACGGTGCAGGCCGTCACTACGCCGGAGACGGAATTACACACACCTGCGAGCCTGGGCTGGAAGGCATCAGGAAGCGCCATACGGGCACGCCACACAGCTGTGGACTTGACACTCCTCCTGGACACACACAGACACGAATGTCGTTGCAGAAACCCGCGGTGCTGAGCTTCAGCTCAGGATGACGACCACTTCCCACGCTGGAGCACTAGGCATCAGGTCCAACCAACAGGCTGCAGCTGTGCTGGGAGTGTGGCCTCTGGGCCACCAAGGACCGGTGGGGCGGCGCCCCATTCTAGACGGGAGCCGTGATGCCTTCACTTCGAGGGAGTGACTGCCTGCCTTAGAGCCCAGTGACCACACACGACTCTCCTGAAAGGAACACTGAGGGTCCAGGATCCCAGTTCAGACTGGCACCGACAAGGCTGTTACAGGCCATCAAGCGCAGGCCCCCAAGAGCACCTTTGACATGACCTTCACCGGGCACCCTCCAATGCACCTACCTGCCTGCCGCCTGCAGGAAGTCTGACCCCGACAGGGGGCGGCAGTTCAGAAACAGGCTCATTTGAAACTGCGTCTTTAATCAGGCACACACATTTAACTTTTATTAAAAACAAAGCACTTCGTCTAAAATAGATTTTGGCTTTGCTGGTCGAGTTGCAAATAGTGTCTGTAAAATGACATACTACAGCACGTCCTGAGTATCATTTTATTATGGTTTTGATGAAGAAAAATGGGTTGCTGGCCAAGGCTGAGGGACGCGGTGTGGCTTGTCATTAAGTCTGTTTCCAAGAACCCAACAGCAACAGCAGGCATATTTGATGTCATTTCATAAAATGGTTGCCCTAGGAGAAAGGTACTGAAAACAAGGGCACCAGGGCCTGTCTTGAAGCAAAAAGTGCCTGGCATCGCCACCCCTCACCCCTCCTGCTGCTGTGTGAACTGAGGGGGGCAGGAGAGGCCCTACCGCAGATGCCTGGCCAGGAAAGGCTGGGACTACGCGACACACAGCAGCACACGTGCCACAGCGACCGGAGTGTAGAGCAGAAAGGGGGCACAGCCTCTGCCAGGCCCAAATGCCGCCATGCTGAAGGCAGGTCAGGAGCTGCCGGACGTCAACCCAGCTGGAGTCCCCAGGTGAGTGGCAGCAGCAGCTGCTGTGAGCACAGTGGGAAGCAGCATGGAAACACCCCTGGGCTGGGCCCTTCCCTATGCCTGACTTAGAAAATGCCGGCACCGAGTTAAGGTGGGATTGGGGTTAGTAGCAAGGACCAGCAAACGAGAAACAACATGCCTGAACTATCTTGCCTTGGCCTTGGGGGGGGGGGAAATCTTTCATTTTTTCAAATGACTGGGAGCAAACAATATGCAAAACATGATTTCAAAAGAGGGCTGGGGACATCCCTCGGTGGCAGAGCACTGGCCTTGCATGCAGAAGGCCCTGGGTCTGACCCCAACACACACATCAACTTAAGTGAAATTCAGAAGAGTGAAAATAACCAAGAACGCAAAAAAAGGAGCAGGATCGAGACGAACATCCCATGCCGAGGAAGTGGACCCTTAAAGAAGCTAACTAGGAAATCCCTCAGGGAGAGGCTCTTGTTGGGCGGCTGGAGTGTTTCACAGGAAGCGAACATCTGCTCCCTCACTCAGCCTGCCCGCTCGGCCCCCACGTCCTGCGGAATCTGCAGGACTTGAATCACGCACGTCCAGAGAACAGTCGGGATGGCTTACCGCTGCTCCTGCTTTTCTGAACAGGACCCCATCGTTGGGAAGAAGCGGGCCGCTCTGGAGGGCACACTGGGCGGGGGTGGGACGGCGTGTGCGGTGAGGCAGGAGAAACCCACAGGCGAGCCGAAAGGCGCAGTCAGAGGGCAGAGGAGGAGGCCGCTGGGCAGACTTACCTGTTTATCCCGACCGCCGCTCTCTCCCACACAGAGCGGCCAGTGTTGCTGCGCGGGCGCGGGCGGAGTGCCCCGGGGATGCCTCCGGGTCCCGGGTGCCCGCAGGACACGGTGCTGGAGCCATCCACGGTGCCGAGAGCAAGGCCCAGTGCGAAGCGCAGCTTCGACAGGCGACCACAAGAGGTGCACTCAGAATAACACCAGATTTTTTACTGAAGTTCTTTTTTTTTTTTATTTTCCTCCACACTGGCAAAAGTTCCCAGGGAGCTTAAAGTTTTGTAAACATTTTAACTATCCCTCTTTCCCACCCCCCCGCTTTTGAATTTACAAAGCACAGGAGAACAGGAGTCCCAATTCGTAATGGCACCCCGGAGCTCCTCATGCTATTCTGATCCAAAAACTATATACAAGTCTGTATCAGTCTCTGTATAGTCACTGTACATGTTAAGAGGGAGGCGGCAAGAAGGGAGAATGACGACCCCAAAGAATAAAAACAGAAACCCAACAGAACCACCCAAACTACTCTCAGGGCAACTCTGGCGTGACCGAAAGAAAAGGTGTTTCCGAACCACAGCACTTTCCGCTCGGGGACGGGCGGTCCAATGGCTCCAGACTGACGTGTACTTGGCATTCCGGGTGTGGGGGCGCGGGGCAGGGGTGCGGCTGGAGGCAGGAAGAGCGGCTGTTTATAAATAGGGCTCGACTCCGTTTCCAGCTGAGGTGGAGGGGCGGCCAGACCCAGGCTTCCCGCCATCCCTCCCACCCTCACCCCTGCTGCCTTCCTCTGCACAATGGTGAAGGCCTCAAAGATGGTCAGGGTTTTTGTGTCTGCTTTTCAGAAAAGGCAAGCGCCTCGCCACTCCAGAACCTTTCCAACAAAGCCTTTTCGGGGCCACGGCAAGACAAACACACAGTGCTCTGAGGAACCAGATGAAATTCCGGGCTTTTATCAGAAGCAAAAGTTTATCCCTATCCAAAATGAAATTATACAAATTCATACATATGGTAAAGATCCTAGCTGCCTCTTAAAACGAGACAAATTTTCAGCAGAAAGGCCCAAAACAAACTGGTCCTAGTCCTCTGAAGTAAAAATATTTATGGGAAAAATCAGTTTTTGTAAGAAAGAAAAATTAAGCACAAGTCCCTCTCCCAGGCCACGGGGCTTCTCTGTCCAATCGGGTTTGGAGTATGCCAGGGGTCTGAGACGCTGGCTGGCGCGGAAGTCACTATTCTAAGGAGGAAGAACACGGACCCTTTCTCCAGAACTACTCAGAAAGAAGGGGTGAGGGATGTGTGCAACATCAAGGCAGTCCCTGGGCCCCCACCCCCGCCGCCGGGCCGGGGCTCTGTGACGCAACCCCAAGTCAGCAGCGGCCGGGCCCCGCTCAGCCCGGGAGCACAGAGGCTGCCGACCCGGCGCTGGGCTGCGGGCCCAGGTCTGCTGCCGTTCACTCTCTTCATGATTGCACCAGCAAGACCCCTTGCGTGCCCTTAGAGGGAAACGGGGGGAGCAGGGAAGAAGGAAAAAAAGAAGGAAGAGTAAGAATGACAAGAGAAAGTAAATTGCTATTGGCAGGTCCCAACTCACTTTCTGGGAGCTAGCAGGTGAAATTGGGGCCCAGGAATCAGCTTGTTGGGGAGCGATCCCGACTGCCCCCGAGACACGGGGCCGCTCCGCTCCTCCAGTCTGAGATGCTCGCCAACAAGGGCCTAAAGAATCTCGGACACAGAGCTAGAAGAAAAAGCCTGAGATGACCGGTTCTGTGATTTGTTGCAGAGTGATAAAGAGTAAAGGTGAGGAAGTGTCCAGAGGTGGAGAATCCGTGGTCAGCAGAGAGGAGAGGGCAGGCCAGTCCGTCGTGGACACTCAGTAGTCATCCAAAGTCTCGATCTCACCCATATTGAGTCGCTCCGATGAAGCATTAACTGAAAATCCTGCCAGGGGGGGAAAATCGGCAGTGAGTGCCCACGCAGACAGCCCCCGGCCCGCTCCAGGGCATGCCCTGAAGTCCCACATCCCAGGGGGCCGAGCACATGGGGGGGAGGGGGGCGCGCGCGCGCACAGGGAGGAGTCAGGCATCTGTCCTTTAATAAGAAATTGTTGTTGGATCTCTCAGGGCAAGGATAGGATCAGGAAGGAGGGTGGGAGGAAATGTGAAACTGAGTCACTGTTTTCTTGATGTCTTTTTTAAAAAGTGGTGGGATCAGACCTAAGACCCACACACACGTGACACAATTTAGCCACTCACTTATCTTCGGGGGCTATACACTAGTGGTCCTTGGGATCTACTCCGAACTCTGTTGTCTGTGGGTCCCAGCACTTTGAGACCGTGTGGTGTGAGACAGAAGCGCCCACCCCCGCCCCAGCTCCTGGATGCTTTTAAGAGGGAAGCCACTGCGGTCAAAGCGGCCTCAGAGGCCCCGGGGGTCCGGTGTTTCTCGGGCTGAGATGCGTTGGTTGGCATCCCTGCACTGACTCACAAGAAAGAGCCCTGCAGGGCCCCGAGATGTCCCCTCACCCAGCTCACAGACGAAGACTGTTCCTCTCAATCTACTAGGGAGATGAGCAAAAGAACTTCAGTTAGCAACAGAGCTCAAATAGAATGTTGTAGAAAAAGTGAGACTACCATGAAGGCCGCAGGAAGTTATCACATTAGCTGAAGATCACGGGCGCATTTTCCATTAACTCCAAAATCAGAGATCAATGAAGAGGTCCTCGATTTATTTTTTGGTTTTGGGGCCACACCTGACAATTTTCAGGGGTTAGTCCTGGTTTTACAAAAACTCAGGAATCCCTCCTGGCAGTGCTCGGGGGGCCATATGGGCGCCAGGGATCGAGCCTGGGTTGGCCGTGTGCAAGGCAAATGCCCTACCTGCTGAACTAGCTCTCTGGCACCAACAGGTCCTTCTGAGAATGGGTGATTCCAGGAGCTTTTCATTTTCAGTTCATTCACCCTAAATAATACCCTGAACTGTTTAGCTACCATTTGAATGTCAAACAGTAAGCTGATGGAATAGAAAAAAGCAGTCAATATTATCCATGTCTTCTGCCACTCCTTTTAGCTCTTCAACGCTCAAGTTCTCAAACAAAAACAGCTTTTAAATGTACCAATAACAAAAAGTGCCTTACGTAATAAAACTGGGCAATTATATTACTTTCTTGATGCAAAAATATCATGATTTGCAAAGACAAACATGCCTGTTTGCTCACCACGGAGGCTGTGGCACCCGCTGCTGCCCAGACCTGGCACTGGAGGCCGCCAACCTGGGTACGCCCCAACAACCACGTTCCCGCAATCCACAAACCTTCTCCTTGGAAGAAATCGCCTTAGTGTTTGTATTTGGAAATAATGGCTAGATTATAAAGTATAAAAAACTAAAACTCAAATTCTTATGAAATGACATGAGCTGTTACTCTATGCTTAAACAAATTCTCTTGGACTTTACAACAACAGATATAATGCGATGAGCTGCATGCAAACCCTGTGTGGAAGGAAACTCGGGGCCAGGGAGGAAGTACAAAGGGCTGGAGCACAGGCGTGCAGGCCGGACACCCAGGGTCAATCCCCAGAATCACACAGTTCTTCAGAGATCACCGAGTGTGCTCCGAGCTAGAAAGAGTCCCAAAATAAAACAAGTGGAAATGTAAAGGAAAAAAATAAAAGCTAACAAATTTTTAACCAGGTAAAGACAGGAAGGAAGAAATTTGGGGTCAAAAGAAAAAGTCCATGATTTACTGCTGTGATTTGTAAACCACCGGGTTGGACTTGTGGCAGGAGAGGCGGGAACTCTCCTCAGCAAGCACCAGGAACGCTCTGGACACCACGAAGCCCCTGGGACAGTCTGGCGCAGACAGGGTATTGCGGCCTGCGTATCACTCGTACCCCAGCTCAGGAAACTGGTGCACAGCCGGCAGGGGCAGGGGACCGGAATGGAGCCAGATGCCCTCTGATGGTGTGTTTCAGAAGCAAACGTCCTCAAATACTGCTTTCTCAATGATGCTTTTGGATCAAGTTAGAATCTGTCTCGCCATTCTGTGCACGGCGGGTATTTATTACTGTTTCTCACTGTAGATCAATCAGGAGCATATATGTATCATGGAAACGACAGGTAAGGAGCAGAAGCTGCTGAATTATTTCTAGAGCAAGCTTCTGAGCAGTCTGCATGAAGTCTGGGGGTGGGCACCAAGGGCTGCAGCACCAAGGGTCACCTGGCACAGGCCTGCTCCCCCTCCTTTTTTCCTTTTCAAGACAGACAAATTGTCTCCACTCCACTCCTGATCCTAAGTCCCTTTCCTCCCAAGTGCTGGAGTCTCAGCTGCGGGGCTCCGGGTGGGACACACAGGGTGAACCCCAGAATCTCACTGTTCTTCAGGGATCACCACATGTCCTTCAGAGAGGTCAGATCAAGTCTTTCACACACCACTGTGCCTCACTTCCGAGCAGTTCTTTCTCTGATAGCGTACGGCACTGCTGAAGAGTAAGGGATTCTCAGCCAGAACCCAGGACCAAAATCTAAGGAAAACTTTTAAATCTCTATTCACCTACTACTGTCAAAACTGAACACGACTTGGGGCTGGAGCGATAGCACAGCGGGTAGGGCGTTTGCCTTGCACGCAGCCAACATGGCCGACCCGGGTTCGATTCCCAGCATCCCATGTGGTCCCCCGAGCACCGCCAGGAGTAATTCCTGAGTGCATGAGCCAGAAGTAACCCCTGAGCATCACTGGGTGTGGCCCAAAAGAAAAAAAAAAACTGAACACGACTTGGGGTTGTTCCATCCTTGACACCCCATCCCCTCTCTGGAGAACCAGATTTCCTTGTCCCAAAGCTAGTTTCCAGGTCATCCGATCCAAAGGACACTCTTAGAAGGTTCTGTTGCTGGCCTTCTCCGTGCTCCTGGAAGCCCCACTGTGGTCTGCAGCTCCGCCCGTGCGCACCTTTACGGATGCTCTGGTCACTCTCCACTTAGCCCAACTGGCCTCCTTCTAGCGAGTGGCAATGCTATCCTCACTTCCTCCTCGTCATGTGTGGGCAAGTCTTCACTGCACTCTAACTGGTGTGGCCCCGACTGGCCAACATCCCAACCTGCCGTTTCCCAATAGAACCATTCTACTCTGAGCAGCAGAGTTCTAGCATAGCATACATGATATATAGAGAAATAATTTAAATTTCATCCTTGTTTGAGACTCAGAGCGATAGTACAGTGGGAGGGCTCTTGCCTTGCACTCAGCCGACACAGATTCAATAACTGACATCCCACGTGGTCCCCCCGAGCACTGCCAGAAGTGATCCCCGAGTGCAGAGCCAGGATTAAATCTTGAGCACTGACGGATGTGGCACCCCTCCCCTCAATCCCCCCCTACCTTCCCCCCCACCCCCGTTTCCCATCAGCATTCCACATAAACTGGAAGGCCTTCTAGAAGTTTCTATAAACTGTATGGCAGGACTTTCAAGTTTGATCTAAGTGCCGCAGTTTAAGAAATGCCTTTTCTTACGCCCTAGGTACACTCTAGGTCTCCCGCTGAGATGCCCAGAAAACTGATTATTTTGAACTGGTTAAATTTTTACTGAAAACTTATTTAGAAAGATGTGTGGGGAGGAAAGTAGACAAGTCTGTGTTTGAGAGAGAGAGAGAGAGAGAGAGAGAGAGAGAGAGAGAGAGAGAGAGAGAGAGAGAGAGCGCGCGAGAGCGCGCACAGGCTTCCCCAGAGTGGAAGGAAACAAGTGAGATGCGTATTTCAAGGCAGGTCACGGGCTTGAAGAGTGAGCCACTCTTTGTGGAAAGTATTTCTGTTCAAACTGTATCTCACGATGACCCAATTAAAAAAAATGGGGGTTGGGGGGCTGGTATCTCTGTTCATAAAGCCATCTGGCACGGGACGACCATGTCAGCACTGTCTGACACCTTCCCACCAATGCCCGCTTCCAGCCCGTGCTCACCTAACAAACTGGGATCTGCTCGAACCATCTTCTGCTTTTTCTTTTTCTTGCCACTTTGTACGGCCTCAAAATTGGATTGCTGATTGTTGCTCTGATTGGTCTGAAATACTGAATGGAGTGCACTGTGGTTCATCCCCCACACAGAGTCCTGTAAGAACAAAACGGAAGCACAGCTAAGGGCAAAAGCAGACAGAGACTTGGTCACTCCCTTAAGGCAGAGTCCTGGCAACACTCAACCAAAAGGCAGCCAGGGACCTGCACTTCTGGCCCTGCAGACTGAGACACCCACTGATGCTCCATCCCGCTAAGGACAGGTCTCCACACCCGGTGACAGCAGGGCGGCCACAACCTCACTAGGATAATCTCTCTTGCTCGCTCTCTTTTTGGGGAGAGTGGCCGGGGGGGGGGGGGGGGGGGGGGAAGAGACACACGACGACGACAGGATGCACACCTAAGAGTTCAGGACTTACTCCTGGCTCTGAGGTCAGGAGACCATACGCGGAGCCTGGGACTGAATCCAGCCGACTGCATGTAAACACCTTAACTATTGTTATACTAGCATTACTGATTACTGCTCAAGTGCCTTCCGCTTTTTTTTTTTCAGGGAGAAGAGGGGATATAAGGTGGGGGGTGTAGGGTCACGGCAGTGGTCATCTGTTTTATCCACGAAATCTGTCTTATCCACTTAGATGAAACACATAGCTGGTTCTGGAACAATGTCATTTCTTGATGATGATGATGAGGGGTATCTGTGTGGCGTGCACACATTCCCCCCATGCATGCAGCTTTTCTCTGGGGACTCTGGTTCGCTCACTCATCCCAATGTGCAGTGTCCCAGGTTCACTCATTCATCCCAATGTGCAGTGTCCCAGGTTCACTCATTCATCCCAATGTGCAGTGTCCCAGGTTCACTCACTCATCCCAATGTGCAGTGTCCCAGGTTCACTCATTCATCCCAATGTGCAGTGTCCCACTCTGAGCAGGCGTCCTGGGTAGAAGGGTACCCTGACCCAGTGTGATCCTGCTCGAGAACCAGGGCCGAAAATGAAGGAAGGAGTAACTGAATATAGATTACTTTACCATCAGAAGTATCTCTATTTTAAAGAAGAAGTATTTTAAGTCTTTAGTTAAGAGTTTGGTAATGTTCTGTGGCCAAAAATAAACAGGAGGAATTTTGCTCTTTTTTCTTCTATCAATCAACCTATCACCAAACTGGTTTTACTCACATTGCAGTTTCCAAGAACCTGCTTCCAAGTTAAATGAAGATTTACTGTGTAGCAAATAGCCACAAACTGACCTCTGAACTCTGGAAACTTGGAACTCTTACCTAACCAAAGCAGAAGATTCTTTTGTTCTCTGGGCCCAGGACTGTGGACCAACCTGCAACACGTTACCAAACAAAACCAATGCCATCTACTTTCTTTCAGATCTCAGAAGGAACCTGCACAAGAAATATCTGTCCTTTCCACAAGTATCCATGAAATAATCTACCAGCCATTCACTCTTAGTTGCTGCTTTCATCAGAGACATGAGCTGGTGAGTGTGGACGGGAGGGTGGAAGCACAAGGAAGGCAGGTGCGGCCGCCTGTCGCATCCATTTCTGCACAGATGCTGCCGACACCCCCACACAATGACTTCTCGTCCTTAAGATGTTTTCGGGTTTTCGCCCTGCACTCTCCTGGTCTATCCCTGTTAGATCATCTATCCAAACCGTGTGAAGTGCTCTCAACTTCACTCTGTCTTATGCTCCACCAAAGTGACCTATGCCAAAAAAAACAGAAAGGCTATGACATATATGGGAGGACAGGAATATTTCCCTCTCTCCCTTTTGGTTCTTGGGCCATACCTGGCACAGCTAGGGGGACCGTGTGGTCCTATGGATTAAGCTCAGGTCGGCCACGTACGATGCGCACCTTGCCTGCAGAACCCTGTAGTTGGAGTAAGTCGCTCCATGAGCCTTGCCAAATCATTCCTTGGAGTACTTAAACAACTGAGTCTCATTACTTCTGGATCCCCAACCTGTAAACTTGCCTGCTTCCTACAATTTATAAATCCAAACTTAACAGGCAGGTAGTATTCTTAGGGCATTTAAACAAGTGCACGAACAAGCACTGAAATTTAATTACCCCAAGCATACATTCCTGGGTGATGCAGAACGAAGGTGATACTCTTGTCTCCTTATCTCAACTGTCATAATATAGACAAATATTTTTTTCAGTCTACTCAGTATTATGGTTTCCACAATTTTTTTTTGGGGGGGAGGGTTTGTGACTTCATTGCTTAAAATTACTCCCACTGTTCAGTCTTTACTCTGGTGTTCCTGAGGGTAAAAAGTTGTGATGTGCCCCGGGATGAAATATGTTCGCTTCATTCAGGGACAAATGACAGCGCTGCTGGCCATGAGGTCCAATGCTCTGGCATCAGTAAGGTCTTCAGGCCAAAACAGAAGTCCCCAAAGGCAACGCGACACATCCATCACCTGCCGAAATGTGGCCTAGGGTTTTGCAGCGATCTAATGAAGGCTCAATGGTTCATTCCTCGGCAACGGGGCTGGCAAGGGCTCTGTGGAAGGTCCCCTCCGCTAACAAGAACTGGCAGTGCTACCTGTGCTGGCGGCATCTCCACCAACAGCGAGCGAAACGCCGCGATGCTGCGGACTCCAGCGCGCCAGGTGAGCGCCATAGGTTTCAGTCTCCAAACAACCGGCCATCTGAATGAGGTTCACAAAGGGACCGGAAGGAATGAAGCCCAAGCCTCTGACAGGAAGTGAACGGCTGCTCTGTTCACAGAGCTCTAGGCCCAGAATCTGAAAACATCAGACCTATATCTGGAGATGCTCCGGTCCTCCGGCGTACCTGAACGCTCTCGGGCAAACAAGCACCGCTTGCTCACGGGGGCTCCATCCCACCCGGCTTACCTGCTGCTGCGGCGGCTGCGGCTGCGGCTGCTGCTGCGGCTGCGGCTGCCGCTGGTTGGCTTTCTGTTTGGCACGGCGATCGAGGAACTGCTTGGCGAACTCCTTGGCCTCAGAGGTGTCTCCTAAGTAGGCCCTGACGTAATCGTGGACCTCGTAGGGAGATTCTACTTCTTTCAGGAAAGAAACAAATGTGGGAACTGCAACGTGAGAGGGCAAAAAACAGAGGGGAACGGTAAGACAGGCCACACAAAAGTCAGTTTTCGTTTTCAGTACACGTGTCTAGCACACAGATTCAGTACACGTATCTAATACAGACCTTAGCAATAAGAAGGCGAAAGACACAGTTCCTGTGTCAGATACTCTTTGCTCTACCTCTGTTAGGAGTGCAAATCCCCCCGCTATGACAGCAATGACCAGCAGCAGCAGTCGACCAAATCTCACTGGCTGATAGACTACTTAAAAACAGCATTTGTGGGCCAGAGCAACAGGACTGCAGGGAAGGTGCATGCGTGGCACACGGCTGACCCAGGTTTGATCCCTGGCCCTCTGTGCGGTCCCCCAAGGCTGCCAGGAGTGATTTCCTGAGGACAGAGCCGGGAGTAAGCCCCCAGCAGAGCCAGCTGTGCATGCCCCCCCCCCCCCCCCCGGCAAAAAGAAAAAAAGCTAGCCTAAGACTGGAGCTACTTGGTGTTCACTCCCTCCTTCCGTAATTCACACCAAGTGCAACGGTGTGTGCCAGGCACCACAGCGGGCATTACAGTCCCAGTTACGAACTTCTCAGACTTCTACTCACTGAGAGCGAATGTTCAGAGAGAGAAAACAAACGTAACATGCAAGCTGTGTGGTGTTGGGTGAAAGCACAATGTCAGAGTTACACACTTGAGACGTGGGTTGAAAACCGGACTCCGAAATTTGCTGGCTGTGTGACCTTGATGAGTTACTTAACCATTCTGAGCCCCTGTTTCCTAATTTATAAAATGGGGATAATGTCACCTGGATGGTTCTAATTCCAGAAAGCTACTGCAATACGTCAATAGCTAACGTTACGTCACCCCCTGGAAAGTGCCCAGCACATGGTAGGTGCTTAATGGATGGTAGCCACTCAGAGGATCCGCTATGGCTTGCTCTGGCTCCTTCAGATCAGGGAACGTCCCAGGGCCACAGCCCTTCGACTCCTTCACTGCTCTGTTTAAGGCGGCCCTGGGCGTAGACATCGGAGGGGGCTAGCTCAACTCAGCCTGTCTCCCAGACGAGGACTCCCTGCCACACCCGTGTCCACCTAACTGTGGGCGCCGTTCTCTCCAGGCAGAGCTGACTGCATCTCACTCGCGCGCCAGGACCTCGTTTCTCCCTGCACAAGCAACACCGCCTGCTCCGTCACAAGAAACTCACCCCCCACCAAAGGCACAACGGGGAAGAGGCCGGAGCAGCTCGGCCTTCTTTCCAGGCACGCTCCGTCCCCATCTTGACAGGTCATGACTCGGCTTGGACCTGACTCGGCCCACGATGCCCCCATGAAGTAAGCAATACGGAACTCGGATGGCCTCTGCCGTGAGAAAGCCTGGCGGGATTTGCGCTGGGCGACGGCCGCTGACCTGGCTGGCACGGCATCTCCTAGTCTCCTCCCTGGGTTCAGGCTCCTACAGCTGGTGTGGGGCTTGACCTCCAGCACATTTCACCTCCTGAGTTTGGGTCCGACACTCCAATCTGCCGACTTCAGGGTGTCGGTGGGCCCTGCGCTGCCGTTTCACATGCTGGGTTTCCCTCCCCCATTCTTACCATCCAGGTTATTTGCCGTATTAAGGGCATGAAGCATCTGTTCACACCACTGGGTAAATCCATCCTGGGCTTTATTTACTCCCTGAAAGAGCTTCAGCAACTTTTCTTCTTCTTCTACTTTCTTATTCTGCCGGTTAGACACACCTACAGATTTACTAAAGCAAAACAATAGGGCGATATTATATTCCCAGAAACTGTTACTATATGATTACACTAAAATACCATAAATAAGCAAATAAACAAACAAATATCCTGGCAACACTGGACGGCTGTCCAGCAATCCAATGCTTGGCTTCAAAACGAAAAAAACGTCAAGTATCTGGACTGGGTGGGGTGGGGGAGAGGTACTCAATACTCCCATAAAATCTAGCCTCAGCAAATACTTTCTAGTTTTGAGCATCGGGTTTCTTTGCAAAGGGATGATGACGTTCTTCCTAGGCATCCTTCAGCACGTTTTAAATTTTGCTAAGCCTCAGTTTCCTCATCTGTAAAATGGTACGACTTCCTCTCTGAGTATGGGAAGGAATAAAGGTACTGGACACAAAGGCCAGTGCCTGGCGAAGACCCCCAGTAAACTGGCAGGAGACTCAGTGTCCTATCAGAATGTAGCAGGCCTCCAATTACCCTAGCAACACTACCATTTATTAAGTAATTACTATATGCCAGGCACTTTACTACTGAATGGCTTCCCCGGGTTTGTCTGCTCTTTACAACCACGCCCACGAAGCTGCGGCTATTATCTTCATTTTACAGATGAGGGAACTGAGGCTCAAAGAGGTCCCCTCTTGCCCAAGGTCACACAGCTCATAAGTGATCGTACTGGGAATTGAGGTCACGTGTTTAGCACAGAAACCCACGTTCAGCAGCACTGTACACTGAGGAAAGCAAGCTGAAATGTAGCCAATTTATCATAAAAATCAAGAGGCTCCAGGTCATCACAGAGGTGTCTGCAACGCTCATTACAGAATTACCTTAAAATGTAAATTTAGGGGGAAAATGCTTAATTCCAGTAACATTTTTGAGAAATGTTCAACAAAAAGCTACTGACCCTATTATTTACTAAGTGGCTGCCATGTGAGAGGCAACGGACCAAGTGCCCAGTAAGAAAAGGGGCCCCGGGTAGCAACTCTGGAGTGTCTCGTGGGAAGGAAAGCGATATCCAAGTTATGACCTCATGAGCTTGGACACTGGAAGGTAAGTTCAAAACTGATGTAACACTTTCCCTGCCCGGCCGCTACCCCGTTCCCCTTCCCTCAGCCCACCGAGGGTCACTGGGTGGATCCATTTGGGGCCCTACCTGAGACTGGCGTTGTTTTTGTTTTTATTTGCTGAATTCCTAGGTCCCACCTCTTTCACTGCATCATCCCAGAATCCCATGTTGGAATTTTTAGTGTCGGCATTACTCCAGATACTACTGACTAGGTCAGATGCCCACTGGTTTGGGGGAGCAGTGTTTATAGAGCCCCAAACAGAGTTGCCCATGCTGGTGTGCAGGTTGGAATGCTGTCAAACAAAGAGAAACACATGGCTACGGTTAAGAGCGCCCACATCCTCAGGGACAACTCCCGTCACCGCTCTCCGCGACGAGGCTCGGGCGAGGGACGCACTGGAGTATTCCGGGATCTGCTCGGCTGCTGGTGCTGCTGCTGCTGCTGCTGCTGCTGCTTCTGCATCTGCCTGGCTTCCTCCTGCTGGATCTCCAGCAGGGACTTGGCGGTACCCGCGGGCTTGCTGACGTTGCCCCAGCCGGAGAGCTTCTGCTGCTGCTGCTGCTGCTGCTGCTGCAGCGCTTTCATCAGTTCCCGCTGCTGGCGCCGCTGCTGCGCACAGAAAGAGAAGCCAGCTCGGTCTCCGGGGTCTCTGGAGGAGGGTGGGGGACACCGCCAAGCAGTGCCCAGGAAGCCCGGGGATGCCCTCTGCTCAGCCTGGGTGCTGGGGATCCCTGCAGGATCGAACCAGAATTGGCCACGTGCTTACGCCCTAACCGCGGGCTCTGTGTCATTCACTAAAGAGACCCTGCCTCACCCTGAACAGTCGCTACCTGACACTTAAGAAATCTTGTCGATGCCTTCGCTGCAAATAAAGATATATACTGTCAGAGATTCTGAGAGGAGTGTTCAAAAAGATGAAATGCAGGGGCTGGGGTGATCGTGTAGCAGGGCGTGTGCCTTGTACGCAACCCACCTGGGTTCAATACCTGGCACCCCGTGATCACTTTTCCCTATCTGAGAAATCCCTATAGAGCGGTATTTGAACCCTTTTAAAGAATTTACAGAGTAATCAAATGAAAATACGATGGGGCAGTTATTGACTTCTCATAAGAAGATCAAACAGAAAACAAAACCGCGATGGCAACTATCATTCCTTTCTCATTCAGCAGAGACCAGATATGAGAAATGAGACCGTCTAGATTTAGATGCCAATTTCTCAAGTACCTACACTTCTCTGTACTGATGTGTGGCAGAACCTTTAAAGAGCAATGGTTTCCGAGAGAGAAAAGAAGTCACTGTATGGTGAAGACCAGCCTAGCCTGCTGGCCCCCGCCAGGAGGGAACCCTGCGACTACAGACAGATGTTACTCCACTCTGAGCACTCAGCCCCCGAGCACACTGCCTAGACCCGTTCCTCCAGAGTGTACAACTCGCACCTTCTCTGGAGAGAGATCTCCATGGGATGCACTACCTAGAACTGAAACCGCTCACAACCATCTCCTATTCTGGTCTCTGAGTGAACAGCTACTAATATAGAATTAGCTAAACAGACCCAGCTTCAGACTAAACAGTCTCTACATAAAAGACAACGCTTAAGGAAGTCAACGCCTTTGCTGCAAATAAAGGCATCCACTGTCAGAGACTCCAAGAGTGTTTAAAAGATCGCTAGATTCTCCACTTTGCCTACCCTTCTCCACTCAGCTAGCGGGCAAGTTGTGTAGCTGACTGCCAATTCTCTACTTTCAGACCGGCAGAGTCAAACTGCACAGGCACACAGGAAACAGGGCATGACTGGAGGAAGGAGGGAGGAGAGGGAGAAAGTGAAGAAGAGCACCGGTGGGGGAAGTGGGGCAGAGAGCAGGCGGAAAGGGAGAGAGGGAAGGAGGAAGGTCCAAACTATTTTAATTACTCATCTTCTCTCTGCCAACGTTTTTGCGTGTGTGTGAAGCAAGACAATTCTTAGTGAAGTTGACTTAGAAAGATGTGAAGGGAGAGAATGCAAAGAAGTGTATGTCCGAGAGACATGGGCGTCTCCAGAGAGGGAAGGCATTCGGAGGAACAGGACAGTGGGCAGAGCACTTGCCGGGCATGCAGCCAATCGAGGTTCGATCCCCAGCATTCATACAAGCCCCAAACACCACCTGGGACAGTCCCTGAGTGCAGAGACAGGAGTTACCCTGAGCACCAAGTGGATGACGCCCACCTCCACACCCCTCATGCAAAAAAAAAAAAAAAAAAAAGTTTAAGAATTCTATTCTTCCTCTTCCTTCTCTCTCTCTCTCTCTCTCTCTTTTTTTTTTTTGGCTTTTTGGGTCTCACCCAGCGATGCTCAGGGATTACTCCTGGCTCTTCACTCAGGAATTACTCCTGGTGGTGCTGAAGAAAGCATATGGGATGCAAAGGATTGAACCTGGGTCGGCCGCGTGCAAGGCAAACGCCCTACCCGTTGTGCTATTGCTCCAGCCCGCTGTATTCTTTCTAATGGTGACTTACAGAATTCAAATTTACAAGGAGAAAGACTATTCTTGTCATGCTTTTGATAGTATAATTAGAAAATCAAATGCTCTTTCAAAAAAATATATTCTGCATTCTAAAAATCAAACTGACTCCCCATCAATTTGGAAAAACACAATTAATTTTTTATTTATGAGCTACAGTAAACTCAGTGAAAGGTTTGAGGTAGCTGAACTTTTTTTTTTCTTTTTTGGGTCACACTTGGTGATGCACAGGGGTTACTCCTGGCTCTGCACTCAGGAATCACCCCTGGCGGTGCTCAGGGGACCATATGGGATGCTGGGAATCGAACCCGGGTCGGTCGCGTGCAAGGCAAACGCCCTACCCGCTGTGCCATCTCTCCAGCCCCCTGAACATTTTCATTCCCTTATCTTCCCATTAGACATCCAGAACTGTAAGTTAGAGAATAGTCTGCTGCACACGGGAACTCTGCGGAGAACTACTGACTCGCCACGGAATCCCTGTGCCCCACAGCTGGGCTGCGGTTCTGCGCGTGCTTTTCTGTCTTACCTCTTCTCGAAGCTGCCGTTCCCGCTCCTCTTCTAGTTTTTGGATTTCAGCCAATGACAACGTTGCCTGGGACTGACACGCCGTTGAGTTGGACTGCTGGCCCCACGTTGAAGAAGAGGGAAGCTAGAAAGGAGGACGGTGAAGAGGCGTTCGTGAGGAAGGGTGAGAGGAGGCACAATGTGAGAGAAAGCATCACAGAGAGTCGGAACACTCAGGCTTCCTTCTGCCAACTTTACAACACTCGTTTTCTTTTTCAATCCTTTCCCCTATGATTCACCAACTGTTTGCTTTTTTTGGGGGGGGATTTAGTACAGGTAGTAAGTGAAGTTACTAACTGCACTTAGTAAGTAAAGTTAATAATGTTATTGACTTAGAAAGAATCCCAGGCCGTGAAAAATACACTTAGAAGTCTGACTATTCTAAAGGAATACCCTTTATATTCTAGGCCAGAAAAATTAACAGACCCTTTAATTTTCAGATATTCACACTTCCAAAAAAAAAAAAAAAAAAAGGCAAACTTGCAACCAGAGCAATAAACAGTACAGCAGGTAAGGTGTTTGCCTTTCAAGCAGCCGACCCAGGTTCCATCCCCAGCATCCCCAATGGTCCCCCAGGCACTGCCAGGAGTAATTCCTAAGTGCAGAGCCAGCAGTAACACTGAGCATCACCAGGTGTGAACCCTAAACCAAAAATAAATAGAATTTTGAAAAAGCAAACTATAATGACAACAACAACAAAACACAATTGATACAAATTTCAGGGCCATATGTGGTGTTACTCAGGGCTTATCCCGGTCCTGTGTTCAGGCTCACTCCTGGCAGTGCTTGGAAAACTGTATGTGATGCTGGAGGATTCACCAGGTCTGCCACGTGGAAGGCAAGCTTCTAACCCCTCTACTATCTCTCCAGCCCAAGACAAAAGAGTTTATAAGCATGGGTCAAACAGTTCCTCCTAAAAATTTCGGCTTTGCAACAGAAAATTTAAAAACTGAAACTGAAGGGGCTGGAGAGGTATCCCAGTGTAAAGGAGCTTGTCGTGCTCGAGGCCAACCCAGGCTTGGTCCCCAGCACTCCCCTGGTTCCCGAGCACTGCTGGGTATGACCCTCAAAACAAAGAATGCTTGCATTGCCATGGATCTTACCAAACATCTCTTCAAATGAGTACCCACAAAACACTCTAAGTATAATGAATTTCCCTCCCCTTTTTTGGGGAGGTGCCACGATCAAATGCAGGGCTCTACACGGAAGGGAAGTGCTCGACCACCGAGCCGCATTCCTGGCCCAATCAGATTTTTGGGCCAATGACAGAGGTATTTCTCTCAAAATAAACCTGCGATGTGTCTATAGGGATGCAGAAGGAATCTAAGGAAGGTGCGGTTTCAAGGGAGATCAAGCTGAACACAATCCTTTCTCTCCGCAGGAAATGATGTGTTCGGAAAGTGCTACCCAACGCAAATCTGACAGATCCCGAATCTAGTAGCACCGCAGCTGGATCTTTAACAGTTCAGCTGCTCTGGCCCCACAGAGAACCCCCAGACCCGCAGGTGAGGCCAGGGTTCGCATGCAAACAATCAACCGATGTCTACTGATGTATCTGAGATCCCCGAAGTGTGTCATCCCACCATTCCCAAGAATTCCAAGAAGCCCGGGCCCTGCAGGCCTCAGCCCTTCCCCGGGCCATGTCAGAGCACCGTCCTGGGCCTTCTGCTCGGGACTCATGGCCGTGCTCTCTGGCCTAATGCAGAACCAACCAGTTGTCTCCGAGAAGCACACAAATATCTGCAGATCACTATCACTCTCCTCAGGTCTTATCTGAGCATGGGAAATAGTATCCCAGTGCTCCTGATGCTGCCCCGGGACATTTTCCAGTCCCACCTCCTACACCCTGTGCCACCCCCAAAACTGTAGCTTGTCAATCAGAACAATCCTCTCCCAAATGAGAAGCAAACAGCAGGAAATCTGACACCTTTTGTGATCCCTAAATGTCAAATGATTCATTCATCTAAATATTTCAACTTCTCCACCCTTGCCCCCTTTGTCCTGACTTTACAGAACTTTTTGGTTAAAATCGCTGTGGTCGAGGAGTAAGCTCAAACAGCCAGGCACTCTGCTGGGCATGAGAGGGCCTGAGTGATTTCCAGCACCGCACGGTAGCAGGGTGGCCCGATGGCCCTCCACTCAGCACCAAACCCATCAGCAGAGCAGGGCGATGCTACTAAGCTGGGAAGCACAGGAGTACCCCACCCCGGCATCAATGGTGGCCCCCATGCTACATGGAGTCAACTTGGTTCAATCCCTGGTCCTGCATATGGTCCCGAGCACCACAGACCGAATTGGGGGTGCGGGCTTGAGCAACAGGTGTGCCCCCCCAACACATATCAAATCACCATATTCTTACTTCCATTATGAACTCTGTGGGCCTCCCTTAGAAAAGTGGTGGAAAACATTTTTTGGGGTTCTCACCCCCAATCCTGCAAAGATGCTACTTCCCAACCTCCCACCAAGGACTCGACTTAGCAAACAGCACAGCCTAGTTCCCAGCTCCAGAAGCTTCGTTTTGCCTGGGTGAGGCCAGACTGGAATTCAGTGCTCCAAGGCCTCTCCCCCAAAGAAATGGACCCTGGAGGCCGGCAATGTGCAGAGGAGCCATGGCGCAAACGGAACGGCATTCTGAAAAGCAGCTAGGGGCAGAGCCACAGCACAGCGGGGGCCACACTCGCCTTGCACACGGCTGACCCGGGTTCAACCCCAGCAACATGGTCGTCCAGCCTCGCCAGCCCAGAACCGTGAATAACCCGGGAACATCTCCAGGTGTGGGTCCAAAACACACACACACACACACACACACACACACACACACACACGAAAGGCAAGCACTTGGGAGACGATTGGGAGTTTCGGGGGCGGGGAAGGAGGGGCAGCTAGGGCTGAGCCGTAGGAAGATATTCTCTCAGAGAAGCAGAAAAAGGGCTGGAAGAATCCAGAATGTTATTGGGTCAGTCTGTGAAGCAATTGGGCTCCAGGGCAATTTTAGAAACAACAGAGCAATCTGCTAGCAATTTGTGGGGCTGAACAGCAGGAAGTGGGGAAAAAACCAAAGAGAATCCAGCCCAGTCCAGCCACCAAGTGGCCCTGGACACCCTCCCACCCCTTCCCAAATACAGTGATGGCAGCTCAAGCTGCTGGAAGGGGAGGAGTGAGTGGGGTTCACCAAAACAATACTGCCAGGGACCTTGCCTGCTCGCAAACCGGGTTCAATCCCTGGCATCCATATGGTCTGCTCAGCACATCCTGGAGTGATTCCTGAGAGCAGAGCCAGGGGTAAGCCCTGAGGCACCACCCAAACCAAATTAAATTAAACTGCCAGCTCTGCAAGTAATACTAAATGTCCTATCGAAAGAAAGGGGAGGCAGGAAACTGGGAACATTGATAGAGGGCAGTGGACACAGGTGAAGGGACCAGTGTCTGAACATCATATGCCTGAGATCATAAATATCTTTGTGATTTTTATATTATAAAGTAATTTTGTGATCCACGGTGATTCTAATTAAAATAAAATACTGCCACAATAAATGAAGAGTAACAAAGAACGGAAGGGAGCAGTACCCAGAGGTGGTTCAATACATTATACTACGAAGTGCAGTTTTCAACAAAAACTTGAGACAGGTAAAAAAACAAGAAAGTCAATCTAAACACAGAACAAGTGAAAGTGACCAGAGGCCAGACTGAACAAAGACAGGTGCATCCTATCAGTACGTTCAGAGAGGGGCCCTGGCACCACCTGCCCCTGCCCAATAGAGCATCCTGTGAGCACTGAGTTGGGAGTAGCCTGTGAGCACTGTCAGGGGGGGCACAGAACAAAAGTATGTTCATGTGCCCATCCCCACTGAATGAATACATGCTATCTGCCATATGGATGCAGTTCAGTTTCACAAAAGGATGAAGAAGTGCTTACGAAAGTTACAGCCTGAGTGACTGTGAGAACACACCAAGTACGGAAGTGGGTCCCAAGAGATCCCATTGTCCCAGCAGGTCTGACCCTCTGCTCGCTCGCTTAGCCACTGCGGCAATGCACCCCTCGTGACGCTCAACCATGCAGAGACCACTTGCCACTTGACCCACAGGAAAGGAAAAGAACAACACTAAGCCTGATCCTTCAGATGCTTCTGGTGTGGTATCACACAGCAAACATGGTGGGGGAGCCCCACAGAGGCCTACTGATAGTAACCAGCTGAGACCTCTCTGCTAATGCTATGAAGATCGTGCTGAGGATGTTCAGTGAGCTCAGAGAAATGATGGTCCGGGTAGTCAGCAAAGTACAAGAGAGCACGAGAACAGAATGAGAAAACAACAGTCAGAAAGACTGCAGAAATAGCACAGTGGATAGGGCGTTTCCCTTGCAGGTGGCCAATCTGGGTTCGATTCCCAGCATCCCAAGGTTCCCTGAGCACTGCCAGACGTAATTCCTGAGTGCAGAGCCAGGAGTAAGCCCTGTGCATCGCTGAGTGTGGCCCAGAAAGAAAGGAAAAAAAAAAAAAAACCAAAAAGACTGCAGAGTGTGACAGGTGAAATAAAAACTCAACAAACGGGACCAGAGACAGCACAGTGGGTAAGGTGCGTGTCTTGCATGTGGCTGATGCGGGTTCAATCCCTGGCATCCTATATGGAACATCGCCAGGAGTGAGTCAAGAGCACTGCCAGGTGTGGCACCAAAACAACTGAAAATAAACCAAACCTCAAAAGAAAGCCCGAGCAGCAGAGTAACAGCGGCTGAGGAAAAGACAGGTGCAGGAAAGCAGTTGTCTAGAGAGACAACAGCACAGCGGGTAGGGCGTTTGCCTTGCCTGCGGGCGACCCGGGTTCGATTCCCAGCATCCTATATGGTCCCCTGAGCACCGCCAAGGGTTATTCCTGAGCACAGACCCAGGAGTAACCCCTGTGCATCGCCAGGTGTGACCCCCTCCAAAAAAAAGCAAAAAAATAAAAATAAAAAGAACAGTGTAAGAATTACTGGTGCCCCCAGAGAACAGGAGAGCAAAAAGGGTGAAGAACATCAGTCAAATAAATCATAGTGCAGGCACCCAGGTCCAAGAGGCCCAAAGGATCTCAGCCAAAATAGACCCAAACAGAAAAACGCCACACTGTGATCAGAACGACAAAAGCCAGAGAGCGATAGGATATTGGAAGCAGCAAGCTTAAAGAAAGAACCCACGTACAAAGGACTTCCCAGGAGATTCACAGCAAATCTCTTAAATGAGATGGTGGGATACAATAAAACACATTCATGAAACACTCACCAAGAACAATATCCAGCTAGGAATGATACAATGTCTCATGAATAAGCAACAGTTTAGTGAGTTCATAGCCTTGAAGTCAGTTTTCTAAGAAACATTAAAGGGGCACCCTTAAAAAAAAAACAGGACAAAGTTCACTAACATGCACAACTTATTTAAAGTGATGGCAATAAATTCCTTCAGTAATTCCTCAGTAATCACATTCAGTGTCTCATTTTTTCCAAAAAGTCTTCCCAAGTTTTCTAGGGGGACAGTGATTCTTGGTTTAAAGCATCCAAATTCCTGGAGCACTTGCTCAGACAGACAGCGGAGTCTCACCCATTTGCGGTTCTGACTCAATAGCCCTGGGTGGGACAGAAGAATTCGCACCTCCACCAAGTCCACGTCTGAATACCACTGCCGCCTTCTCAGATGCCACAAACACCCCGTTTCCATGTTATTATCCTGTGAGCTCCGTGAAGACAGGAGACACCAAGCTTGTCCACCCCGACTCCAGTGACTCTCCTTTTCCTGTCACTACCCAGGACTACCCACGAGACATTTTGGCAGCCGCCTCTATGCCTGATCCAGACCATCACAAGCTCCCTCAAGGAACGCGCTGACTCTCTTAGAACAGTCTGCACACAGCTTTCAGGAACCCCTGAAGCCGGCTGTTCCGAACCCTGTGCGGCACGTCCTCTTGACGCGCCCCAGTGTGTCTCCTGCTCTTCGGTCTGCACTCTCTCTCTCAAGCACACTGAACCACACACGTGACGCTGCTGTGCTGAGCTGCGCTGAATTCCCAGACCAAAGAGCTGTGCCTGGTGTGGTCCGCGCCACTGACCACTCGCGTCTATTCGCACATGGATAGCCAACGCAGAGCACATGCCCTCCACGACACGTAATAGTGGACAACGGAGCCGGTCCAGGCTTTCCTTCCCGCCCCAGACCTGCGTGCGGCCGCCAGCGAGGCAGCGCAGAGCTGGGCCGGCTTTACCTTCATCTGCGCCAGCTGCTGCTGCTGCTGCTGCTGCTGCAGCCTCCGCAGCGCCTCCTGCTGCTGCTGCCGCTGGCGCATGAGCTCCTTCTGCCGCTGTAGCTCCAGCTCCTTCCTCTTCCGCTCCTCCTCCTCGTGCCGGAGTCTGGCCGCCTCCTCCTCCATTCGCAGCCGGTTCTCCTCGAGACGGCGCTGGGCCTCCTCTTCCTCCCGAGCCCATTTTGCAGCCTCCTCTTCCTTCCCAGAAGGAAACATTCAAACACACGCACACACAAAACAAAAACACAACTTTAATCATGTTTAAAAACAAAGCTTGCAATTACTTCTGAAGTTTCAGCCAAAAAGTGGCGGAGAGAACAACTTGGGGACATCAGGTAGAATTTTTATTTTTGTATGTGTATCAGTCCCGAAGTGTTCAGGATTCAAGTGCAACCTATTTGCTAATTTCAACACAGAAACGTCACCCTGCACACCTGCAGTGAGCATTCATCTCTTAAGCAAGCCCCGTGGCGCCCTCCTGGTCCTTCCCGCTCCGTCTCGCCCCTGGTCTGGGAAGCACGCTATCACTCTTTAGGAACTCGGAAGTGAATACTGTGACTTTGCGGCTGTGGCTTTTATTCTCTCCCTGTCTACATCCCTATCCACAGAATCTGTGGGATTCTGCAGGACAGAAAACAATTTCTTCAAAAGCTCTGTATTTTATGACACAAGGTGCAGTAACAAAACACATTAACTGACAAATTTAAAAAAAAAAACCCAAGGAATAAATCTACATACAATCTAACTTTAAAGTTACATGCCTCTATTTATCTTAGGTTTCTCTAAGAGTTTTAATCAAAAACTTGGGGAAAAGCTGATAATCTCAAATTCTGTGTCAATCTAAGTAACAAAAATCTCCATCAGTTTTTCGATCTGTTTTGCTAAATGGGGCCATGGGAGTGATGCAGGGGGCCTCCTGCTTGGCCTGCACGTGGGTCCACAGCTGCTGGGCATGGCCCTGCCTGAGAGCTCTCTCCCACTTGCTGTTTGGAGGTGACTTCTGGGTAGAGAAGGGACCGTGGTCCCACAGCCAGGTCCCCAAGGTTTAACCAGCAATCATCTATCATGCTGCAAGCATATGCCCTTGACACAGTGTGATAAAAACAACTGTGCTTCTGTGCTCTTCCCAATCAGCCACAATTTCAGTCTAATCATGAGAAAAATTGCAAATTCCAATACAAGGTCTTCTTACAACCTGCCAGCTGGTTCCTTAAAACTGTCAGTCACAAATCTGAGAAACTTTCAGTCAATAAGCAGCTAAGGAAACATGATGATCAACTGCAACACTGGAGGATGGGATCCCAGGACAGAAAAAGGAACACACAGGCAAAATCAAAGGAAATGGGAATGAAGCTATGGACTTTTATTACTAATAATGCACCACTATCAGTTTGTGACAAACATGGCAGAACGCTGGGAGGAGAGGAAGAAAATCTCACCCCAATTTTTATGAAAATCTCGTACTTTTCTAAAACTAAGATTTGTCAATAAAAAATCCCATCATATTCTGAACAGTAAAATAAAGTGCTTTCCGGGTTCTTGCTGCCTGAGAATCAAAATTCAAAGCAGGACTGAAATGAGCCGTGCATGGCCTGGTTACTGCAACCCGTGTGTGCGCGAATGGACAGGTGTGGTTTCTGAGAGAAGGCATTCATTCTGCTGACACCCATTATTTCTGTTCTCTTCAGTACTCCGTCCGGTTCTTGTAATTACACCTGGGACGGCTATTTCAAGTATCTCTTTCAATAATGTTCGGCACCCGGAAAAGGTCTTAGACACACCATTCGAATACCCTGACACCGTCTCACAGCAAACTCCTAGCTTCAAAGCAGCACGGCGGAGAGCAGCGGTGTGGTCACCTGCTTGCGCAGCAATTCCTCCTGTTTCCGCCTCTCTTCCTCTTCTCTTCTCCTCTCTTCCAGCCTTCTTAGAGCTTCCTCTTGCTGCTGTCTCTCTTCTTCTTCTCGCTGCCGCCTTAATGCCATTTCCTGCTCCCGCTGGCGCCGCAGAGCTTCTTCCTTTACCAAATTAAAAAAGGAGTGTGTGTATCTGACTCTACTACATCGTAATTTGAACACAAACAGGTGATCTGTGCTGTGAGACTCTAGTAACAGTAACTACAGAAAGTGTAGGACCAGGATGTAGAATGGAAAGCGTGCATGTGCGCGTGTGGGCGTGTGGGCACGTTAACAGTTAAAATAATCTGTACTGAAATACCGGCAAGCAGTATTACACGGTGGTACAGAATACTACATTAGCTACCCCAGTTGCTAATGACCTAATCACCTCTAGAAAAAGCCTGATTATTTCATCATCTCAGAACCTAAGGCATAGAGAGATCAAATCGCAATAGAAGTATTGTATCCGTGAACGTGTCCTGAAGGACTGAAGTTCCACAGGTAAATCCGGCAAAGGGCCCCACTGTGAAATAATTTAGGGAATACTGGGCAATACAGATTTCTATACTGCTTTATTTCTTACACCTAACAGAGAAGCTCTGGGCCACAGAGACAGCTCGGTGGCAGAAAGGGATCACGCTGGGCCTGGAAGAATAGCACAGAGGTATAGGTTTTATTCAGCAAGCACACCAGCAAGTGCAAATCCCAGGTGCCACACACACCAAGTGCCAACACCAGGGGTCCCTGGTGTCCAAGCAATTTCCAGCCTTACTGCAGCCAGGTCTGGGTGAGCAGCACACAAAAGGAGTGTGAGCGCAGAGAGCCCAAGGGCTAAAGTGAGCATGTGACCCTTTTGATTTTCACAAGCTACTCTTAAAAGTCTGCAAATGTGAAAAATGAAGTAAAGGCTAGACTTGGGATATATTACAAAGTGATTCCTTCAACCAGAATCTATTAAAAAAAAAAAACCCAAGAGAACAATGTGTCAAGATAGAGCGACTGTACTTGGTTTAACTGTGCGATTGTACAGACCGCACCCAACCCAGGTTTGATTCCCAGGACCCCATATTGTCCCCCAAGCCTACTAAAAGTGATTCCTGAGCAGGAGTAAGAGCCAGGATTGAGCCCTCAGCACAGTTGTGTGGATCTCAAAAACAAAACAAAACAAAACAGGCCAAGCACAGAACAGAGACTCCCCACCCCCACAAATACCAATGGTCGCGAAACACAAAAAACTTCCAATGAAATTGGATATAAACACTTCCACAAAGACGTTAAATTCTGAAATTTAACTATAAAATCCTAGGAAATTATTCAAGAAATCTGTTCAAATCACCTACATACATGCCTAATATTCCTCCAGAGAGTATTAGTGGACAACAAGTATCTCTGCTAATGAAAACTGAGTCTTCTGAAGTTCTACCCCCAATTCTCCTGTTAACTCTGTTGACCTCAGGAAAATCATCTCCTAGAGATCTCGTACCTGTGAGCTCAGGGGCAGGGGCAAGAGCAGGACCCCGAGGCCTGCGGCTAAGGCCCGGATGGGTGAGAGTTCACGGAGGATACCTGTTTCCTTCGGGCAAGCTCTTCCTCTTCCCGTCTTTTCCTTTCTTCCTCCTGCTGTCTCCGAAGCATTTCCTCCTGTTGTCTCCGAAGTTCTTCTTGCCTCTTTCGTTCCTCCTCTTCCCGTTTTGCCCTCATTTCTGCCTCTCTTCTCTCCTGCTCTAGCTGTGACAACAAAGAATGGTCTTATCGACATGAAACCAAGGAATGCTGACCCTTCACTGACTAGTAACTGCTAAGAGGAGCTGGTGGGCCAGGGGTGTGCTCAAATGCATCTCTTACGGGCATAAACCTGGGTTTGATGGCCAACACTACAAAACTTTTTTTTATCCCCCTATTTGGGTTACACCCAGCAATGCACAGGGGTCACTCCTGGCTCTGCACTCAAGAATTACCCCTGGCGGTGCTCAGGGGTTCATATGGGATGCTGGGAATTGAACCCGGGCCAGCCGCATGCAAGGCAAACGTCCTCCCCACTATGCTATCACTCCAGCCCCTAAAAAACATTTTTAAAGCAGTCAGTGTGTGGGACAGTAGCATCCAACTCAGTCACGGACACTGCCACCGGGGGAGAAAGCCAGCAGGACTGTGCCACACTCTTAACGGAAAGTGCTTCCCATGGTCCTGCCACCGGGGAGAGCACGCAGTCACCGCGAGGCAGAACTCATCAGAATCCTTCATCAGGTGCAGTTCTTTGCTTATCCCTACTATCTTTTGGACTGGCCAAGCCTCAACAGCAACATTATAAAGTTGCTAGTATGAAGTTATACAATTCTTTACAATTTTGAGACCAACCCAGGCAACAAATTCCATCGTTTATGTGATTTCCTCACCAAGAATCTCTCAGCTGATACCCAGCATTTGCCTTCCCTGCTCACTTCAACACCTCACCTTCACTACGGTCCCCAACTTCCACTTGGCCCCATCCTTGACCTCTTCAGTGTGACGGTCCGAGGCCCTTCAACACCGGCCCGCCCACTTCTTTAGTCTCCACTTCCATGTGTCCTCTCCAGGGACACCGAATTATTTCGCTCTCCCCTGAGCCAGTGTATGTTCTCACAGACTTCTGAGCCTTTACAGATATTTTTTTCTTTCGACTACAAGTGAATTTTCACCTGTTCAGACTCTGTCACCCTAAGACCCTTCAATGGGATAAATCCTACTATCCTTGGGGCCAGAGAGACAGTACAGTAGCAGGGCGTTTGCCTTGCGTTTGCCTAGCAGAGGCCACCCAGGGCTCGATCCCTGGCATCTCATATGGTCCCTGAGCACCGTAATTCCTGAGTGCAGTGCCAGGAGTAACCCTTGGCATCACCGGGTATGGCCCCCAAACAAACAAACCAAAAAACTCTACTATCCCCTCAGGTGCAAATGAGCCAAGCTCTTAACTGTTTGTGGACAGTGGTGTCTGCCTGGGTCCTGGGTCCAAGTACACAAGCATCTGTCTTCCTTCAGCTATGTGTTTGAAGCCTGGCCTCTCCCTCACGGGGACATACCCTGATCAAGAACCCCTTCCACACTCTGGACACCCTAAGGAGACTGACTGGCTCGGGGGATAAATATACATTAGCCAGCCCGAAGGGGAAAGGGTGTTGCCCCATTCGCCCTCTCCTCTCTGAAAGAAAGATGGCGGCCGCACGGGAGCCTTGTGGACAGCAGGTTTGAGCCGGGGGTGGGGGTGGCAGGGACCTCATGGGAAGGGGGGCGTTTCGGTCCGTCCTTCACGCCCAACCGAGGTCACCAGTTGCCCCCCACGAGCGGCTCTCCGGCACGGCCACGGCCCCAGAAGCACAAGGACTTAACACAGAGAACCAGCAGCTTGGAGCAGAAAAGCGAATGGACTATGTGTTAAACCGCGCCATCATGCCTGCCCGGAGGGGAAAGGGTGTTGCCCTCTCCTCTCTGGAAAGAAAGATGGCAGCTGCCAGGGAGCCTCGTGGACAGCAGGTTTTTGAGCCGGGGGTCAGGGGCGGCAGGGGCCTAATGGGAAGGGGGGCGTTTCGGTCCGTCCTTCACGCCCTACCGAGGTCACCAGTTGCCCCCCACGAGCGGCTCTCTGGCACAGCCACAACTCCAGAGCACAGAAACCAATCTCTTAACTATCTAACTTTTAATAGAAATACTTCCAGGGTTAATAAGTAAAATAGCAGAAATCCAAAACCGCGCGGCCGCTATTGCGGCTGCGCGACATCATTTAATTCTTAAAACCCAGCTATAGAAAGCAAATCATTTCACAACGCTTTTTCAGCATGTCTGATTTGGGGGGGGGGGGGGGTTGTAAACTCTAAATAATAGTGGTGCATCTTTTATCGAAACAATGAATCTAGTCAAAGTAGATAGAGTATTAACTAGAACTCATCTGCCTCACAGGCATTGGGAGGGGTGGGAGGTGGGGTTCTATTGGGGTTCTTCGTGGTAAAAAATAAGTATTGGTAAAGGGAAAGGTGTTTGATATTTGCATGACTGAGACCTAAACCTGAAAGCTTTGTAACTTTTCCCATAGTGATTCAATAAATAAATAAATTATAAAAAAAAATACATTAGCCACAAAACAGGACTGAGATTTCCCTAGCGACACGAACAACAGGACTCATTACAACAGCCCGAGGCACCGATAGGCAACCTCTACTGGCAGGCGCTCAAATCAAAACCCAGGGGCCGAGCTGCTGAGATGGGGACGGTGACAGGCACCCGCATGACTGTGACTGAACTTCACTGACCACGGTCAGTGTCAGCCGACCGAGTTTCACGGATGTGGACTTGCTAATTTAAACTGTGCGAGGGCTCCCGAGCAAAGAGGACGCAGCGAGAGCAGCGGGACTGGGCTTGCTGACGAGCCAGGCGGCAGCAGGCATGGAAAACGGGCGTGAGTGACAGCAGACGGCAGGGCTGGGGCTGGGGCAGACCTTTGCAGCTTTGGCCTTCTCCATCTGCTGGAGCTGTTCAAGAGCAGGTCCTGAAGGTGCCGTGTCAAGGGGAAGGTCCCACACACTGCCACTTTCCCAAACTGGAAAACACGAGAAGAACAAGGGCTGTCAGAGCTTCCATACAATGGTCACAAAGCCAAGCTGCTCCCGGGGCCTCCGAAGGGCCCACCCTCTACTGTTCTGCTGTTTATAGCTACTGGCCTCTTATCATTCTGGCCTGTAATATACTCAGATGGAAAGCAGGTATCAGGCACTTGTTGAGAAGTTAAGTCTATCCGGATAAAACTTGGATCTCTTCAAACCCTCGTTCTTACCTATGTTAAAGCTAAGAATCATGGGTAGTTTGGTAACACTCCCAGGGAGAAGCGCACTGCTGCATAGGATTTAAATCCTAGTGTATAGGGATTCAGAGCCTAATTTCTATTTCTAGTAGTCATGGAAACGCGTACTGGACACAAAATAGAAAGTGAGATAACAGAGAACAGTAATGGGACAAGGAAAAACCAAGTGGTTCCCTAACACCGTGTTTTAAATACTATTGAATGTTCATTCAAAACCAGATTTCTGCTATGTGAGTTTCACTTCACTGGAGAGACAGGAGAGAGATAGCAGCAGAGCAAGCACCAGAGAGCTGGAGAGGTCTCGCGATGCCACAGGCTCCTGCCAACCTGCCGCAGCCCAGTCAGAGGTGGAAGAGGAAGGCTCTGTTTTCCTACTGTCAGCAAGGTTTGCCAATGCTACATTGTAGCACTTTATTTTGGATGCTCCAACTGAACTCTATGTATCAGTAAAGATTACTTGTACAAAGGCAACCATTTGTAAAGAACTTTTTCTGTATCAAACCATAGAAAGAAACTTTAATCTGATATAGACAAAAAGCTTTCCCCAAACTGGATTAATCCTATTTATAAATGGCTATCAAGAACACTTAAGGTGGAAATCACATGGAATATTAATGAGGCAAGATAAATAGTCCTTCTATCATGATCTTCAGGGTCACTGTTGGCAAGAGAATCACTGAATGGTTCAATGAAGAAAAAACCCAAAATGCACATAGACCCGACAGTCTTGAACACCAACGATGATCCCTTGAGAGACTCACCCATGCGTCCAACTACCTCCCTCCCCCATTGCAAGCTCACCTTAAGAAAGAGATGCATTTCGTAATTATCAAGGCTTAAAAAATTAAACACTCCAGCCCTCAGGCCCAGGGATGTGGCTCAGTCTGGCATCATCCCACAGGGCATCGTGATTCCCACACAGCTCTGCCACCCAAAGGTGCTGCACACCCAAATGTGTGTGGTCTCTGGAAGTCACAGAAACAGCGACAAAAGGCAGGGCCCTGGGTGGGCAAAGACCCACAGCAGAGCACAGGCCTGCTTTCTAGACACCGACGGTTCCTCCTGCTCAAGTGTGACCAGGTAATCTCGCCATGGGTGCAAATCCCAAATTTAAAAAAAAACAAAACAAAAACAGGGTCTGAGACATAGCTCAAAACACGGACCACAGTCTTGCATGCACGAGACCCTGAGTTCAATAGCCAATACTCCAAGTGTCCCCGAGTATGGCCTTGGTGAACCACACTGCCTGGGGGTCTACAACAGCCTGTCAGATGTGCACAGATGGGGAAAAGTCACCCCCAAAAGTCGCAGCCCCAAATTTCCAAATTTGATGCAAAAAGATTACAAATATGGTGGTGGGCTCAAAAATGGGCATTCCTCTTCCTCAAATTTTTTAGCTACCTGTGACGTTAAGCTCTTATTAACTTGCCATATCAAATAGGTCATAGTTATTACTTTTATCTTTACTTGCTTCCTCCCCGGTAGTAGTGATGAAAACAAGTTAAAAGATTTTCCCATACTATAGAGCAAAATTAAAAAGAAACCAGTCAAAATTAATTTACCTACTAAATAATTTTTAGCAAATCAATAATGGTGCAGTTTCAATAGTATTTTAATTCTCTGCTGAGGTCTGTTTTTAAAAAAGAACTGGGACTTTTTCTTTTTTCTTTTTAAGGAAAGTGTCTAACCTCCTGCACTATCTCTCTGGCCCCTGAACTTGCCTTTTTATTTTTTAATTAAATCACTGTGAACTGCACAGTTACAGGGATATTTATGACCGAGTTTCAGCTGTGTATCGTCCCAATACCAATCCCTCCACCACTGCTTACCCCTTCCTCCCACAGCTTGCCTGTGGCAGGCCCCCGTCCCCCCACCCCCCGGCCTAGTCCCCTTCCCAAACTCATCCCACACCCCTGCCCCAGTGGCCAGCTTCCTACTAAAGACCAAGAACTCAGACTTCTGCTGATCAGCACAAAAAGCAAAAAACAAAACTATCACATTTTCAGAAAACTGAACTATAAAGTTATTAAGATGTCCTCAGAACCCAACTCCAAGTCAATGCAACCCTTTACCTGTCGGCTGTGAGGCTGCAGGCTGAAGCTCCCAGATCGAGCCAGTGTCTGGGACCGACACAGACCGAGCTACAGAGGGAAGGACATTCTGATCGGATATTCTGCAAAAGGGAAATGAAAAAAGTGACCTATTCTTGTTGGGAATAGAGTGATCTCCAGAATCGTTCCTCAGGACCCATATTCGGCCAGCCAAGTCCTTTGTCATCTCAGTCACACACACTTAGCCAGCGGGGCCGTGAAGGCGCCCCCGCACCCTCGGCCTACAACCAACCTTGGGCCTGGAGAGAGAGCAGAGCTTGACTGGGATGTGGCAGTCCCAGTTTTAGATCCCCGAGACCTGGAGCAATCCCTTAATTTCCCTGGAACGCCGTATGGTTCCCCGAGCCCTCGGGAGTGAGTCCCGAGTAGTCGGAGCCAGTCAGGAGTAACCCCTGAGCGTGGGTGTACCCCACCAACCCAATAAAAAAAAAGAAAAGGTAACGAATGATTGAATGATTGCCTCAGTCAGAGCCACAGAGGTGGCAAGTTGAGACGAAGATGCCCACACACTGCAAGCCAAAATGCCTGTCTTAATTCTGACACTGAAGCTTCTGAAAACCTGTATCCCAGAATGTCACTACCAACGCCTAAAGTACTTGGACACCATGAGTAAAATGAGAGACAATCTTTATCCCAGTGTTTTTCACGCCTGTGGGCTGACAGGGGGTGTGACCCTAGCAGTATTAACACCCCCATGGCATTAATTCTCTTGTACAGTGACACCAGTCTTCAAAAACCAGTGGCTAAAAACCATTGTTTTAGACACAAATTTTTTTGAGGGGTGGGGTGGGGGAGCTATAACACTACGTTTCTCCAGAAAATCTATTTGATTGTTATTCCAAAGTTATCCTGATTTTTAGGATAAATTTTTATTCTAAATGTATCCTGAGGGGGGCCAGAGCGACAGTTCAGGGTAGGGCGTTTGCCTTGCATGCAGCCAACCTGGGTTCGATCCCAGTCCCATATGGTTCCTCAAGCACTGTCAGTAGTGATTCCTGAGTGCATGGCCAGAAGTAACTTCTGAGCATCACCATGTGTGGCCCCAAAACAAAACAAACAAACAAAAAAACCCCAAATTTATCCTCCAAGTGAAAAAAGACATAATACAATGCTTTGCCACCAGTTTAAGTTGATTTTTAACACTCTTGTCCTGACACACAGTGTGCCGGAGGGATTTCCGGTACTGGAGTTCTCAGGTACCAACCAAGCATCCTCCTCCCCCAGCCTCCCAGCGTGCGACCGAGGACACCAAGGACACTGCCACCCACCTCATCTTCAGAGTCTGGAACTGCTGGAGCAGCAGAGCCAACTGCTGCTGCTGCTGGGAGGACAGGGCCGCCTTCTGCTGCTGCGCGAGGACCTGGGCGTACTGCTGCCTGCGGGCGAGACGGGGCTGTCGGGGGCAGGCCGCTGCCGGCCCAGTGCCTCCCGCACGTGGCGACGCGCTCTCCCACTCACGGCGACTACCACGCAGGAAACCCCACACTCACGCTAGAATACACTGAACTTTTTATAAGTGACATACTTCTCAAAGAAAAAGTTAGATGCCAAAAAGCTGGCAGAACCCCCCAAAAGGACAATAGTATTTTAAAAAATTAATAAAAATGACAAAACAAGTAAAAAAGTAAACAGGGGTATTTCCACATGAAGCAGCTTTTCCAAAAATAAAAGTCCCTTGTATCAATATTCTCAAGTTTGTTTCCAACTGGGAAATTCGGTGAAGACTTTTCTTCACTAGAACAGAGTGAACGACTTTTTTCTGTTACAGATAAACAGTAAACTATTTGCAGCTTTGCAGGCTATGCCCAACTACTCAGTTCTGGGGCTGTGGTTTAAAAGGCGCCCCAGACGACATACAAACAAGTGGCTGCGTTCCAATCGAATGGTCTATAATGGGCAGCGGGTTGCCTGGCCGTCAGAGCACCCGAGGACAGAAATCCGACTGTGCCCAGAGGCCCACGCCACCCAGCCTCCTGCTAACAGCACCCACCGTGCTGCGATCCATACTTGAAAACAGACCCACCTCAGAGGCACCTGGCTACTAAGTAAAAATTCTTGCTTTAGGAGCAAAAATTCCTTATGAAACATATTCTGTGTCAGCTTCTGCAGTCTCACTATTGAACCAACCAAATGCAGACTGCGTCTGGAGGCAGTCCACTGGCTGGGTGGTTCAAGTCTCCTATACGGAGGAAATGGTGGCACTGGGAGCAGATGACACGTAAAGGCCCCTTTGCAGAGAGCTGCTGTCACCCTCCCACACCACTGTTCTTACTGAATTAAGAACTGCTGGTATTGGAGGTGCTGCATTTGGTATAAGGCCGTGAGTTCTTGCTGCCTGGTCAGTCGTTCCTGATCCAACTCTCCCTAGGGATAGGGGGAAAAATACCATTGAATAAATTTCGAAGATCCCAGAAGCCACTTGTACATATACATGGAAGCAAAATCAACCCCATACCTTCACATTCCACTTTACCTTTATGCTTAAAAATGCCCCATTTTTAAAAACGCAGGCAACTTGAAGCTAACAATGCCCTCTAGTGGAAGAAGGCTGTGTTGCACAGAGGGTTGCTTAAGGTGGGGTGGGTTCAACTCAAGCGTCCCAGAAACTAAATGCTGTGCTGGACCCAAATACCTCAACAGATATTTAATCCTTTCCATTTTAAACACAATTTATAAATGTAGAGATCATAGAGATATAGGGTAAATGACAGAAAGAAGTAAACTAATCTAAGTTAATGCCATATGAGAAGTCAATGTGTTAACTTAAAAATACTATGAAAAATTTAAATTGCAAATATGAAAGAATTTAAACTCTAACTAAAAAACAGTAACCTAAAATTCAAAAAACTAGGTGTTCCTATTGTTATGAAAATATCTTGAATTGGAAAAAATTAAGCTGCCCTTTTTAGCTTAAATTTTGAAGAACTAGGCTGGAAAAGCTAAAAAAAAAACTAGTTTTGAAAGCTAAAAAAAATAAAACAAGTGTACAGCAGCTGAAATCATTAGTGAATACAGCAGCATCTACCTTTAGTTTACAGTGATTATAATTTTGGTATAAAACATTTGATGTATGATATGAGGGCAGAGATCACCTGAAATTCAAGGACATTATCTTTCTCATTAGATAATGAAGTTTATACTACATCACTCTAAATTTTCTTTATGAAAACCTAGGTTTCAAGGCTTATACATTCTCAAGGTGCACACTCTTTATTTCGGTGCTCACTGAGGGAAAGGCAGTGACTGAGGGAAGCAAAACTTCCGCTTCATGGTTCTTTTAAGCAGGTTTGACTGTGGCTTAGTCCATTACTTATAATTCAGAACCTTGAAGCATTCCAGGTCCAAAGCAATGAACTTTCAGTTTTGAAATGTACAAGATAAAAGTTTATCGTAGGGGCTGGAGCAATAGCACAGTGGGTAGGGCATTTGCCTGGCACGCGGCTGACCCGGGTTCGATTCCCAGCATCCCACATGGTCCCCTGAGCACTGCCAGGGGTAATCTCTGAATGCAGAGCCAGGAGTAACCACGTGCATCAATGGGTGTGACCCAAAAAGGAAAAAAAAAGTTTATCCTAGTATCAGAGAAGAGAAATAAAGTTCCACTTGCTATACAAATTAAATGTATATGCAATAGTACATGATACATTATTTTCTGTGTTTATATAATCCCTGTTGGGACCAGGGAGAAAGCAGAAGTGTCACACGAACACATGACTTGAGCTTGAGGGGCCCTAAAGTCCATCCCCAGCACTGCAGCACTGCTTGGTCCCCCTGAACTCTACTGGGTCTGGTCCTAGCGTTCTCAGAGGCTGAGCACCACACTCTGGAGCCTAATCACCAAACAGGGTGACACAACTGGGGTCTGGTTCAGCAAGGGTATGAGGGGTCAGAGAGAGAGAGAACTGTGGGCCACTTGCCTTACACATAGTGACCCTAGTTCGATCCCTGAGATCCCATATGATCTCCAGAGCACTGCCAGGAGTGATCCTTGAGCACAGAACCAGGAGTAAGGCCAGGTGTGGTCCCCAAACAAAAAGAGGAGGTGGTGGTGGGGGGAGGCTATTGCCAGAACGTGCGGATTGGACAGTAAGAGGGCAAGGCTGACACCTTCATTCTCTGCCCGCTGGGAAGCTCTTGGCTCCTCAGTGGGCACCTTTGTGGGATGACACACACACACACACACGGGCACAGAACCCAAGCGTCGACAAGCATGTGGTCTCCAAGGCGGAGTTCCATTAGGGTTTCTGCTCATTTCAGGAGCTACAGACTCATCCTCTTTGTGCTTGCCAAGATTGCACATGCTGCCTTGCCGCATCTCGAGTGCTTCGGGGGCTTACCATATGAGGTGGCGGCGCTGGGCCAGGAGAGAAGGGAACTCTTCCCCACATCTTCATGATGTCACCGAGGGGCTGGAAGCTTTCATCACATGCTCTCTTCACCAATAAGGACATAGTGAAATAGCCCGCCTGAAACCATTCCGCCATTTCCTGATTATTGAAGGGACCTGGAATAGACAGCACCAATTAAACAGGCAGGCGGAAGACTCCTTTCCAGCTCAAGAGGGGGAAGAAGAGATATTTCCTGGGTCTGCTCCTTACTTTGGAACAACTTGTTTCTTGTAAAAATTAATTCAGTCCATATCCCAAACTACTAAAATACACAGAAAATGTTCAAAATAAGCCTTGTTTACATCTTCCCAATTCCAACAGTGCTTTAATAACTTTAAGGAGCAAAACTGTCTCCATCTCACTTACTAAAAATCATTTGTCGGGCTGGAGAGAAAGCACAGCGGGTGGGGCATTTGCCTTGCACGCGGCCAACCCGGGTTCGATTCCCAGCATCCCATAGGGTCCCCTGAGCACCGCCAGGAGTAACTCCTGAGGGCAGAGCCAGGAGTAACCCCTGTGCATTGCCGGGTGTGAACCAAAAAGCAAAAATAAACAAACAAATAAATAAATAAAAGCCATCTGTCAGGAAAGTATCTGCGGAGGGCATGTGTTAGGCTTTGTGGTACGGAGAGGCTAGAAACACACAGCGCTGACCCGGTTTTCTGCCAGCGTGAGGTCAGGCAAAATGAAAACACTAAGACACACTATAATTTACTTTCCCAGGTAAGTCCAAATCAGGCATGGCTGAGGGGAAAAGGAAATAACGTTCTCTGGCTGTTTCACGGCGAGGACCGGCAGCGGAGGTCTGCCGAGGCCCCGGCAATCATACCCTTCCTGGGAAGAAAGGAGCCTCTCAACAAAAGGTCCCAGAACGAGGACAGCCAGGCGCCCCCTAGAAGGCTTCTTTATCTAAATCCCCCTTTAGCCTACAAAAATTAACTCAAAATGGATCCCAGACTTAACCAGAAACTCAAAAACACATCCACAGAAGAAAAGGGGACGATCAAAATGGAAGACAGCGGGGGTGGCTCCAACTTAAAAGGCTCAACACCGCGGAAGAAAGCGTCAGAACAAGTTGGCGACTGATCGAGTGACAGAAGGCATCTGCAAATCATAGCTATAACAAGGTGTTGCAGTCCCAAATGTTTATTTTGAAAACCCCTACAACTCGAAATCGGAAAAATAAACCCTATTAAGAAATGGGCAGAGAATTGTAACACTTCTCCAGAAGTCGGTAGATAGCCAGCAGGTCTATGCAAGAATTCTATGAAAAAAATCTATTACTTGTTATGAGGGAAATGCAGACGAATGAGCCATGCCTCCCCACAGTAGAAATCACTCTCTCCCAAAGGGCAAGAAGCCAGAGTGGGACAGGAGCCCTTGCTCAAGGTGGGAGGTTGTACGCTTGGTGTAACCGATGTGAAAACAGGACGGTAAAGCCTCAAAAGTGCCTGAACAAAATGCCATGATTCAGTCGAGTCCCCTTCTGAGTGTTTATTCAGAGTACACACTATCAAATATATATATATATATATATATATATGCATGACAAGAATGGAACAAACAATTCTAAATGTTTAAATAATTGAAACAATAAATGAAATAAATTTAGTTCTTAATGTACCAGTAAGTCATTTTATTTTTTTTAGGTTTTGGGGGGCTCACCTGGCTGTGCTCAGGGCTTACTCCTGGCTCTGTACTCAGAGATCACTCCTGGAGGGCTAAGGGGACCAAATCAGGTGCTGAGGATCAAAGCCAGGTTGGTCACATGCAAGGCAAATGCCCCTTGGCAAATGGTAGTCTCGCTCCAGCCCATACCAATAAATATATTTTATTTAAAAAAAAAATGTGGGGCTGGAGTGATAGCACAGCGGGTAGGGCGTTTGCCTTGCACGCAGCCGACCAGGGTTCAATTCCCAGCATCCCATATGGTCCCCCGGGCACCGCCAGGAGTCATTCCTGAGTGCAGAGCCAGGAGTAACCCCTGAGCATCGCCGGGTGTGACCCAAAAAGCAAAAAAAAAAAAAAAAAAAAAAAGCCCCTTCATGTTCATTTCAGTACAATTCACAGTAATCAAGATTTGGAAATAAGCTAAGTGTCCAGTGACAGATGAATAAATAAAGATGACTTCAAGGCCAATGAAACACTGCTTACACATTAAAAAAATTTTTTTTAAAAAAAAGATGAAATTCTACCACTTGTGACAATATGAACTGGATTATGTCACAGTAAATAAGTCAAAGGAGAAGACACAGACCATATGATTTCACTCACATGTGGAAGATAAAACAGACTCATAACTTATGAGAACAACAAGACGAATACCAAAGGGGTATGGGGCTAGAGGTGGGTAAAACTGGTAAGAGGGTGATGGGGTCAAATATATGATGACAGGGGCTAGAGGGACAGTCCATCGGGCACAGTACTTGCCTTGCATACGGACAACCTGGGTTTGATCCCCAGTACCTCATAAGGCCCCCCCAAGTGCCACCAGGAGTAATTCTTGAGTGCAGAGTCAGGAGGAAGACCTGAGCATCGCTAGATGTGGCCCCAAAACAAAAAAACACCCAGCGCCCTCACCCCGAGAAGCAAAAACAAAAACGCAAATACACAGTGATAGTAGCTGTTAAGAAACTAGGATCTAGGTGGGGATTCTAATGCTGCATATCCAGATGTCAAATTAGAACACTGCAGACTGGAAACAATGTTATAAACCAGTTAATTCAATAAAAATGGAAAAATGAAAAATTAACGCGTCCAATGACAAGTTAGCTCTTCTAACTTAAAAACACTGCCCTAGAGCACAGCAGCTTGTGGCAGAAAAGTGAATGCACTATGCGTTAATCCATGCCACCACGCCTGCCTGGGAGGGAAAGGGTGTTTGCCTTTTTCCCTTTGGACAGCAAGATGGTGGCCGCCTAGGAGCTTTTTGGAAAACCGGGTACGAGCCGGTCGTGACGGGGCAACTGAAACCTCATGGGAAGGGGGGCGTTCCCAGCTCGTCTTCATGCCCTACCGAGATCACGAGTTGCCCCCCACAAGCGGCTCTCCGGCACGGCCATGGCTCCAGAGTCACAGAAACCAATCTCATAATTACATGACTCTCGGCAGAAATACTTCCAGGCTTAATAAGTAAAATATCAGAAATCCAAAATCATTTGGTTCTTGTAATCAGCTGTAGAAAACAAATTATTTCACAATGCCTTTTCAGCACGTCTGATTTGGGGGTGTAAACTCTAAATAATAACGGTGTGCATCTCTTGTCGAAACAATGAATCTAATCAAAGCAGATAAGAGTGTTAACTAGAATTCATCTGCCTCACAGGCATTGGGAGGGTTGGGGGTAGGTTATATTGGGGTTCTTGGTGGTGAAAAATAAGTACTGGTGAAGGGAAATGTGTTTGATGATTGCATGACCGAGACTTAAACCTGAAAGCTTTGTAACTTTTCCCACAGTGATTCAATAAATAAATTTTAAAAAATTAAAAAGTAAAAATAAAAACACTGCACTGTTGAAGAATAAAAGGAAAACAGCACTGGAGAAAACACCTGTCAAACGTGTCTTCTGGGCTGTGGTGCAGCTGAGCACTGCCCCAGGGTAGGATTGGGGACATTGGTCTCATTAATGAGGATCAAGAATACTGAAAGGACTCTCAAAATTTGTAAGTGACAAGATAAACTATCCAACTAGAACACAGACAAGAACCATTAAGAAATATATGACTCAATGAAGAAAACCGGCAATAATCATAGTGGAAGTCGTTTAACACCGGTAGCAATTTAACAGATTAAACTGAAAAACTACAAATAAGTAGTCGCTAACCAATCTGTCAGAATGACTAAAATTAAAAAATAGCAAGATCATCAAATACTGTCAGGGCCATAGAGAAACTGGAACTCAGACTGCTGGTAGAATTAACAAATACTACAGTCCTCTATGAAAAAGGTTTGCAGGTTCTTAAAAATACTTAAGAGGTAACCATTATGCAACCGGCAATCGCAGTCCTGGGTATGTATTGAAGAATAAGGTTTTACGTTCACGGACTGTATGTGTTAAATGTGAGCTTTATTAGAATAACTCAAAACTGAGATAACCTAGAGTCCTTCAGAGGTGCATGGGAAAAATACCTACTGCCTGGAATGACATACCCATTGCACGGAATACTACACCTCAGTGAGTAAAGAGGAAAATTATGATTAATCAATGCAACAGAGATGAGAGTTGGTACAGTGGGTAGGGTGCTGGCCCTGCACAAGGGGAACACAGGTTCAGTGTCTGGCACCCCATATAGTCCCCCAAACCCCACTAGTTAAGAGCCAAGAGTAAAATCTGAGCACAGCCGATGTGTGCAACAGTTGCCCCGCACAACAAAATACACAAACACACATACGTACGCAACAACGTCAAGAAACTCCAGAGAATTATTCTTTTGTTTGTTTGTTTTAAGGCTATACCCCGCAGTGCTCAGGGGTTACTCCTGGCTCTGCACTCAGGAATTAGTCCTGGCAATGCTCGGGGGACCATATGGGATGCCGGGGATCCATGGGTCAGCCATGTGCAAGGCAAACACCTCCCCACTGTGCTCTCGCTCCAGCCCCGCTCCAGAGTGAAAAAAAAGTCAACCCCAGAAGGTTACATGCTGCATAAGTCGATTAGACAGCACTCCTGCAACGACACAGTGCAGAAATGGACAAGGAGGCTACTAGGCTTTTAAAAGGGGGGACAGGTGGAGGGAAAGGCGGTGGGAATAAAAGAGCCACGTAGGATCCCCACTTGAAGCGAAAATGTTCAGAAAATTAACTGTTACGTAGTTTTCTAAGAGATTATCTTGGGAAAAAATGGAGGGAAAAGGCACAGAACCTCTTCATTTCTTATAAATGCATGTAAAAGTACAACTAACTACCTCAAAGGGAATTTTAAATATGTGGATCTGTTTTAATGAAAATAACACAGTCCCCACTCTCAGGTACCCCACATTCTACAGGGATGTAAAAAGATCACGAACAAGTAAAAAGCCAGAAAGCTCCAGCTGCTAGAAAGAAAAATTACAGGGACAGGAGCGATAGTACTTGGGGAGGGCATGTGCTTTGACACAACCACCCTGGTTCCATCTCTGGCATCCCGAGCACTGCCTGGAATAATCCCTGAGCACAGAGCTAGGAGCAGCCCCTGAGCACTGTCAAGTGTGGCCCAAAATCCAAAAAAAAGAAAGAAAGAAAAAAGAACAATTACAGAGTAAGCGGTCTCAGAGTAGAAAGGCCAAGAGCTCACGAGGGGTCACTTGAAACATTATCATGAAACTGACACTAATGCAGTCGTCCACCAATTTAATGGTCCTGGAAATAGCTCAGGGGTCAGAGGCATATGTCCTGCACACGCAAGGACCTAAGTTGACACCTGGAACTGTCCGCCCCATCTCCAGCCCCCAAATACCTCCCCAGAGTCCCCAGTACCAGAGGGCCCAAGCAGTGGCACATGGCAGTGTCTCTGAGCACTGCTCAAGAGCTCATCCTCACCACGCCGCCCCCCCCCCCCAGCTAACCAATTACACATTATCAGCAAAGATTTTTAAAGTAGATATAAAGAAACAACAAATGTCTTTACAATATTCATTTCTTATACTCATTTATCACAGTACAAATAAATAAGGAACCAGTTCATTATATTGCACATTTTTTCCCTCAGATATTTATTTTGTTGGGGAGTGTTTTGGACCACACCTGGCAGTGCTCAGGAGTTACCCCAGTTATCCTGGCTCTGCACTCAGGAAATCACCCCTGGGAGACTGGGGACAGGGGACACACACGATGGGATGGGAAACGATGACAATATGTAGTACTGGGAACCTCTGGCATTAAATGGCTATCATACTGGCATCAATTCCACTTTAGTGAAACATTCGAGCAAGGCCTTGAAAGACTCCTACTGCTTCTTTAAGGCAGAGACTAAAGTGCAGAGAAGGTGACCAGCGGGGATGCTAACTGAGGAGATCTTGGGCTTTTTGCTTAAACCCCTATCAAATTAGCAATCACATTGTGCCTTGCATTCAATGTGAGCTCTTTCCTCTCCTATACTGAATCCAGAAAGCACAGCTGGAAATGTCTGGAGGACGTGAGCACTGACTTCTTTTTCGAGGAGCAGGTAAATAAATGCTCACCTCAAGGAAGCGGAGGAACGGAATAAGCATGCACTTCACGGTGACCAGAGGGGCCTACCTTGGATTTCTCCCTGGGGATCTTTGTAATACCACTTCTGCATGGCTTCATGCATCAATGGGACGGACGACACGCCCTTGGCTCTGTGCTCCTGCAGCTTCGTCGACAGTCTCTCATCGTCTAGGGCACTGTCCTGAAGATACGCCACCATCTTCTCAGCTTGCTGATGGAAACACAACATGGACTAAGAAGCGGGAACTCTACTAGGTCTACGGGTAATAAAATGCCCACCTTTATGGATTACGTGATCAGTAAAGATATCAGGCACAAATCATTGCAGGCAACAGTTTTAATCCTGCCAGTGATGTCACAAAACAGGTACTGTTCCTAATTCACAAAAGGCTCAAAAGCCAAGTCTCACTTGAGGCCTCAAAATTAAGCCAACTGAACTAAGATTAAAACACACACTGGGAGAGATCACAAGGCCTCTAAGCAACGCACTAATTAAGAATACTTGTCCAACTAACAAACCTTCAGGACAATCCGAAATCACAGAAATGAACCAACCCTGTAAAACCTTTTAATAGAACAAAGGGCACAATACAACTACAAATAATATCTTTTACAGACTTCATTATTCCCTGTTTTTCCTTTCTTGTCTCCACCCTACCATGAAGAAAAGAAATTCTTTTGTATAAGGCAAGCTACTTTTTACTCTGGGTAACAATGCATATACAATCTCTGAGAAATCTAGAGACAGCAGGATGTTCCTTTCTCTACTGTTTCAAGGCAAACAACACAGAAGACAAGGTGCCAGTCCACAGTTGCTTGCTTCGCCATTTTTGGCATTCCAGTAACTTCCAAAGAGAAAAAAGAAAAGCAAACAGCTAAGGGCAACCTCAGAAGAGCAAAAAATAACTTAGCATAATGACTACTACATAGCAGAAACTTACAAGCATGAAATTACTTGAGACAATTCCTCATACAAGTATTAGATACACAAAACATCTTTTCTAACACATAAAATGGAGTGGATAAGATTGTTTTGAAAGTAGTCGTCTAATGTTTTCCAACCTTCCCGGCAGTCCGAGAGAGGAAAGAACCGCATCATTTTTACCTGTTCCAAATGTTTGAGACCCTCCTCATCATCCGGCTCCGTAGGAACACTTCCCATGCCAGGAGCACCGACAGCTGGCGTTTCAACTGGCCGCAGGGCAGGAGTAGGACTGGGAACAGGAGGTGGAAGTATGAGAAGTGGAGAGGCTGCGTCTGAAATCTGTGACAGGGGCTGCTGGACGTCAGGAACCATTTCTAGAGGGAGAAATGTAGACAGGCGAGCACGCTTTAGAACAAACAGACTAGCGGCGACGGTTCCGTCAAGTTGGGCGGTTACTGCGCAGGCCTCACGGAGCCATGAACTGTGTCAGGAACACACGGCTACGACTACTGGAGAGCGAGTGTCTCTCTGGGAGTGCCACGAGTTCCTCCACAGAACGACACAACAGGGACTCAAAAGCACCTGGACAGGCCTTTTCCAGGGCCTGTGTCACTCACAGTAGCAGCTAATCGCTAGTTGGAGTTCCAGCTCTTGAAAACAGAATCAGTCTCCAGCCCTTCTTGCACTCTCTCTCATAGTAAAGCTACCAAAGCAGGACAAAGCTCCGCAAACGTGTTATTTCACATCAAAGCCTAAAGTATCTGCAATTAGCTTCACTACCTATTTCAAGGCCCAGTTAATCTACTTCAAGACATTGTATTTTGTAGGATAACGGAAAAGCACCTTGGGTCTACCTGTGCAGTGAAGGACATTCTTCTCAGTAAGAATAACGACTGCAAAAGAGGTTCTGTCCTGGTTCTTATTTCTAACCTCTCAGTATGCAGCTCTTAAGAAGAAGAGGGGGGATGGAAGTAATTAGATACAACTGCAATTTCCCCTTTGAAGCCTTGTTTGTTCAATTACAGACAGCTTCTCCGAATTCCTGTTCCTCTCATTCTCTGTTTCCTTTGCCAATTTTCTTAAAAGGAGTCTGCACCCGCTGTCTCTCCACTCCCTACCCCCACCTGCTACCCTGTGACGGCCACTCCCGCCCCATCTCCAGTAAGGGCTCCTTCCCAAAGACTCTGGGATCCGGATCCCCTCACCCCTACCACCCACCCTCTTCGGACAGCCTGACGTGGTCGGCCCGACCCTCAGGAGACAGGCTCGCCTCTGAGATCTCTTTCACCTGATCTCTAAAGTTCTCTGGCTCCTCGGAGCTACCTACCCCCAGGCTTCTGTCGTTGGGCCACTTTCGCTCACAGGTGTGTCATCTCTGACATTTTCATTGTCTTTCTGGCCATTAGTCCTGCGAGCTGGTCCAAGTCCTGCAATCCCAACAGCTTACCTGACTATCTCTAACTTCTCATCCACGGCCCAAACAATACACAGAAACAACTTCTTCTCCCCCTTTTACTCCCATTTTCTCTGACCAGAACCACGATTTCTTCAGACAAGTGCCTCATCCTGGGCTCTCCTCCTTGCCTGACGTACTAGCTGCAACAAGGTCCCACCGCCTCCTACACGAACTCACAGTGGCCAGGCTGCCCTCTGCAGGTGCCCTCAGCTCACCCTGCCTAGCCCTCGCCCAACAATCCCTCCCACTGCTGGCAAAGCCATGTCCAGTGGGGCTCCCCATGGCCTTCCTTTCCACACCTCATTAGTTCAAGCATCCCAAAAAATATGCAAACAACCAGGAGCACAACACACTAAAAGGCTCCTTTGCACGTAAAAAAATAGCACCGGAGCACTGTCCTCCCGTTGTTCATCGATTTGCTTCAGTGGGCACCAGTAACGTCTCCATTGTGAGACTTGTTACTGTTTTTGGCATATAGAATACGACACGGGGAGCTTGCCAGGCTCTGCCATGCGGGTGGGACACTCTTGGTAGCTTGCTGGGCTCTCCGAGAAGGATGGAGGAATCGAATCCGGATTTGCCGTGTGCAAGGCAAACACCCTACCTGCTGTGCTATCGCTTCAGCCCCGTAAAAATATAAATAAATAAAATAACAAAGTGAAAATACAACCTATGACTCAGGGGAGGAGGGAGAGATCTGTCAGCCAGATACATGATATGGAGGCCAGAGTGGTACAGCGGGTAGTACAGTGGGCAGCTGAACCAGGTTCAATCCCCGGCATCCCATATGGTCCCCAAGCACCACCTGGAGTAAACCCTGAGTCTCGCCAGGTGTGGCCCAAAAAACCAAAAGCCAAAACAATTCATATAACTCAAGAGCATAAAAACAAAAATCCTATCTAAATTTGGGCCAAGAACTCCAAACAAACACTTCCCCAAAGACAGACAAAAGGCTATAGAGGGCCTCTAGAGAGGGCAGTAGAAGATACTCAGTCCACCAGCCACTCAGAAACAGAGGCGGAAACCACAGCAAGGGTTCACCTCATAGCTCAAAAGATAAGACAGATCTCAGACACTCCAAAACTAAAACAGAAAAATGAGACAACAAATGCCAGGCAGGGTGTAGAGAAAAAGGTACCTGCATGCACAGTGCTGGGGGGATTATGAGTCAGTACAGTCATCGTGGGAAAGTGTGGAGAGCCACAGAATCTACAGACAGAACTCCAATGTCATCCAGCAATGACAATTGTCAATATATTCAAAGGAAGTAAAAACACTCCAAAAAAAAAAAAGTTCCCTAGAGTCTGCACAGCAATAGCATTTACAATAGCCAAGCTGTGGCAGCAACGCAAATGTCCACATTGTGTTTATTATCACAAAGCTGTAATATCTATACCCACAATGAAGTCTCGTACAAGCTAAAATTAGTCTTTATCACATTCATTAACTTGGAGGGATGGAAGTTAAAATAGCCAGTCGCACGAGACAAACACTGTTATGATCTTACTGAGATGAAATTTTACCAAGACAAAACTCCAATGCACAGGAAAAAAAACTGATTAGGAGGCTGGGGGGGACGAGGTGGACTGAAAAAGGGTAGGGGTGAGGCAGGGGAAAGACTGAAGAAAGAGGTCAGAGTACAAAATCACAAGCACGAGGGACGTAATACACAGCATGATGCTGTTAGTAACACAATTCGACAGTGAAGTATGAGACAAGGATAAACCCTAAGAGTCCTCATCACAAGGGTGAGATGTGTGTTTCTCCTCTCGTCTGGGGTATGATGGACGCTGAAGCTGTGTGATCATTCCACAATAAATCTAAGTCAAACCAGTACACCTCTTTAAACCTATCCAATGAAGTATTTCCATTTCATCCCAATAAGGAGTCAGAGAGGTGGTGCAGGGGCGAAGCCTGCTTGGCCCGGCAGCACCCCAACGGGTAGGAGCCAACCCCCTTTCTCCGATTACAATAAAACTGAAGGCAGGAAAGCAAGGCAAAAGAAAGCGAAACAACAAAAACAAAACACGGCAAAACCAGAGCTGATTCTTAAGCTAGATCAGATCTACTTCTTCACTTTAGTCTTCACTTCCCCCTACTACAGGAATGTCTTGTCTCAGTTTATTACCTTTAAGTGCCTCCCAACTTATTTCAAGATAAGCTCGAAGACTATGGGCGCCTCCAACACTGCCGGCATCTGCAGTCCGGGTGCATTTCTGCACTAGCTATGCATGCGCATGCTTTCCATTCCCTGGAGAGCAGAAGCCAGGGAGCGAGAGCCTGGTCTCCCGCTCCATAGGCCGAGCACAGGCGTGGCGAGCCAAGGCCTGGATCTGACTCCCTGCACCATGTGGTCCACCAAGTGCCAGCGCCAGACCTGAGCTACTCCACAAGAACAGAGCCGGTTGCTGGGGGGAGTGATGACAACTCCAAATAAGACAAGGTCTCAAAAAGTCCCACTGTGGGGAAATACACAATAGAGAAGCAAGTATTCGCAAAACTGATTCATCCAGCTTTGTTCTAGACATTTAAAAAACAAAACAAAAAAAAAAAAGAAATCCTTGGTCCAAACTGTCCAGTATCAGTTTACTGAGAAAAAAAGACAACATATCTTTATAAGGATGTATTGCTAGTACCACCATGCCCGGAATCAAGCTAGCTGCTAGAGAGCAAGGAAGGGGCGGAGAGAGGCCTTGCATGCAACTGCCTTGTGGCTGTCTGAATTGAATCCCTGTCGCAGATATAGGTCCTCAAGTTCCGCCAGGGATTACTCCTGGGCAAAGGCCAGAAAATAGCTCCTGAGCACTGCCGGGGTGACCCGAGCAACCGCCCCAAACAATTTTAAATACCAAACTACTGGGAAGAATACAGGTCAGTGGCAGAGCACTGCCCGAGCACTTGTGAGGCTCTGGACGGGGTGGCTTAGATAATTTAGGTGACTGGACAATCACCAAAATAAAACACAGGGAAGGTCGGATGAGAGGAAGGGAGGAGGCTCAGTGGCACAGCAAGTGCTTTTCCTGCTGTAAGGCCCTGAGTTTGATTCCCACTGGCAGACCGTAGAAAGGGAAACTGAAGTGTTCATTTAGAGGCCGGGGTCCTGGTGGGAGGGCAATGAGCTAGGCAGGGAAAGCAGCCACAGGAAATGGAAGGGAAGAGGGATGCATCCCCGTCACCCCAAGAAGAGAGAGATCACCAGGAGACAGGTAAGGACTCAAAGGTCAAAGAGAAGGGTATGGCTTCTGTAGTGAATGAACACATTATCTCTCTAATATGAGTATTACAGTAATATTTTCTCTAAGATTTTACAATGATACCTAAAGCAGACAAAGACCCCCTCCAAAATATATATATATATACATATATATATATATATCCTTTAAGAACAGATGCAAAGAACCTCAAAAATATACTAGCAAACAGAACTCAACAACTCATCCTAAAGATCATACACCATGAGGGGCTGGAGCGATAGCACAGCGGGTAGGGCGTTTGCCTTGCATGCAGCCAACATGGCCAACACAGGTTCGATTCCCAGCACCCCATATGGTCCCCTGAGCACCGCCAGGAGCAATTCCTGAATGCATGAGCCAGGAGTAACCCCTGAGCATCGCCGGGTGTGACCCAAAAAGCAAAAAAAAAAAAAAAAAAAAAAAAAAAAAGATCATATACCATGACCTAGCAGGATTCATCCCAGGAATGCTGGGATGGCTTAACATATGCAATTAATCAATGTATCAATATACCATATCAATACGGGGGGGAAAAATTGTATGAACCTATCAATAGATGCAGAGAGAGCATATGACAAGATCCAGCACCCATTCATGATTAAAACAAACAAAAAACCCTTTCAATTACCTAGGAATCGAAAAGAACTTCCCTCAAGAGTCAAAGCGATTTACCACAAGCAAACATTATACTAAGTGGGGAGAAACTCAAAGCCTTCCCACTACGATCAGGAACAAGACAAGGTGGCCCAATCTTGCCACTTTCATTCAAAACAGTACTGGAAGTACTTGCCGTAGCAGTTAGACAAGAAAAAGATATTAAGGGCATCCAGATAGGAATGGAAGAAACCAAGCTTTCACTATTTGACATGATACTGTATAACTACAAAATACCTCAAGAAATCAAAGAGGACACATAATAAGATGGGAGGCATTACTTTTCCCAACTTTAAACTGGACTACAAAGTGGTTGTAATTAAAACAGCTTGGTATCGGAATAAAGACAGACCCTCAGATCAACGAACAGAGCGGAATATCCCAACAAAACCCCTCAAGTATATGATCAGTTAATCCTTCGACAAAGGAGCAAAATATATGAAGTGGAGCAAGGAAAGCGTCTTCAACAAGCGGTGCTGGGAAAACCAGTCAGCTACAGGCAAGAAAATGAATTCAGACCTCTTTCTAACACCATGCACAAAAGTCAAATCAAAATGGATTAAAGACTTTGATATCAGGCCCTAATCCCTAAATTACAGAGAAAAACGTAGGCAGAACTCTCTGTGACATTGAAGCTAAAGGGATCTTTCAAGAATGAAACACCACTGACTAAGCAAGTGGAAGCAAAGATATTACATTACAGGATTACATTAAAAGAAGTTTCTGCACCTCAAAAATAACAAACAAATAAATAAAAAAGATGACCAGGACACAAAGACAGCCCACGAAATGAGAAAAATTATTCACCCAACATGCATGTGATAAAAGGCTAATATCCAAGATATATAAGGCACAGGTAGAAATTCACAAGAAAAAAATCTAACCCCATCAAAAAATGGGAAGAGATGAACAGAAATTTCCTTGAAGAAGAAATAAAAATGGCCAAAAGGCACGTTAAAAAATGATCTGCATCACTCATCAGAAAGATGCAAATCAAGACAACAATATCATCTACCACCACAGAAACTGGCACACATCAAAAAAGAACAAGAATAACAAGCGCTGGCTTGGGAACCTCACTGATGGGAATGTTGTCCAATCTTTTTTGGAAAACAATATGGACATGCTAAAAAAAATCTAGGAATTGAGCTTCCATTCATTTTGACCCAGCAATTCCACTTCTCAAAAGAGTCCCCAAGGGCTCAAAAACAAAATGGAGAAAAGACATCTGCATGCCTCGGTTCCTTGCCACATTATCCACAATAGCCAAAACCTGGAAACAACCTGAATGTCCAAGAATAGATGACTAGATGACGTACACAATGGATCACTCAGTCGTAAGAAAAAATATAACATCATGAAATTTTCTGCTACATGGAAGGGGGCTGGAGCGATAGCACAGCAGGTAGGGCATTTGCCTTGCAAGTGGCCAACACGGCCAACCAGGGTTCGATTTCTCCGCCCCTCTCGGAGAGCCCGGCAAGCTACCGAGAGTATCTCGCCGGCACAGCAAAGCCTGGCAAGCTACCCGTGACGTATTCGTGACGTATTCGATATGCCAAACACAGTAACAAGTCTCACAATGGAGACGTTACTGGGCCCACTCAAGCAAATTGATGAACAATGGGAGGACAGTGACAGTGACAGACGGAGGGATCTGGAGACTATCATGCAGAGTGAGTTAGTCAGAGGGAGAGACAGTGACACAGGGAAGGAAAAGAAACAAACAGCAGAATAACAAATACCCAAAGACAAGGGAAGCAAAGTGAGAACTGGTCTTCATTCGGAAATATGCCACCTACGGGGGCTGAGGGTTAGGATGGGGATGGGGAGGGGGCAATGACTATGGCGGAAACATTCAACTGGGAGGAAGAGGAGCTGCAGCAAGGTGGAAAAGTGTTATGGATGAAACTCTCTGAGCAACAGTACTGTAAACCATAGTGTAAAAACATGCAATAAAAAAGTGCCCCTGGTAGAGTCAGACCACTGGCGGGGGGAGGGGGAGAATTGGGGGAGGGAAGTGGGCCCTGATTAAGGGACCCGTGTTCAACAAATGTATGCTTGAAACCCAATCATGAATAACTTTGTAATCTCAAGGTGACTGAGTTTTTTAAAATTCATTTAAAAATGAAAGATTTTATGATATCATGTGCAGGAAATGGGACATTAATATTGCCTGTGAAGGAAAATGAACAATTTTTTTTTAAATCAATATAGTAACAGTGGAGAAGGATAACCCCATCAATGGCCAAGACCCAGAGACTATAAACCCCTGCTCCCAGAAGAGAACAGTGCAGAGTCTCCTGCCTCTGCGCCTGGCTGTCCTCACCGGGGCCCCTTGCAAGAGGGTGGGTTGAGTTTCCCTCCCCACCCTGAGCAGAGCCCTGGCAGCTGAAGACCTCCGGTTCCAGCCACAGCCATGCTTAAGACCACTCTCCACACGTTCGGACAAGCCCACACATGAAGGAACCGGCAGAGGAACCCAGGTGTGCAGGATCCAGGGCATAGATCTCCAAGCCTACTCGGATTGGGACTGCGGCCTCCTCCACCCAGATCCCCCATCTTCCAGTACGTAGGCGTTACACCCACCAACTGCCCCCGGTGCTGTGTAATCCCACCAACGGCCAAGACCCAGAGACTATAAAACCCTGCTCCCGGAAGCGCGCGGCCGCATTTGCGGCTGCGCGACATCTTATTATCTAGTTCTTACTCTGGAGAACCTGGCAGGCTACCAAAAGAATCCTGCCCACATGGCAGAGTCTGGCAAACTCCCTGTGGTGTGTTCAATGTGCCAAAAACCAGTAACAATGATGGGTCTCATTCTCCTGACCCTGAAAGAGCCTCAAATGTGGCACTTTTTAAAATCTTAGGGCTAGGATGAAGGAGACATTACCAGGGCCTGCTCGAGGCAATCAATGAACAACAGGATGACAGTAATACGGTGGAGAAGGAAATATAATTCAAGCTATTCTCTAGCAAAAGCGATGGGACTTCCACACATTCCTCCAGATTCCTTTCTTGTCTCTTGAAACCAGTATTTTGGTGAGTCCTCTAGGTAACGCACACAAAGCCTTTACACGAGGGTATGGAAGTAGTTTGACGTGAGAATCAAACTGCTACACTGGATCCCAAACCCAGTTTGTTCAGTATCACACTGCTATGAGGGCGTTGAGCCCTGGAAGTAAAATCCCTGAGAACTCCCCTTAAACCTTCTAAATTGATTTCTTGAGTGGACAGATTATGAAGAGTTTAATTATACATTCAACAACTTCCTACTAGACACAACTGGAAAGAGGCATAAATCAAAGCCTGTCTTGCGGGAGTTGACCTGTCTTGTCTAGCTAGATACATACCATTCCCCCTACTGGGCACTCTGGCTGGTAGACTACTTTCTGTCCGACTGTCTTCTTCACCTTTTTCTGTTTGTTCAGTTTTGGGTTCCTCTTTCCTCTCAAATTGTGATGCTTCCTGAGGTTGATGGTCTGAAGGAGTGTTTGGTGGAGCAGATGATGAAGAGATTTGGGGTGTTTCCTCACTAGCTTCTGTAACACAAAATAATCTTAAGTTAATTTAGAAAGCACTTCATTGGTTTAAATTTAAAAAAGAATAAAAAAGTTACAGGTCCCCCCACCCCCACCGCCAAAATGGATGTGTGTGTGTGTGTGTGTGTGTGTGTGTGTGTGTGTTAAAAGACGAAATGAAAAATGAGCCTCACCAATTCCTGGTCTATCGGTTTTCTCTCCCTCTTTCTTATTCGTCTTATCGGGTTCTTTGGCTTCTTCGTTGTGACTGCCCTCGGAGTCAGAGCACTCCTCTGCTTCCTCCACAGGCCGGAAGTCCATCTCCTGCTCTTCTGGAATAGGCTCCTTCTGTACTTTCTGTACAAGAGAGTAAAATTCAAAGTTCTGCAGCTCGCTGGCTTTGGCAGATGTCAGCACCCGTCACGACCCCGTAAGCAAGCTCTACCTTGAGAGAGAGGAATGCTCCAGAGGAGTCGAATGTGCCCATCTCTTCCTCCGCATCCTCTAAGCACCACTCCGGCAAGCTGTCCCTGTCATCATCGATGCCCCCACTGCCAGAGCGCACCCTGCGGTAGCCCCGTTCTTCATCTCGGTCACGGAAGTCAAACTCAAACCGTCGCCGCCGTTCCATGTGTTCCCGCCAGCCTGCAGAACGAGGGCCATCTGGGGTGAGGAAGGAGAACACAAATTTTAGGAAAGCTTTAGGACACTATCTGAAAATGAAAATCAGAGGAATGTGACGACGAAAATTGTAACTGAAAGCAAATTCAAATGAATCAACCTCTTCATCCAGTTCTTTGAAGAAAAATCCTAGTTTAGGTTCAGTCGGCAGGAGCACTGCTCCTCGGCTCGATACACTCCAGAGCAGGGGCTCTCAACAAGGTCCCTGTCTGAGTGGCCGGGCCCCTGTCCCGTGCCATGACCTCCCACTTCTGCAACTTGCACCCGTAACACTGGGGCCCACCTATGGCCCTATGGCCCCCACCTGTGAAACACACTCTAAAACTTATATGTAAAAGGCAAATTTTAAACAAATAATTTTTAAAAGACATTTTAAAATGTATTCAAAGCATACACGTGTAATTAATGTAATGTGCTTGTAGTGTCCACGACTCCATAAGCCAGGAGCCCACTCCATAAGCCAGACGTCTAGCATGTCTTCCCTTTGGCTGGACTTAAAGCACTCCTTTCTTTCTTTCTTTCTTTCTTTCTTTCTTTCTTTCTTTCTTTTTCTTTTCTTTCGGATTTTTGGGTCACATCTGGCGAAGCTCAGAAGTTACTCCTGGCTCTGCACTCAATTCCCGGTGGTGCTTTCCACCAGGGATCAAACCCAAATCAGCCATGTGCAAGGCAAATGGCTGCTGTACTATCACTCTGGCCCCTAAAGCACTTTCTTTTTGTGGAAATATAGTTAGGGTAAGATCAGTTCCTTGGGTCATTTCAAGAAGTCAAACTTACATGTTTACTGACAGTGCCAAGATCTTATTTTATAATTCTGATTCCCAAGAGTCAGGAAATCATACTGCCACCAAATTTCAGTGATTTTCTATAGCCTACCATCCAAATGTTATACTTGAAGAAAAACTCCCGAAGTCACTTGCATCAAGAACCCACTCTTGCACCGTCTACAGCTTTTTCCACAATAACATGCTCATTCTCCTCTCCCTTCCCCACCCCCATCTCTCAACTCTCCCCGGGGAGTTTTTATTTCCACATAATACCCCCAGGGACATTCCTAAATCCACCCTTGCATACTATTTATTACATTTACTTTCCAACAGAAAAAAAGTGTTTAATAAAAAGATTCCAGTTAAGAGATTAAAAAAAAAAAGAAATCTCTTAAAATATGACAAACCAGATCTAAAAGAACTGTGAGGAGAGGAAGGTTAACACCTTTTAGAATTTCCTTGTTTTCTCTATTGGGGATACAAAAAAAATGAAACTGGGGGCTGGGGATATAGTCTGGGTCTTACGAGCATGCAACCACCCAGATCCAATCCCAAGCCTCCACTCCCCCAACCACCATCAGGAGTGACTCCTGAGCACTGCTAGGTATGGCCCAAAAGAAAAAAATAAAACAAAACCAAGAGACCAAAGTTTAATGTTCTCGCTAATAAGTTCCTGGTCTGCTAAACCCAGAGATCTAAAAACCAAACTACAAACCAAAGGCAAACAGCTAAAACATCAAATACATATTATTAGGTAGTATTTTATAAGCCGCTCAGAAAAGGTGAGGGGGGAAAAAATCCAACATTTCTAGACTCCCCACCCTTTACTTATAATACAAACAAAATACTATTTAGGACCTGCCAAGAAAACTAAGGAATTGTTTCCGGTCAAATTGCTTAAATGTAAACCCAAACTACTCAAAAGCAGTCCTCCTGATCAAACGGCGAATTCCAGAGGCCCTGATAGGAAGCGAAGCACGTGGGCGCTAGGCACCGTTCCCTGGCATGTGGCCAGGCTGCCCTCTGGCCGGGCCTCCTCGGTCAGCCCCCAGTCTCACACATGCCCCGGCAAGGGCTCTGCCTTGATAAAGTTATAAACGCCCCAAGTTTCATTCCGTTGTTTTACCAACAGTATAATTTTACTTGGGAAGGTAACATGCAAGCAGTAAAGCTCAACTATAGTTAGATTCACCAGAGTTTTATCTATTTGATTTTTTGTTTGTTTTGGGTCATACTCAGTGGTGCTCGGGGCTTACTCTTGGCTCTGCTCAGGGACTAAAGCCAGGTCGGCCAAGTGCAAGGCAAGCGCTACCTGTTGTACTATCTCTCCGGGCCCCTCACCACCGCTTTACAGTCCTACGCTATGCCGGAATTAAACTCTGATGCTACTTTCATAAAGAAAACTCAGTCAAGTCCATTATGTTTCTGGGGCCAGAGATAAAACACCGAGGTTAAGGCACTTGCCTTGCACACATCTTAAATGGTCTGATCCCTGCAATGCATACGGTCCCCAAGCAGGTCCAGCGTGACCTCTGAGCACAGAACCAAGAGGTCCTGAGCACTTTGTGTGGTCCAAAAACGCAAACAAAAACATCGTATCTAACCTGCAATGCAATCCCAATAAGACACTAACTATAACCTAAGAAATAAGATACTAACTACAACCTAAGAACAACCCCTAAAAAAAATTTTTTTTGGCTCCAGTTATCTTTTATATTCCTACAACTTTAAAAAATGCACACACATATAAAACCAATTTTACCTGTCATGCTAACGGATAGTAACATGAACTATTCAGAAAGACTTAGCACAGAAAAAGATGTTATACCTCCCAAATGTAGTTTGCTAGTAAAGAGAGTGGCTACAGTTTTAACTCTGTCTCCCTTTAACAGAATCAACACCAGACATTTGGGCTCGGAAACAGCATTCATCTTCCAAAACATTCACCTTGTTTGTTTTTGATCAGCTGGAATTTCTCTTCTCGCTCAGCCCAGATCCTGTCCATTCTCTCAATGAATGCTTGTTGGGAACATAGTCTATAAAACCCTTCTGCGTACAGGCAAGCTCAGCACAAAATGCTGTGATGTCTTGAAGAGAACTATAACATTTGGTTGCCCAGGACACAGACTGATGGGAACTTCCCAGATAACTGTGATGCAAACAATGCCTACCATTGACAGGAAACTCGCTCGTAAGCGGCCATGAGGAGCCGGAGTAAACATCCTACCTCCACCGGAAGGGCACCCTCACTCGTTTCTACCTTCCCGCGTTCCAAGGAGCACTCCGAACGCCTATGATTCTGCTTAATATGCTCTTGAGCCATTGGGGTTGCTAATACAATGATTTTTTTCATAGTAAACAAAAATTATTTTTACTAAAGACACAGTTCCTTGGCATGGAGTTGGTAGATGAAATAACATACCCATGAAGCTCACAAGGCATGCACACCCTCTTTAGAGGCCTTACTGCTGTGTGACCCCCCAATTCAAGCTACTGTGGCATCTGGTGGTCATGAGGCATGGGATCAGCACTCTGGCTAGGGATGAACTCGGACACAAAGCACCAGTGTCTTCAATTACCAGCGTATCCCACGTCAGGGAAGAACAGTTTAAGGCATTCTTAAGAATCAAACAGAAGAACTTACAAAACCACCAATCACTACTATTTTCTCTCTTTTTTTCTAAAGTTAGAGGAACAAAAAAATGAACTTGTGATTATGTTTATGACCTGGGTTTCAAGTTTATTCTTCTGATGAGCATAAATCACATTTTCAGAACAAAAAACCTTTAAAACAATAAGCCCTTTCTAACGCAGGAAAAACATCCAGTCGGGAGGAAGCTCGTATCCCTAAGTGAGTAATCACAGCACTTTCATCAGCCTGAAAGCATGCCGGGGTGAAGGAGGAAATGCAAGGCTCACCAGTCAGAACCACGAAGGCAGCCTTCTTCCTAGTAAGCCACTGACCCCAGAAAGTGAGTTATTTTAATCAACTGAACAGATGTGCAGAATTATGTTAAAAATGTTAATAACATATATGGCTCCTCAAAAAAAAAAAAAAGCCATCTTGCCATCTAGATCCCAACGATCCCCAGAGAACGCTCACCAGCCTCCCAAGCACACCTCTTACCAGGACTGTGCGGCCGCCACCTCTCCCCGTCCCTCCTGGGCCCAGCGAGCCGCCAGCCTCCGTCTTCATCATCTCCATTCTGCTCCTCCCTGAAGATACGCCAATTTTCACTTTCTGATCGTATAAATTCATGCTTTCTTCCCACTGATGTTGGTCCGCCTTCCTCAAAATTTGGTCTTCCTGTAACGAAATAGGTAGACGTAAGCCTCAGTGACTCAGGATTCGGAACACAGACTGAATGCTCAAACCACACTTCCCTGAAAATACATCCCTCTCAATGTGCCGGCAGTACAAATGAAGTAACTGCAGATCTATGCAAATGTTGTTAGACACATTTCATAAAACCAAACTTCCACAGACTGGGAAATTACTTAAAACAGAAATAGTATGCACACTTGAAGCGGGGGAGAGTGGGGGCAGTGATGGGAAAGATCGCACGGCTGCACAGGTGCCCCTAAAAGTGTCTGACAGCGGCCAAGGGAAAGCTTAGTGGCACACTGCACTCCCTCCAGCCCTGCGCCCCATCCCAACTGATGAAGCCCTCCAGTTCCCTGCCCTCCAGGCTCTCTCCAGGCTCCAGCAGACGAGCACAGGCAGGGCTTAGGGCGCCTGTCTCACGGGCACTGGGGTCCCCATGAGCTGTCATTCCAGCAGCTCTGCTGTTGGCCCTGGCAGCCTGTTGTCGCATTCCCAGGTGCTGCAAACATTCCCAGCATTACGGCAGACAAAAGTATGTATCACCACTAACAGGTGTTGGCCAGAGCCAGAGACACAGTACAGCATGTAGGGTGCTTGCCCTGCACACAGCTAACCCAGGTTCCATCCTCAGTACCACATACTGACCCTCTCCAGCACGGCAGGAAGCTACATGAGCACAGCTGAGTGTGTGTGTGTGTGTGGGGGGGGGGGGGGGGGGGGGGGGAGAGGAAGGGCGGCCATGTTGAACGCTACTGAGTACTGCAACCAAGAGAAGCGGGTGAGCGAGCTCCAGGGTCAGAAAGTACAACCTCTGGTGAGCACGTGTGGGAGTCCAGAGCAAGCTGGGAAGATACCACAGGCCCCAGCGAAGAGTACAAGTCCCAGAGTACATGGGCACTAAAGTGGTGTGAACTGCAGTGAGCTCAGGGCAGGGTTCGAGCAAAACAGGACGAAGGGAAGGAGGAATCCACAGATGGGTGTCTCCAAGAAGCCAACCCACCGCTCAGATGGGGAGCTGAGATTTTTCATTCCCACCAGCACCCAGTGCATTGGCCTCATGAAATAAATTTTTTTTTTGGCTTTTTTGGGCCACACCCAGCGATGCTCAGGGGTTCCTCCTGGTTCTGCACTCAGGAATTACTCCTGGCGGTGCTTGGGAGACCATCTGGGATGCCAAGGATTGAACCCATGAACCCGGGTCGGCCGTGTGCAAGGCAAACACCCTATCCACTGTACTATCTCTCCCGCCCCAACAAATCACTTCTGAAGACAGAAGTCCTGTCGAACCCGAAGCAACTGCAAAGACACATTAATGGTAAGAGAACTTGACAAAGCGCTGGAGCATATGCTCTGCATGAGGCAGCCTTGGGTTAGATCCCTGGCAGGGCGCCCAAAGTAGCTCCTCCAACACAAGTGGGTGCAGCATCACCCCCACCCCCCACCCCAGTTGGCACTTAATGTGCAGTGAGTATTTGCTGAATGAGTCAGGAGATTAACACTTGAATCCTTGCTGTGCTGTTTATTTGTTCATCTGGGGGGTGTGTGGGCCACACCCAGTGCACAGGGGCTGTCCCTGGCTCTGGCTTAAGGGCAACTTCCCGAAAACCCAGTGCCAGGGGCTGAACCCCTGCCTCCCACATGCAAAGCTATCTCAGTCCCCGAATCACACTGTTTACTACTTCCATTTCAGTAAGCTGCATTTCCCCACCTAAACAAACCTTTGAATGGTCAAGTCCTACATACACTTTTCATATTAGTACCCAGGGGGAAAAAAAGAAGGGACAAGATTGGGTAGAAGAAGAAAAGCTAGTGTATGGGGATGTCAGAGCTCAAGCACGTGCCTTGCATGTATGAGAGAGCCTGGGTTCAATTCCAGGTACTGTTAAAACAATTAAAAGGAGAGCTGAACAGGGTGCTGACTGTGCAAAGCCAATCAGGGCTCAATTCCCAGCATGCAAAATCTTTTCTAAAAACCACGATATGTTCTTTGATGTATTAAATACTGCGCAATAAATCATTGCAATTAATTTACGTGACGACTTCTCCACTAAACTAAGAAAAACCCAATTTAATTATGACATGTCAAACACATTCCCTTGCTTTCAGAGATCACAGTAAAAAAAAAAATTCAAGAATTTTATGAACTTCACCTCTTTTCCTTCTAACAAAACGTATTAATGAACTATAACATTCTTAGGGGGCTGGAGCGATAGCACAGCGGGTAGAGTGTTTGCCTTGCAAGCGGCCAACGCGGCCAACCCAAGTTCAATTCCTCTGCCCATCTCAGAGAGCCCAGCAAGCTACCGAGAGTATCTCGCCCACAGGGCAAAGGCTGGCAAGCTACCCGTGTCGAATTCGATATGCCAAACACAGTAACAATTGTCACAACGGAGATGTTACTGGGCCCGCTTGAGCAAAAATCGATGAACAATGGGAGGCCAGTGACAGTGAACATTCTTAGGAAAGTAGACAATCCAAAATGTACAATTCAAAGTTTTCATAAGTAAAGTAAAAAGTAAAGGCCCTCCCGTTGATCATCGATTTGCTCGAGCAGGCCCAGTAACGTCTCCATTGGAGACTTTGTTGTTACTGTGTCTGGCATATCGAATACTCTCGGTAGCTTGCCGGGCTCTCCGAGAGGGGCGGAGGAATCGAACTCGGGTCGGCCATGTTGGCCGCGTGCAAGGCAGACGCCCTACCCGCTGTGCTATCATAAAGCATTTGCTTTATGCATATATGCAAATATATATGCATAGTTACTAAAGGTTTTGGATTGTTTTTTTTTTTGAGGGTCTGGGGGTGGGGTCACATCCAGCAGTGCTCCCAGCTTACTCTTGGCAGGCTTGGAAGACCATACGTGGTGCTTGGGACTGAACTCCAGTCGAATGTGTATAAGGCAAGCTCCCTACACACTGTTCTATGACTCGGTCCCTACTAAAGATTTGGTGGTGGTGCGGAAGACCCACACCCAGCCGTGCTCAGGGCCGACTCGTAGTGCTATGCCCAGGGATCATTCCTGGTAGGCTCGGGGCACCATACGGAGTGTCAGGGATTGAACCCGAGTCAGCTGTGTGCAAGGCAAACACCTAACCTCTGTATTACTGCTTTGGATTCCTAAGATAACTAGTCCTAAGAGAACTTTAAGTGTTCAAGTTCATCGAACCCTTCCCCAGGTAAACACTACCCGGATTTCTGGCCCCAACGATGAGTTTTAGGTGCTTCTGAACTTGCTTATTTACACGCAATATTTACTGAATGCCAACTTCTCTCACTGAACACTTGGAGACTGTGCCACTCCATTACAGAGAACAGGAATCTGTTCTTCTGCACAGCTGGACGGGATCTCACTGAATGCCTAAATCAGAACATATACATTATTGCTGTTCTCGGTGGTTTCTAATTTTTTGCTATTATGAACTGTGCTGCTCTGGATATAGCTGGTGCATACTCGCATTTCTGTTGGTATACACCTCGGCATGAAACTGCTGGAACACGCAGGCACGGTTAAAATCAGCATGTACCATCAATTACGTCTTCCAGAGACATGGCAGTGCTAAACCATTTTTTATTTGCTTGTTTTACTCAAACTTCTAATGAAACAGTCATATTAGTGCCTCTTTCATATATAAGCGTGTGCGCGCACATACACACACACACACACGATTAAAAATAAAAAGGGCCAGGGAGAAGAAGGTTCAGTAGACAGAAGTGCATGCCTTGTCTGAACAGGAACCTATAGTTCAATCCCTAGCACCATACCTGGGCACCACCAGGGGCACCTTGCCTGATGGCACCCAGACCCACCATGCACTAATGTGTCTGACCTACGGCAGTGACCCCTCAGGCTCCCTGAGCTTGTGAGAGAGCCCCCAACCACATCAAATAAGGAAAAGGAAACTTAAGACACCGCACCTGCTCTTCCGTGCCAACGAAGAGGCAACCCATTCCCACTGACAAAACGCACCCACCGTGTCTGTTTACCCACTCCTCATTCGAACCACAATCACCAACCTCGCCACTGCTCCGGTGAAGAAAGGTGCCCCTGGAGGGCTCTCCCAAGGTCACAGAACTTAGAAGTCACCAAAAACAAAGCTGAAGTGGCCCAAACTCCTGACCCAGGGTTCACTCACAAATTAAGCCCACAGGAAGCAGCCCAGATATCCAGACACCAACACCAAGAGAGCAAGAGCTGGCTGCAAGGGAAGGAGGGCCCCAAGGGCAGCGCGTGGATCAGGGGGAAAGGCTGCCCACCGCTCCAACAGGGCACGGAGCTCCGGTTACCTACATGCCAGAGAAACGATACAAGCGGGGCCATACAGAGTTCCATCCAGGCGCAGGCATCAAACCCAGGTGCAAGGCAAATCCCTAACCTGCTGTACTACCTCTCCAGTACCCTAGAAACTAGAGTTTTGAAGGGAGAAATAATTCTAAGCACCGCCTAATATTACTTTTGTAATTACTAGTAAAAACTAAACTTCATATAGGAAGTACCATGAAATGCCAAAATAAATCCTTTACAACCCAAATGATTACAAATAATTTCTTTATGTGTTTGTGTCCACTTGTATGAGCGGATAGGAATGCCAATGAGAATTTCACTTGTACAATTTCATTTTTAAGGTAAAGGTAAAGGTAAAGGCCCTCCCGTTGATCGTCGATTTGCTCGAGCGGGCCCAGTAACGTCTCCATTGGAGACTTTGTTGTTACTGTGTCTGGCATATCGAATACTCTCGGTAGCTTGCCGGGCTCTCCGAGAGGGGCGGAGGAATCGAACTCGGGTCGGCCATGTTGGCCGCTTGTTAGGCGAACGCCCTACCCGCTGTGCTATCACTCCAGCTTCATTTTTAAATACTATGATATTGAGGCTGGAGCAACAGCACAGTGGTAGGGCGTTTGCCTTGCGCATGGCCAACCCAATTGACCTGGGTTCAATTCCTCCACCCCTCTCGGAGAGCCTGGCAAGCCACTGAGAGTATCTCGCCCGCATGGCAAAGCCTGGCAAGCTACCCGTGACGTATTCGATATGCCATAGTAACAACAAGGTTCACAATGTTACTGGGCCCCCTCAAGCAAATCGATGAACAACGAGAGGACAGTGACAGTGATATTGGGGCAGAGCAGTATGATAGCAGGTTTGTCCCGCACGTGCCTGACCTGGGTTTGAGCCCCAGCACCCCGTATGGCACCCCCAGCACTGCCAGGAATGAACCCTTAGTACAGAGCCAGGCGTAAGCCCTGAGTATTGCAAGGTGTGGGCCCCAGACAAAAGTACTTGGGTATTCAGGCCTAGGGATGTGCCTCTTTGGCAGAGCTCTCGCCCTACATTTGCGAGGCCCTGAGGCCAAGCCTCAGCACCACAAAAGAAAAGAACAACACATGCATCTGTGTGCTGCAGGCGTAATTTTAAGTAAATACTATCAGTTGTCTGTGGGCCAAGTAGAAGAGATTTAAAGACCCTGCTGTGTCTGTGCACCCTCGGATTCTGTAATGATCGGGTGGAAATGCAGAGAGCCATGGCACAACATCTGAACTAAAAATTTTCCGCAGAAATACTGAGGAACCTCCAAAATAAAAAAAATTATAGGGTGGGAGGGGTGGTGTCAGAGAGACAGTGAGGTGGTGTTTGTCAATTCCTGGAACCATGTAAGATCCCTAAGTCCCACCAGAAATGATCCCTGAGCAGAGTCACGAATAAACCCTGCTGTGACCAAAGACAAAAAAAAAAAATCCTATTTTATTTTTTTTCTTTAAGGCACCATTATTTACAAAATTGTTTATAACAGAATTTTGGGCGTACAACATTTCAACACCAATCCCATCCACAGTGTCGATTCCCTCCCACATGCAACCTGCCTTCTTAACAGGTTTCAGTTTAAGGGTAAATCACAGCATTTTGGCTCGTGATTTACACATCTACTTATAACACATCTCTACATGGGCTCGAGGCGTCATCCCTGTCTTCTTAGTTAGTCCCCGTTTCTTCCCTTGCTGGTCGTTCTCATTTCTGCCACCGAGGGTCAAGGGTGATCCAGGTCTTCCCGCTCTGCTCCCGTGGATCCCCTGTCCTGCTACTCTAGAGCATCGATACTGAATCACTCGGTATCTCCCCGTTCCATCTGCGCTGAGGGAAGCTCGTGCTTTTATCATTCCTTGCAGCTGCAGGGGACTCCTCTTGCGATACACCTTCACTATCTGCTGTCTGCTGCTTAGACGCCAGGGCTGACTCCATACCCTAGCTTTTGGACTCGGCGCTGCATTGAGTAACAGTGTGTACGTGTCCTTTTAAACAAACGTTTTGTGTCTTGGAGGGAACAGATACCAGCAAGGGGAATTGCCGGGTCATATGGTGGCTCTATTCTTACTTTTCTAAGAACTCTCCAATCTATTTTCCACAGACACTGAAGACGACATTTCTCTCAGCAGAGTATGAGAATGCTCTTTTCACCACACCCCTGCCTACATGGAGCGTAGGAACCAAATATTTTAAGTGACTTTTAAAAAAATTTTTAACAAGTTTAAATTTTCATCATTATGATTTAAAATTAAACATAACTGAATAACCTACACATTAATGCCTCAGCCAACTATTCCTAAGAAAAAAACTGGAGGGCTCTGAATCCCTGAATTGGAAACAGCATGCACTTTTTCCCTCCCTTCTGCAGAGACGAAAAAGATCTAAGGTTTTTTTTCGGGGGGGTGGGCTTTTTGTTCGGGGGAGGGGCTAAGTCTTAAGTGTCTAAGATATCCAACAGACAAGTACACATTTCTGTCCACTCAAAGGAAACACAAATATTTTATAAGCATACTATGTATATACAAATGTTACAGTCGCATCAACGGTATCTCGGAATGTGTCAGAGGTCTTAACACGCTCCACTCCTGCCCCACCCCGCCCATAAAGATGCTCCCAAGTATTTTTCCCCAATGGCAGAAAATGCCTAGTTGTGTCAAGGCTGAATAGAACGCGTCTAAAAATTAAATGAAAATAAAACTAAAATGCAGTATCAGTTTTAGTCCGAGCAGACTGAGTGGACTTCCTAAGGAGAAAGAGCAGTAAAAGGGCACCTGTGTGAATGTTTGACTCACAGCCAAAAATGGTGTTTATGGAAAACTTCAGATGGAGCAAAGAGGCACTCGGCCAACAAAATCTACAGCTGTTGAGACTTGGAACTTCCTTACAAGTGCCCAAACTCCAAAAGCAAAAGTGGAATTATGGGACAGACTTTGAACCTTGTTTATGTGCAAATTTTCCTAGCAAGCAACTTTTATTCCTCTATTCAGATATATATTCTCCAATCAACAGTAAAAATATTTTCTAATACCAGAGCAAATAGCAAAAGGGAATGCCATCCAGGTATTAATCTTTTACTTTCTTTCTCCCAAATTCTCGTGGGCGAAACTCAGCGTGACTAGGAGGAAGTTATTTAAATTCTAAATCCAAAGATTTGCAACTTCTCAAGCCTCACCAGTTAACGTGGGTCCTAAAAACACAGTTTCAGTAGGAGAAGAGAGTCTGCAAAGGGTGTTGGCATCAGCAAAACTGCTCTGGAAAAGCAGAGCATCTAGGCCATAGCCTTGCACCCCTCATACGACTGTGTGCTGCGCACGCGGGGACGCTGCCTGCAAGCTCTGGCGTGGGTGACCAGGAGGGCTCGGATGTACAGAACTGGGAAGAGTCTCAGAGCTTCTGAAGAAAGTGAAGAAAGAACTGCAAGAAAGAAGTTTGCAATACGGGAGATCTACTGTGGGCTAGTGGCTGATATCTCTATATCAGAAAAAATGTTTCAGGGCATCAAGGAGGGTCCTGTGATTTAGGATGTTCACATGGTATCTATGCTCTATCAGTTTTGCCTCCTCCAAGCCAGCAACTCAACCACGATGAGCTCATACGCTGTCTTATGCTCCTGAGCAGGCGCCCCAAGTGGGTTCAGAGTCAGTAACCAGGAGTGAGCATTGAGAGTCACCGTCTCGAGGCCACAACAAACTTGGAAACCAGAAATCCAGGAACAGGTTCCTGGATTTCTTCACTTGAGACATTGACTTTTTCACTTCCGACATTTAATTCTTGATGAGCATCTTGCCAAATCACTTGTGCTGATATAATCTACAACAGATTACACTGTAGTCTCCTCAGTTCAGTAAGACCCTTCACTGCCTCGTTTACCACAATGTCTGCTCCAGAGGCAGAGCAGACGCGCTCCGAACACCTGCTTTCTGAGACGCAGTGGTGCTTCTATTTCGTCTGCCTTACCTCGCCACCACCACACCCCAACTAAAATAAATCATGACCCTACCAGGACAAGCAGGTAAGAAGGGCAAGAGTAGCACTGTAAGTTCCTTCTTCCTACTCAATACCTTCCAGTCCTGAAGGTCAAAGTTTCCACTGCTGTGTCTGAACTTGTACTGAAATGTTTGGCATTAATAAAACAAAGAAGGAATTAATGTATTTTTTTAAATGATGGGGGGAGAGAAAGGACTCTACAAAGGCGGATTTCACTTCCTAAGTAGCATTATATTGGTCTACATTAATAATCTTCCCAGCAGGCCTTCCATGATTTTCCTTTGAACAATTCCAGTCTTTGTTTCCTTAGATCCTCTTACATGTGCCATTTGATCCAGGTTCTAAAATGCAGCTCACAGAGACGAAGGAAAGTACTGCTCAGTACGGTACTACGCAAAGCCATCCCCACAGCTCACTGCAACGTGCGTAACAAGCTGGATCACAGACAGTTTCCAGCTGAGAACTAGTTAGACAGTAAGTTCGATACCCCGTGCCTTGCATGGCATCACACTTCTCTTCAGGGAAACACCCCCCAAACATCACTGAAGTATGCCTTCAGCAAAGTCTTCAGTTCTTTCACATACACAAGTATGTTTAAAAGGTAAACATGAACTACCAAAAATTAATTTTGTTCTTGTTCAAGGTACCTACACCAAGCCTTAAAAAAAAAAGTCTGTCACCTTGCCAAAAAGGTATTTCAAGTAACTAAATTACCTGTAATACTAGTTCTAAAACCAAGAGTAGACATTTCTGATGAGGCTGGATATGAAAAGAAACGTAGTAAAATCAATTCATTAATTCATGCCTGAAAGTCCTTATCCAGTAAATATCCCCAAAGAAAAAAAGATTAGTAAAGGAAATATCTCACACTTCAACATGCTATATAAGGAAAGACTGCTGAAAGGAAATCTTGCAGGGAATTTTATCCTTTTGAACTTTCAAATAAACTCTCAAGGAAGATTATGCAAACTTACTAAAGACCGGTCCTGATTAGAGGGAAAAAATGCACCCCTTCTCCAAGTCAGTTCTGGAGGCTTTCTCCAGAGTTGTTAAGGTTTGTGTTGGGTAAAGAAAGATCTCCTAACAAACCAGCATTCTTTTCCACATGATCAGAGCTAATTGGCCCCCTGCAGACTAAGTGACCAATCACATCAGCTTCAGCTGAAACCAGCCCCCACGACATTATAAACAGAAGAATGTGAACTGTAAACCCAGTCCAAGAAGAGAACCGACAAACGAGACCTGTAGATTAGAATGACCTCATCATAAAGACAAACTCCCCAAGTTTCCTCAAGACCACCTGTGCTCACAGGCCGACCCAGCAGGCAAACCGGTGAGTACATGAGATAACCCTCGTTCTCACTTCCTTCCTTCGGGACAGAGAAAGACACTGGCTAACAGGACAATGCTAGATACTGCTAATTCAGACTTTAAACAAAGATATTACCTATAAAGTTCCTTATTCTTTTTTTTCCACCCTCAATTTCAGAAATGGAGTCATAATCTACTGAAAAAGCATTATGGAAACTTGCTTAATTTTTAAAATTAAATATACATTAACGTTCTATTATAATATAAAAATGAGTGGAAGAGAAAGATCAGAGGGGGAAGGAAATAGTGGCTTAAAAAAAAGAAAAGCGAAAAGCGTGTCTTTTTATTTTGAAAGGAATTAAAGAAATCCAAAGGAGCATACAGACAAAAACAAAACACAAAATCTTTGCTTTGTTTTTAATTCATAAAAGTAACTCAGAATCCTAAGCTGAAATTTCTCCGTAAGCATAAGTTATCGAGAAATTAGCAAATAGTTCTGCTAACAAAAAATTGATAAATAAAAAAATCTGAGCTTATATAATAGTTAGAACTCATAGGGTTTGCCGTAATTATAAAGGGCAAGAGAAATAATTTCTAAGATTAAAGTGCTTCTATCAAATGTGAACTAGTATGTAGTCGTATGGTGATCTTTACCATTTGTAATCTCTTTTTTTTACCATTTGCCGTCTTAACTGTAGTTATATCTTAACCTATGGAATAATGATATTACAAAAAAATCGTAATTTTAAGTAATACAATGTAATGAGCAGAAAGAAACCGTTACTTTGTGAACAAGGAAACAACCAAATGATCAATTTTATCAATAGTTTTTCACCAAAGTTTATAAATGGGCAGTTATTTTATAGCCCACACAGATAAGAGCGAACCTTCCCTCTTAACTGCACTCCCTGTGGCATCAGATGATGAGAATCATATCAATATAAATAAGACAAATATATACAGAAAACACACATGTGCCTGTATGAAACCTATCAATTGAGGGAAACAAACAAATTGACAAATGCTGAGCTTAAAGGGACTATGCTATTTTAATTTCCCTTTCCTTTCCTTCTCTTTTTATTTTCCCCCGAGGACTGAATTCAGAGCCTCACACAGGCAAGGCTATGCATCTGGTCTCTTTTTTATCTTTCATCTGAGGAAGCCTGGGCATAGGGGTAGGGTCCTTTACCCAAACGGCTACGTAACCCACAGAGCCAGAGGCTGGCCAGATTTACCAACTTTTCTTCATTACAATAAACCACACTGATTATACAGAGTCAAGAGTTATTCACTGGGATGTGGGAACCAAAATTTTACTTTGCTCCGCTCTCCTACCCAACACAACTACACAAGATCTAACAAGGTTACAGAGATATGTGTACATATGGTATATGTGTGTGTGTGTGCATAGTGCCTTACTGTTTTGATATCTGCTTTTTTTACTTCCCGATTCATTAAGTTCTTGCATGAATTAATTTAGAAGCACGAGAAAAGGAGTGAAAGTATAAAGGCCTTACAGTCAGAGTGCCACAAAAACGGCAGACGAGCAGCCACAGACTAGAGCCCGGACAAGAACGCATTTTGTTAGCTCCGGTAGAGAGAAAGGCTTTCTCTCTTTAAAGGTGATGGGTTTTGTAGCTCAAGAGAGTGGGCTGAAACTAAGAGGAGTCCTGGAGCATTTCCCCAGCCTCCACCAAAGAGCTGGGGAACAACAGGCAGTGAACTGCATTTGTCAGGACAGCAGCTTCACTAGAGCAAAGGGCACCAGTGCGCAGGTCCACAACCAACATTTTCCCACTGGCAGGAACACGAGAACTAAAGGACAATGCAGTGCTTCACGATCTCCATGAAAGCAGCCAGTATGTCGCATCTTCCAAGTTTCAAAATACTTACAAAAAAAAAAATCAATTGATGGTATTACATTTTAAAATTTATGTTCTCATCTGCCAAAATAGAAATTTGGCCGTGCTATGTGAAAACGCCCCCTCTATATTTCATTTTATTTCTACTGCTCTGCAGAATCCGAAAGACAGTACTAGGCAATAATGCTGACTACACTAATCTTCACGCCATATAGATGTCTTAACTGAAAACCAGAGTTCTTCCCTATAAAGCGGAAGCATGAACCTGGGCTTTTCTAAAGTGCAAATACTCTGTAGTGGCTCCAACAATAGTAGCTCATACAATAGTGGCTCAAACAATAGTAGAATGTCTACCGAGCTACACGACCTATCTGACCTCAAGAGAAACTGCCTCAGCTTCATCTGTAAGTGGAAATAATCACACTACTTATTACTGTGAAAGTTAAGAAACATTAATAACAAGAAAGCAACTAATATTTACGGAGAGGCTACTCGGTGCCAGGCACTAGGCTTTGCGGCTTCACGTGAATTACCACATGGGGGGTGTCGAGTATGATTCCTAGACAACCAATGGCTCTGGCCTCTACTGTTGTTACTGTCAAGAAAAATCGTCTACCCACTTATCAAAGGTTTCAAGTATATGTCTGGCCAGCACAGCCGGGGTTCAGCCCAGCAGAAGAGCCTTTGTTTAGTGTGTGAGGCCCTGGGTTTGTTCCTAGTACCACCCAAAAAACTTTAGATTTGTGCCCAGGAGTTAGTTCAAAGAGCTGGAGTGTGCACTTGGCATGCAGGACACCCAGATTTGGTCCTGAGCACTGAAGATCCCCGAGCATGACTGAGCAACACCTGAGCTGGAAGTAGTTACTGGGCACTACCAGGTGTGGCCCCAAAACCATCTATATCAATTTGCTGGAGATAATTTACTGGAATAGGAATAGCACCTACTAAATGAATGCTAAACATCTGGCTATCCAAGATTATCTCATGAATGCAAAACAATCTTAGGCAACATTTTATGTCACCAAATGCTCAAAATATAATTTCTTAAAAAAAATTTTTTTAAAAATTGTCGGTCCCCATTTGCTTGTACAGACTTCTTTAAACTGTCTGATCCTTAGTAAAACCAGCTGAAAAGTGGGAAAACTATATTATCTTGCTGGGATGACAGAAAAATTAGAGAGAAAGTAATATGAAAGGTACCTATAAAGATTTGTGTTGTGTGGTAGTGGTCATTTTTTAAAAAGAGATTTTTGCTTTGGTTAACCTAAAGTAATAGCAACTTGTTGGGATAACTATAAAACAGTAACTAACACCCCAAAAAAAACTTTTTTTAATTTATAATATGAAATTGAATCAAATCTACATAAACTTAACAAATGTCCCAGTGTTCCATCAGTAATCAAATCTGAAAAAAATACAAAGGAATGTCTCTAATATCACCAATAAATGCTAAATTAGACCCAGAACGAAAGGGAAAGAACATTCCCAGCTGGCCACGCTCCAATTCCAACAACACAGGAAGGCGGTCTCCAAAGGCCCCAGGGCCATAGTCCCCGGGAGAATACAGTTCCACGGGCCTCTCCCCTCTTAAAGCGCCACTGTCACTCAACAGTGGAAGAAGAAGGAAGGAAGGAGCAGGGGAGAGTCCAATACAAACTACCCTGGCCTGTGGAAAAGGAGTTTCTGGTTCTGTTCCTCATAGCCTCAGCACACATTAAAAAAAAAAAAATTGCCACTTGACACATCAATGATTATGTTAATTAAACTCAAGACCTTTTTCTTTAGGCTTTTTCACTTTCAGATTTGGTCTTATCTAAAAATACCAAGAATTTCTTTTTGTCAGGAACTCCCTTTCATCCCATAACCTGATCAGAATATTTTTGGTCTTGCCAGGGATGGAACCCAGGGCCTGACACATGCAAGGAGAGTGTTTGTGGCTGAGTCGCATCCCAGTCGAGAACAATGATCTCTCAAAGGTGAGAGATCTTGCCTGTCCGGGCTCTTAGTCTGCCATCAAACAGCTGCACATTTTAACACTATACTTAACATGATTTCTATTCAATACACAGAGGAATATAATAATTTAAGCTTATTCCTGATTATAAAGTTGTTATTTACATATACTCAAAAAACATTTACGGAAGAACTGCCAGATCTGCTCTAATCGCTACCCTTAGAAAATTTTAGATATACTTGATTATGTTAAAATGAGAAATAAAAGACTGTGGAGATAGCCCAATGGGCTAAGCAAATGCTTGTGTGCAGGGAACTGGGTTAATCCCCAGCACACAGGACCAGGAGTAACTCACACCACCACGAGCACCAAGTTAGAAACAGTCCCTGGGCATTAGCAGGTGTGGTGCTCAAATAAAAAGAAATAAAATCCAGTATCAAATAATCTTTTCAGGCATTCAAGGAAATGAGGACTCTCCTTAGGTGCACCACGCTTAGCTAGCAACAAAATGACTTAGCAACGCTCCTTAGGTAAAGAGAGAATGAAACAAAGCTGTCAAACCAGGAACACCGGGGGCTGGAGAGAGAGCATACTGGCACCAGGAAGGATCCTGGAGCACAGAACCAGGACTAAGTCCTGAGCACTGCCGGGCATGGCCCAAAGACCCAACCACCGCCCCCTACCCCCCAACTTCCCTCTCAGAAAGTAGGACAACCTGCCCAGAGTCTGAAAAGCAATCCAAAGCAAGAACCAAGCGAGTCCAGTCTCAGAAGGTACTGAAATTGGTACTAGAGAGAGTACAACAGAAGGCGCTTGCCTTGCATGCGGCTGACCCAGGTTTGATTCCCTGCCACCCCACATGGTCCCCTGAGCCGTGCCAGGAGTCAGGAGTAAGGAGGAAGCCCCGAGCACTGTCAGGCATGGCCCGCAAATCGAAGGTGGAGGCAGGGAGGGGCAACGTATTTACACAAACTGCAACCGACAAAGCGCTCACAAATTTACTCTTGCTTTCAGAGAAGCACAGTCTGAGATGGATGGCAGTAACTGCAAAGTGATTGCTCCTCTCCTAACTCAGAGATCCCGGAGGATAGTCACCAAAGATGGCCACAGCACGTTTCAAATGGATGGTGCTCAAAGAGGCCTTGCGTATCTGCGAGACGCCTGGGGCATCCTCATGGACATGCGCTGGCGCTGGATGATGCTGGTCTTCTCGGCTTCTTTTGTTGTCCACTGGCTTGTCTTTGCAGTGCTCTGGTATGTTCTAGCGGAGATGAATGGTGACCTGGAACTAGATCACGACACCCCGCCTGATAATCACACTATCTGTGTCAAGTACATCACCAGTTTCACAGCTGCATTCTCCTTCTCCCTGGAGACACAACTCACAATTGGTTACGGGACCATGTTCCCCAGTGGTGACTGTCCGAGTGCAATCGCCCTTCTGGCCATACAAATGCTCCTAGGACTCATGCTAGAGGCTTTTATTACAGGTAATGGTTTTTGTTCTTCTAAAATTTTTCAGTGTTTTGAAAATAAGATATAGCCAGCTACAAGGAATTGCGTTACAGAAAAATTTATGTGGATTAGTTATAAGGAATTTAAATTTTTAATTACTGTAAGTAAATTTATATTCCGGTCTTCAGAACATCATAAGAAAAATGGATAATTATGATGCTAACTTGCAGCTACAACAGCATATACCACATTTATTTAATTATATACGTACAAACACTGAGAGGTGGTTTGAAAAACGGGAATCGCTCAGAGAAATTTGTTCGGGTTGGGTTTTGGCTCACACCCAGCAGTGCTCAGGGACTGCTCCCAGTGGTACTTGGGGGACCACAGACTGCCAGGGATCAACCCTGGCCTCCTGCTTGCAAAGCATGCATACTAGATCTTCAAGCTGTCTCCCCAGCCTGGGGCTAGTCTGCTAAATCTAGCACTGCACTGGAGCACTGTCCACCCGCTGTTCATCGATTTGCTCGAGCAGGCACCAGGAACGTCTCCATTGTGAGACTTCCTGTCACTGTTTTCGGCTTATCGAATACGCCACGGGGAGCTTGCCAGGGTCCCGAGAGGGGCAGAGGAATCGAACTCAGGTCGGCCTCGTGCAAGGCAAACGCCTACCTGCTATGCTATTGCTCCGGGCCCTGCTAAATAGATGACTGAATATAGCCAATCATCGTTTGACACTCATTTTGCCTAACAAAGAACTTTTTTTTGGGGGGGGGAAGGGAAGGATGAAACATTTTTCTCCTTAGCTCATCTTCTCAACACTTACTCGTAAACAGCAGTGAGCCCAAGACTCTAATGCCAGCATTACGATTTAGAAAACGGTCCATATTCTCAACCAAAATATTCTTTAAATATGGCCACAAAGATGAAACTCTGCTTGGAAACCTGATAATATGAAAGGCTCTTTCCTCTTAGAAAGCAGAGTCAGTGTTCTTTTGATAGTAATATATACAACTGAAAAAGCAAAGACCAGACCACTCCTGGTGGTGCTTAGGGGACCGTGTGGTGCCAGGGATCAACCCCGGCAGGGCCACATGCAAGGCAAGCATCTCACCCACTGTACTCTCTCTTTGGCCCAAGAAAGCCTGGTTTTAACACACTACCCGATGATAATCTGAAGTCACAGGACATTTTATCCAAACCAAGTCCCAGTGTGCTGTCACTGGGCCTATAACCCGGAACAAATCACTTTAATTCTACAACAGTTCTTAAAGTGGGCTGGTATTGGATAAAATTTAGGGGCTCTGCGAATATAGATGGACAAAACTTTCTACCCCTGCCACAAGTACCCGAGCTGAAATTTGGCGCTGATGTTCCTGTTTGGGCGGTGCTGTGGACAGAAGACAGGCGCAGTCCTGTGAGGCCCATGTTGTGTTGCTGGGCCACACGCCAGCACCGGCATCTCACAACGAAACTATCAGCATTACCTATGACTTTGATACAATAGCAATCACTGGCATTTTCAAAATAGGTATAATACAAATGCTTCAAAATTATATTAAGCTCACCAGTATATTAGTTGATACATTAATAAAGTATATATAAAATGCTATGCTATCATTGTCTAACTAGATTTCAATATATTTGATTTTCTCTGCATGTGTTTTACTACACTTCATTTAAGGCCTCACTCTGGTAAGAGATCCAGAGATCTCACCAGCCTGCAACAATACCAGGGACATGGGTGGGGGAGGGGGTATGTTGTACTAGGAAAGGTGTGCTGAAATCCTTTAAAAGGGGGGGGGGGGGGGGGGGAAACTGTGTTTCAGAGAATGTTTCAATGTTAAAGTTCCTTAATACATCCAGAGAGAGAGAGAGAGGGGCTTTCAAGAGAGAGCAAGCCAGAGAGCCTGTGTTTCAATGTATCTTAATATACATTTCAATATCTTGTTTCGATATATTAAAGTAACACCCATTTTATAGTCCTCCTCCCTAACCCAATCATCCCACTCTGAATCATCCCCTTCAACTTCGAGTACTCTGGCAGCAAACAAACTATATTTATTTTTTTATTACATTTTTTAAAGCAGGGGTAGGACTAGAGGAAATGACCATTCTTTGACTTTCTAAGAAAGGAAAGGATAAAACCTGATGTTTCTATGTAACAAAATGAGATCCACTTATCTGTTCTAAAAGCATAGTTTTTAAATAAGAATGCATATGCTTTGAAAAGGTTTTGGTTCCATTTTGGGGGAGTATTATTATTCGTGGCTCTGTGCTCAGGGGACCATGCAGTGTCAGGCTCCAACTCGGGCCTCCTGCAGTGCAGAGCCTGTGCTCAGCCCCAAGGGCTCACTTGAGCCCTATCTCCAGGCCTATCAAAACTACCCATTTAACAGTGAGTTTAAGTCCTGGTCTGGAAGGTCTACAGCACTAAGCAACGTACCAGATAAGATCTTCTCATTCAGAAAAGATATCGATATTTACGTGTTCATTCTAAAAAAAACCAATTCACTGGTTTCTAATTTAGGTGCCTTTGTGGCGAAGATTGCCCGGCCCAAAAATCGAGCTTTCTCTATCCGCTTTACTGACTTAGCAGTCGTCACTCACATAGACGGCAAACCTAATTTAATTTTCCAAGTGGCCAACACTCGGCCCAGCCCACTGACCAGTGTCCGCGTGTCGGCCATCCTCTACCAGGAGAGGGAGAACGGCGCGCTCCACCAGACCAGCGTGGACTTTCACCTGGAGGGCATCAGTTCTGAGGAATGCCCCTTCTTCGTCTTCCCACTGACCTACTACCACTCCATTGTACCGTCAAGTCCTCTGGCGACCCTGCTCCAGCACGAAGAACCTCCCCACTTTGAATTAGTCGTGTTCCTGTCGGCAATGCAGGAAGGCACCGGGGAGATCTGCCAAAGGAGGACGTCTTACCTCCCCTCCGAGATCATGTTACATCACTGTTTCGCATCTCTGCTGACCCGAGGCTCCAAAGGGGAGTACCAAATCAAAATGGAGAACTTTGACAAGACTGTTCCTGAACTTCCAACTCCTCTGGTCTCCAAGCGCCCAAACAGGACTGACCTGGACATCCGCATCAATGGGCAAAGCATTGACAATTTTCAGATCTCTGAAACAGGACTCACCGAGTAAGGTCTTTGATGGGTCCCTATTTTGAACGTACGGCATGTACCAGCCAGTTCTGCGGCTACCCTCCCTTCATCCTGTTTCACTCTTTTCCCGATGCTCAGTACATCTCTCCGAATACATCGTAGTGATCAAGCCTCTGCCCATAAAAACGGCCAAGCGAAGAATACTGTGGGAATGTGACATTTTACTTGACAAGATTTCATCTGTGCTTATCTGCTGGAATCAGTGCATTTCAACATCAAAGAAAAACAAGTGATGTCGGTAAACTTAGAAAGACGTGGTAATAAAGTGACGGTATAGAAAGGAAGATGGACAGTGAAGTTTAACACAGCTGAATCTAAGAAAGCCCGTCCAAGGTCTCATTTTCCTCCACAAGCTGAAGCGGCCGCCCAGTTTCAAACAAGCTCCCTGGGTAGAATGATGCTTTCACAGTATTTAATGAGCATCTTTTAAAACTGTTGTGTTTTCAAGACAACCAAGATCATCCCTTTGGTTCTTTTTATTACGAAACTGAGCATTAGTCCCTACATTTTTGACAATTAAGACCAAAAATTCCAACAAGAAAGGTAAAAGAGAGATTTTTACATAACTCAAAAAGCATTTAAGCATGACGCTCAAACACAAGCATATCTCCAGTATTTGTGGAAGAAAAATAAACTGGAAATATAAAATAAAAAAAAATAAAAAATAAAATGGAATATATAGGCTAGGTGATATGAAACTCTAAAACTACCCTACATAAGATTTTGTTTTAAAATTATAATTATCTATCATCTGCATGACTTCTAACCTAAATAAAATCACTCCCTTCCTACCTATGACCCTGATACATTCAATGGTATCAGAAGCCACAACAGTGCTAAATAACCTGGTAAATGTACATATATTTAAGGTTTTGTAGATATAAAGGTTAAGTTAGATAAAATTTAACTAGGAAAAAGTCTCCAATACGGCAAAAAATAATTTAGGCAACAAAGTATTTTCAACCCCAAATTCCTGTTTCCAACTTCAAATAGCTTTTTCTATAAACATAAAATGAGTGTTTATTCACCAGTAGGAGGCTGAACTAGATAAACCCTATTATGTCTTTCCAAATCTAATACTCCATGAAAATTATGCTTTCTTTGCTTCATTTTTTAATTTTATACGTATGAAAATCAACAATTTTTCCTTACCTCCAATTTAAGAATATCCTTAAATCCATGAAGACTAAAATTTCAAAAAAAAAAAATTTTGTTTTTAAATCAAACTGTCCTCCAAGAAAACAAGAACCAAGTCACCCTATCAGGTTTCAAATAGATTTGTGGCTGCTCTTTTCTGAAATTTCCCTTATCCAGGTTTCTGTGGGAAAAGGAAAAGAGGAACCCTTGTCCACTGGTGATGACCAAGGCAGTGATCATCTCTCGAAACAAATACCAGCCGAATAAAGGCGAGCGGTCGCGAGGCAAGGAGAAAGGCACCACGGCTAGTCACACTGTTCTACTCTCTGACCAAGAGGAAAAGAAAATCAAGAACAACTCTGAGTGACCTAAGCCTGATAACAGCAGAAGAATACCGAGAACAGAGAAACTTAATCATTGTGAACTTTGGCTGTTTGGAAATCTTAGGAATTCTGAAGTACAAGCCAGCCCGACCAAGCGACTTCTTTTGAGCCCAAGACTGTAATAACACATGTAGATGCAGAATTCTTATTTCTCTAATAAAGTAACGAGATTCACCTAACCTGTGAAAATAAAGTAGTACTGAAGATTTACATGGTATGTTTCCTTCCTAACGCTTCTACATAACTGGCTAGACCACACACCGCTTTAATTAAGTGCAGCTGCCCACAGGGGCACAACAAGAAAGAGCAAGACTTGCAAGCGAGTGTCCCGAGAGACATGGCCTAGTCCCCACCCAGCTGCAGAGTCTCACAGCTGTACTGATCTACACAACCACCGGGCTAGACAGCTAGACTGCGGCACACCCCTCCGTAGGCCGCCCCTACAAAACTGTGGGCTTGCTCATGCTACTTAATTAACGTTTCACAAACAGCTAGATTAAAAAATGCAAACAGAAGTTTTGTTTCGGAGGTTAAGCAGCTTCTGGAAAACACCGTTCATGATTCTATCACTTTAAAGAATCACAGTTTGCAGGCGGACAATTAAGCTTCCTGCAAAGACACTATTATCCTTTCGGGAACCGGGAATGCGAAGGGGAAGGGGGGCTGATGGCAGGTTGAATGGCACCACCCCCTCCTGGCTTCGCACGCTCACTAGCCCGGGCCGCCCCAGAGTTCAGCGATGGGGTCTCCAACACATGCCAGGAAGACCAGGCTGAGACCAACTTTAAAAGTGCTTTGGAAAAACAAAGCAGGAAAGCATGACATTCCCAACAAACTGGAAATTAGTCACCATTAAGAACCAGAAACCCTAGTGTTATTTAGCTACAAGTCATATTCCCAACTACCACCAGCAGTCTAAGAACCAAGTGCTGTTATGTCTAATTCAAAGTATTTGATTAGGATAATTGGCATCACGCTGAATTTAACCCACTGGTCTCATCTGGCTTTTATTAATTTTTTTGGTGTTCTTTTCATTTCTGCTTCACAGACCCAAAGCTGATGCCCTCACCTCTAGCCCCCGGGGTAATCCATTCCCACAGAACAAAAATGAGGATTCCAGTATCATAGGCTTCTAATGCCTCAGCTCTCCCCTTGGGTATTCACTGGGTGAATAATTCCTTTGTCTGTAATCCTACTCCTTTCTCTCTACCTAGGAAGCAAACACACGCCACAAACCCATCTAACTTGATAAAATACAGTAAATGACTCTCAAACCGCTAGTAGTCAGTTTTGCAGGAGGAGGAGCTACACCAAAGGGTGTTCAGGGGCTACTCTGCGCAACCTGGGTTTCACACCTGGAGACCATTCAGTGCTTCAATCAAATCCCAGCCTCTCAAACGAAGCATGCTCCCTAGAGTCCCCAACCCCCGCCCCCCCCCGACGAATATTCAAATTATCTTAATTTCATGGCACAGGACATGTCACAGCTGAATCAACGGATCAGTGTGCCCCAACAAACTAGCCGAGCACTGATATTCTGAAAGAATGAAAATTGCAGTAATAACTGTTTCTCAATTGGGGTGTTGGGGGGGAGGGGGGCGGAGGTTGGAGAGGGGCTGGGAACACGGAGACACCTAGCCCAGCTGCTTGGGTTGGACGATTCAATGCTTGGGCTGGTAACGCAGTGCTCCTAGGGCCACCAGGGCCACCCCAGCAATTCCTGGGGCCCCAGGCCCACATTGTGCAGTGCTCACCAACTGACTAGCGGGCATCCAGCCCTTTCTGCTACCTCTGCAATCCCAGGCTACAATGTTTCTCCCCCCCCCCAAAAAGAAAAAACAAAAGGTCAAACTCACTAGTACCACACCCTCCCCCCACCCCACGATGTTTGGAACTACACCCTGCAGTGCTCAGGGATCGCTCCTGAGAAGGATCAAACTGGAATCGGCCACAAACAAGCGCTTTAGCTTCCGTACTATTTCTCTGGCCAAATTTCTCAATACTCTTAACCATTTCTCATCAACTTAGTTTTATGGAACTCACCTACAGAGGCCAAGGGGAAAAAAGCCCTGATAAAGGGTGGCTGAGGAAATTGCTCCAGCTGGATTAGGATCGCTAAAATAAAAATGCCATGAAACCCTTCATTGATCCTTCCCCCACTGGAGGAAAGAATCAAATGTATCTGTTTTTAATAGACTAATCAATGTAAGTAAATCTATGTTAAGTACCAATTTATTCTCATGAAAAGGGAACACTGCTTTTTCCAAGGCAACCCAAGTCAAATTAAAAACTTGCACTAAGAGCTTCCTCCTTACCCATTAAATGCATACAGATCAAGTCTAATTCCGCTTTCACATGACTGCTAAGCAAATATTTGTGGAGAGTGACCCTACAAACCCTCTTCCCTCCACTCCGGCCTGCCCAGTCTTGCCTCTACGTAAACAGTCCCATTTCTTTCGTGCATTCTCCTGCCAGAGAAGCTTCAAAGGTGCCAGGGTATGGACCCTTTAAAGAGGTGAGTGGCCCTGGAAGTAAACTCTCCCCAACAGGACACGCCAACGAAGCCTCGGGCTTAACGAGGACACTTTAGTTCTGGCAGATGTTCTGTTTTTGTTATTTGTGGTGCCCGAAATCGAACCCAGGTCTCTTACGCATGCCAAGAAATGTATTTTACCACTGAGCCACTTAGCCAACAGCTAGTCTTAAAAACATTCTAAGTGACCACTACTGCCCGACGGTTCCTGCTTCAGCAGTCAGCTCCATCACCACGATGCTGTTATACCGTGATTCCATATTTTACATGTCACAGAAGGCTACATTTCCTGTTGTTAAATTCCTTTTTGATTCCTCCCCCCCCAATTCTGATACCAAATTATAATAGTTCCACTCTACAGCTAACCCTTTAAAACGCTGGAAAATGATCAAAGGATTATTTATTTAGCAGCACAAGGCTACTATGAGTAAGAACTCAGTAACTGTTGAATAATGAATCCATACACTTTTATTCCTTAAAAATAAAAAAGGCATTATCACCTCTACCCACCATGTAACTGTTATGTCTTTGGGCATTTAAATTACCCATTATCTTCTGATTCCAAACCTTGCACTCTCTAAATCTCCTTACCTTTCCATATCCACTGGCCAACGTATTAAAAGAAAGATGGTAGCAGAGATCCTGACAAATGATCTAAAACATGAATCAAGTCGTTCAACCTGCAAAAGCTCACCTACCCAGTCGGGCCCAAGCTTCCGAAGGCCACAGTCATCTCCCGACATCTGTTGTCCCCGCGCCCCAGGACCCACCCCTCCTAGCTCATACTGAAGAGACTGAAGCTGGCCTCAAACATTCAGTGCAGGCAGTTCTGCTAAGTCCCAACCTAGGCCCCTTGATGGCTTTTTTCTGTTCGCTGTTTTTTCCCTGGCTGGGGGTGGGTTGAGCCTCACCCAATAATGCTCAGGAGATAGTCCTGCAGAGATTAACCCCGGCCATGAGCAGGAGACCATAAACAGTTTCAGGGAGAGCAACAGGGTTGGTGGGATACTAAGCAAAAACTTTCATCCCTGCACCATTTCTCTCAGTCTCTTTATCTCCCCCCTCACCGCACCCCACCCCCCTGGGACCAAGGGCAACACCAAGCAGAACTTAGGGCTTACTCCAGGTCCTGCACTCAGGGATCTCTCCAGGCGGGGCTCAGGGGACCATCTGGGGTATCAGGGATGAAACTTGGGTCGTCAACTGCATGCAAGCAAGTGTCCTACCCACCATACAGCTTTTCTTAAATATAAAAACAATTGATGAGTCCCAATGCCATGCCAGAAAATAACTTAAATCACTAGCACATTAAAATGATATGATGCAGACTGTGATAGCTACTTATAATCACCTGTAATGTTGAAAACAATTTGCAAATTGCTCTGAGAATATTAAGATGCAGTATGTTATTATTATTAGATACAAATGATCAAACTTTTAGATATGATCATAGAGTAATTTTTTGGTAATTCTAGGAATTGAGAATATGTATGCTAACGTCCATAATTCTGAGAATACCATGAACTGACATATTTTTCTTTCATGTTATGCCTACTAGCGGTCCATAATGTAAGCACCATTAGTCAGAAGCACGACCTGTCACTATAACATAAATTACGATCAGTTCACCAGACACTGAAGCCTTGCTTGATGTCTTATTACCTTTCTCCTATTTAGTCCTATATAGTTTATTTTGAATGTTCTCATCTCAGGAGAAAAAAATGTTATACTACAAAAAATCGAAAAAATGTCTAAATTAATAATGGTCAAAGTTTCAGCCTTGCTGATATAAAGCAAACATTTTACCATCTTCCCTAATTTTTCTCACCTGTGAGATGCTAACTGCACTGGAATAGGAATTATTAGATCTGTTCTTAACTTGTATTTTCAGTAAACAAAGCAGCCTTAATAAAGAGTATCTGCTTTACAAAGAACACACAAAATGAATAAAGAATCCTCAGCTGCCTTCGTGGTCCTGGTTTCTCATACTACAGCCTTCCGGCAGTCAGAGAGCTGCCATCAGGCAATGCTGTAACTCCACCTACTGGAGAGGTTCAGGCTCCTCTTGCCCTGCATAGAACACAGAGTGCAAGGGGCCTGTGGGGAACAGCTTCCAAGTTCAGGGAAAAAAGACTTCAAAACAGTAACGAGCCTTACCTACATCTTTTCGTCCTGGCTTTTCAAAACGTCTGTCTCCCCTAGAAAAAAAAAAAGAAAAAAGAAAAAGAAAGAAAATCTTCAACGAAAATTGAAAATAACATCGCCAATCCACGAAACATGATTTTCTACCATTCTCTAGAAGAATTCAGTCTTTTTTTAAACTATTAAACTATGAAATAAATGCACAACTGTTGCCTAACATGTGGGTCAAAGAAAAGCACACAGACTGGTGGAGACACACATCTATGATCATAGCTGCCGAGAGCTGGTTTCTCCCCACCAAGAAATGAGACACTTACAGTACGGTTTTCTGGGCAGCTCTTAGAATGTATTTCCCACATCAGTAAAAACCATCCTACTCTGAAGGGTTGCAGAGTATTAACTGGGGGTACCTGACTGCATTAAAAGGCACTCAGGACTTGGTGTGGCTTCCTATTATGCACACCACACCGAGCACACTTGCGCCACTAGCCTGGCTCGCTTTGAAATACTTCGTATCATCTCCAAACACAGAGAAGATGCTGTAATAGCAACAACCAATAAAATGTGAATGCATTCCAATAAATGCTAAGTTAACAGCTACGCTGGCACTAACAAACTCCATTACTGACTTCGAATGCTCATTCCTTTCGGGACCGAGAGGCAGCAGAGGGGAGGGTGCTCTCTGTGCACACGATAAACCCCGTCTGATCCCTGGCACCACCTAAGGTCCCCTGAGCCCCACCAAGAAAAGCTCTGAGCACCACTAGGTGTGGCGAAAGACAAAAATAAATCTTACTACCTTAAGTAGGGGCCATTTTTACTGATGTGTGTGTGTGATGGGGGGGGGGGAGGTGTGCAGGGTGCGCAGAGCAGCAGCACCATGAGGAAGGCGCTTGCCTGGCATGTGACCATCCTGATTTCATCCCCTGAACACCAGATAGGGCCCTGAGGCCACCAGGAGTGATGTCTGAGTGCAGAACCAGGAGTCAGCCCTGAGCACCACCCCCAAGACAGTAAATAAGTCTGGAAGGGCTAGAGTGGAGCCCCACACCCAGCAATGCTCAGGGGGCTTTAAACAACCGGTGCTGGGGACGGAACCAGGAGGGTAAGTGACATCCAAGGCAGGGCGCTTTTCCCCTCTGGTCTCTAGCTCTGGCCTTTCACTTGAAATTTTCTAACATAAAACTTGATGCTCAAACCTCAGCACCCAAAAGGAGAGAGAGAACAAAAGGGAATGCCCTGCCACAGAGGCGAGATGGGATTGGGGGGCTGGGATCACTGGTGGTGGAGAAGGGGTACCGGTGGAGGGATGAGTACTCGATCATTGTATAACTGAAACCCAAGCACAAACATTTGTAAGTCTACAACTGTACCCTCATGGTGTTTCACTAATAAAAATTTAAAAATTAAAAAAAAAACCAAAAAAATGCTTGATGCTCAACAAAATGAACAGCATTTGGGGGGGAGGGGTTGGGGGGCTATACACAGTGATGTTCAGGGGCCCGGGGGCCCATGTGCTGTCAGGAATCAAACACAGGTTTCCTGCATGCAAACACTGGCTGTTCAAAGTATCTTCCAGGAGGGGCAGGTAGAAGGAGAGCGGAGGGAGATGGAAAAGTAAGGGGAGAAGGAGAGAAAGGGGAGCAGGGGGAGAAAGGGAGAAGGGGGAGGGGGAGGGACGGAGGAGGAGGGGGAGGCTAGCAGGGGAAAGGAAAAGGGGGGAGGGGAGGGGAGGGGAAGGAGAGGACGGGAGAAAGAAGGAAGGGGAGAGAAAGGGGGTAGGGAGGGACGGAGGAAGGGAACTTGTGGCACCAGGAACTGAACCCAGGGCCTCAGAACCACCAGGCAAGTGCCCTAGGGCTGGACTGGGAAATTGAGTTTTTTGACACCAAGAAGCTTACATCAAGGTTTGGATCTTTCAGTTACCTTTCCTCCCAGCTCTGCGACCTATGCATTTCCCTGCTACCTCCACGACCAAACACACCCTCTACTTCATCAAAGCTTCTTTGGTAGAAACCACATTCACCTCTGCCTCTGCCTGAAAATAAGAAAACAGAACACATGATAGTCAGCTGTCAATATCTGGCACGTTTTCAACACCAAAGAGTCATCTTTGCAGTTCTGCCTCTGCACAAAGCAGGAGGTCTACATCTAAGTCATTTCCTGAGGGGCCTGATGGGTAGTTACCGGAGACAAATGATGGCACTAAAATAACTAGCAAGTAGCAAGCCCATAGGGAGTTGAAAACAAACCAGAAAACGAACATGAGTTTATGCCATTGGTACAATTACAGTTCTGAACAAGAAACAGCGTTAGTGACAAGTTCTTTCACGATTTTAAAGTTTAAGAGTAAAATTCTAAGGCCGGGAGCCAGAGAGATAGTACAGCGAGGAAGGCACTTGCCTTGCATGTGGCCGACCTGGGTTCGATCCCCGGCACCCCATTTGGTTCCCCGAGCCCAGCCAGGAGTGATCCCTGAGTGCAGAGCCAGGAGTAAGCCCTGAGCACCACCGGGTGTGGCCCAAAAACAAAAAACAAAAACAAAAAACAAAACAAAAAAAGATCAGTAAACCATCACTGTAAAGTACTTTCTACAGAATTATTTCAACAAAAATAGAAGAATTGGAGATTCAAGAAGATAATGTACAAAATCCAAGCACAGATGCTGAATGACTTTTCTAATCCCAGAGAAAGGACAAATTGATAGGGTCAACATGAAACTGTCAATTTGATAAGTTTCCTGAATCTTTAAGGCCAGAGATACGGCTCAGCGGGAGAGCACATGCCATGGGTTTGATCCTGGGCACCACCTCCCTCCTCTGCAAAAAGAAGAAGAAAAAAAAGTATGCGGCAGCAACCAAGTCACTCTTTCCCTTTTGCTAGAATCATAAAAAACAAAAAGAAAACTTGAGACTGAATTCAAAGCACAGAGGTGGTAAGGGTACGTGTATGAAGGGAGACAACGGTTTAGTATTTCAAGAACAAAACTGGCCTCTAGTAAAGGCAATTTTGGTTAGGCCAAACCAAACTGTTAACTAGTTAACTAGTTAACTAGTCTACCCTAACAATCATGCAAATGTGCAGTTCTATGCAGGTAAAGATGTTCTTATTTTAAAAACTAGAAACAACTGCAATTTTGAAAACCAGAAACAACCTAATAAAAGTTTGGGAAAATAAATTCTGAGAGAACAACTGAGTGAAAACACTGTGAAGTCACAGAGGTTAAAGTGCTGGTCTTAAGAGAAATATCCATTATCCTGTTGAATAACAAGCACTGAACAGCACATGCACATAAAATAATCTTATTACCTAAAGGACACAGATGCAAGAGCTGGGGGTAGGAAGAAAAGACATGTAATTCCAGATCCAGGACAGAATGCCCTGTAGGCTTCCTGCACAAACAGAAAGCTACCCAACTAATGAAGGCAACCTCGCTCTGATAAGCAGCTGGAAAAATGGAGCAATGAAGAAAGGAGAGGACAGGGGTATCTGGACCTATTTATACCTAGATAAAACCTTAACCATCAAACATGGATGAATTTCCCCTACACAGTAAAATGACCAAAAAGTGAAACGATACATGAGCTCGATCTTGAAGAGACCATTAAGTATCCTTCAAAACTTAAATATAAATGGGCAATGAATAATTTTACATACTTAGGTAGCAATTCTTTTCCTTAGTTGTAAGTGATCACCAAGTGCCTATGAATTTTTAGTTGCACATGTTCTATTTTACATGAATTTCCTATCAAATGCAAAACTAAAGAACAGAACGGTACATAAGTGATCTTGACTCCCCAAAGTATCTATTTCCTCTTCTGTAAGCTGAACATGAGGACAAAGGCGAAACTGTGCGCATCAGTGAGGTAGAGCCAGACCCACAGCACAATGGGTAGGGTGTGTACTTTGCTGCTGATCAAGTTTGGTCCCCAGCATCCTATACCACCAGGATCACCCTGAGCTCCACTAGGAGTGATCCCGGTGTGCAGAGTCAGGAGTAAGCCCTGAGCACCAGTGGGTGTGGCCCAAACAACAAACAAACAAACACAAGAGATCAAAGTAAGGATCAGAGAGACAGAAGGGGGCTCAGTCCTTTGCCTGCAGTATGCAGTCACCTCTGGTTCAGTCCCTACCCCTGGACTACTGCCAAGGGTTGGTCACCCCTGAGCACACAGCCAGAAACAGCCTCAGAGCACATGAGCATGACCCATGCCTTCCCACCCCCTTAGGAGGAGAATTAAACTCCCAGTTTCAGGAGTCCTCTTCTTAGGAAATACATACACTGTACTGGAGACCCTAACACAACATCATACAACAATTTGAGGGGGAGGGCGGGCTTCCCAAGCAGTGCTCAGGAAGCCCAGGGTGCCATGCTGCTAGGCTTAACAATTCTCAGGAGGTCACGCGGCGCTGGAAGCGAACCGGGCTGCGTACAGGATAGGCATGTGCTTCCTGCGGTGCATTATCTTCCAGCCTCCTGTAATACCATTTTTTGTTTTGTTCTGGGCCACACCCAGCAATGCTCTGAGCTTGCCCCTGTCCGTGGCTCAGGAATGACCTCTGCTGGTGCTAGGCATCTGACTGGGGTCGGCTGGACGGAAGGCTAGCACCTTAACTTGTGTACTCTCTCAGGCAAACTTTCACGTAACACGGGACGGATCCACAGCAATGACTTCTCCATTGGAAGGAAACATGCTCTGTGGCTTTGCAGAACAATTTCCTCTGGAAGATCATTGAGCACCTTGAAAACCTGTTTCAGTCTGAAAACTGTAACAATGAAAAACTGTCTTCAAAAAACAGAAAATCATCTTCAAGTTTTTAAAGACTAGCAAATTTACATAAAATGTCTTCTGCCACTGATGTCTAACATTGGCACTGGTTCTTCATCAGACTAAAACTTTTTATAAGTAGACACATAAGATTCTAGAGTTTTCCAGTTGTGAAACATAATGCAGACCCCAAAGTACAAAGCCCACAGTAATTACCTACCAATGTGAAGACAGTATTTACAGGCCTGTTCTACTGTCTGAGACTACATCCTATTCTTGGGGACATTAAAATGTACTTTTTTTTTGCGGGGGTGGGGAACTGCCAGGAGCTTAACCTAGGGCCTCACTCACACATACATAGTAAGGGCTCTACCACTGAAATGTACTTCTAGCCCTAAAATGTACTTCCTTTTAATGACAAAAACAGTGGTTGACAGTTTTATGATATGCTTTTTCATTAACCATCCTAACCAGAAGACAAAGATGACAATTACATTGTTTTGCTTTTTTGTTTTAATTGCACAAGTTCCTAAGTCTGGGAGTCAATTATCTTTTCAAAATTTCCTTATGTTGGAAAGGACCAAGAAAATCATCTAATATCCGTCCATGCAAAAAGGAGTCACAATAATCGCTTAAACAGTAAGTTAATTTAAGCTGTAAGTAAGGTAAAGTAAAGTAAAGTAAAGTAAAGTAAAGTAAGGTAAGTAAAGTAAAGTAAAGGTAAAGGCCCTCCCGTTGATTATCGATTTGCTCGAGCGGGCCCAGTAACGTCTCCATTGGAGACTTTGTTGTTACTGTGTCTGGCATATCGAATACTCTCAGTAGCTTGCCGGGCTCTCTGAGAGGGGCGGAGGAATCGAACTCGGGTCGGCCATGTTGGCCGCGTGCAAGGCAAACGCCCTAGGAACTCAAATCACAGACTGGTGGACTTTTTTGAGGGGGGGTCTCACCCAGCAGTGCTCAGGGCTTACCCCTGGCTCTGCGTTCAGGGATCACTCCTGGTAGGCCCAGGGAGCCGTATGGGGTTCCTGGGATCAAACTTGGGTCTTCAGCTTACCTGCTGTCCTACTACCCACCCAGACTGGTGGGTAGTCTTACGAGACTGACAAAAGAATCACAGAAAATGATACGAGAAATATTTTTCATAAAGTCAGTTCATTCCCTTGATTAAATTCTTTCACATCAATATGCTAAGTCACTATTTACAATATTTATTATTTTTCCACAAGGTTGCTTAAATTCTGAATGTGAGTCCTCCAGTATGGCTGGGCGTGGCCCCCAAGCAAAATGAAACCAAAGCAATTGTGAGAGCAGGAGACAGTACAGCGGGCAGGGCGTTTGCCTTGCATGTGGCCATGCTGAATCTGATCCCCGGTACCACATGTGGTCACTAGAGTCCTGTCAGGACTCTTATGATCGCTGGAGTTGGCCCTGAGTACAGGCGAGAGTGTGGGCCCTAAACCAAGAGTGAATAAACTCCGGATGGGAACCCTAACCTACGGGAAATCCTACACTTGTTAAAAACAACAACAGCAACAAAACCCACAAAGCACAGAAATTTTTGTTTTGTTTTAGTTTCGCCTGATTGTGCTCCAAGACGAAAGCTAGCTCTCAGCCCACTGAGCTACTCATCCCTCCATGTGGATTTTAAAGCCTGTGTAGACGGGCTGGTGGGTACTTGCTGCACCTAAGCTGATGGGTCACTGGAAGGACACAAACCGCTGGCTCGGAGTCACATTTCTTGACTATTAACATCTCTTTATCTTGTCTTGACCTAAAAAGCACCAGAGGCAAAACTGCTGTGAAGAGCCTCTCCTTCCTTCCTGCCAGCACAACACAGAAACACGCGAGAAAACTCACGTGACCGCCAGCTCCAGCCAGCTCCAGAACTGCACATCACGGAGCAGCAACGCTCCGCGCCCAGGCCTCCCGCACTCACAGGCCCAAGTCTCACCACCCAGCCGTCTCTCGGAAAGCGTTTTGATCTTCTGCTTACTTTTTGAAAAAGAGGATTCTAACAAATTTTACAAATAAAACAACTGTTCCGAGAGACTGATGGCAAGAGAAAGCACATACACAACCCTGTAACAGCACTCCACCTGCAGGCGGAGAATCTCGGCTTGCCCTTTTTCACTCAGACCTGCAGATCTCTTCACGGGAACGTGCGATGGAACAGAGCGTATGAGGACTAGGTGCAAGTCACACGATTAGTAAGACACTACTTCAATACTTCTTAAATACTCCAAGTTTGTGCTCATGCCAATCTGGAAGGTGTGATATGTGGAGAGAAAGGCCTCTGTCCTTTCAAATACCCAATTCTTCCATTTCTACAGCATCTTTTCAATGAAACTGTAAGATATCTTTAGATTTTTGCTAGATTTAAACTACTTGGAGGCCAAGTGCTCAGATAAATACTTGTGTTACAAATAGCAAGAATGCCTTTAAATAGCATAAAGTCAATAAACCCCAAACAGGAAGCAAGTATCAGAAGAAAATAAAAATAAGAATTCTTAAGAACAACAAAACAACACTGGAAGTCTCAGAGAATGACTGATGCTGGACCCTCCACATCCCCAAAGGCAACGGCACAATCCAGGGGGACATACCCAGAGCACCTCAGACACAACTGGGGAGTGCTTTCTGTTTGCTGAAGGTGAAGAGTTGAGTCATCCCCCCTCCTCCGAAAAAGAGGGACTAGGCCAAGTAAGTCTGGAAACCTCTGGGTTACATAAATTCCTACTGCTAATCATTTTTTATTCTACTTTCCGTTATAGTTCAAACATTGGTAAGACCTTTCATTTAATTTTTTTTGGGGGGGGGAGAAGGGAGGTGCTCAACACCTGGAGGTGCTCAGGTCTCACTCCTGACTCTGCACTCAGGAATCGCTCCTGGTGGTGTTCAAGGGACCATACGGGGAGCGGGAGATTGAACCTGGGTCAGCGCCCTACCCACTGCAGGCCCCAATAAGACCTTTTTCAACGAAAGCCTCTCTGTGACTGGGACCCTCCTGGCAGTGACCTGCCTCAGGAAACACAGGCCAGAGAGGATCACAGGACTCTGGTGCTGCACTAGCAGCCAAGGGACTTCCGGAACCTCCGGCGCCTAAAGTGCCAGGCTCCCTGGGGACAAGGACTGTGGCGAAGGATTTACCAAAATTGATTAGAAAATTCTAGAATGCTTCACGCTCCTCCTTCTGAACGAGAAATAATACTGCAATGCTCCAAACCCAGGACTGTAGAGCGGCTAGCTCGAGAAACGGGTCAAAAATCAAATATTCAGCCTATCTGGTAGGCAGTTCCCTCTGAAAGAGCAGCTTCCGTCCTCCTCCACGATTCCATGCACACTCACCTCTCCCTCTTGAAGAACTTCGACCTCTGGGAGCCCCCACCACCGTTCCTCCTCCTCCTCGTCCCGTCAACCTCAGGACAGCAGCACTATTTACAGACATGGAAAAGTTTCTCTGTCGAGAAAGGAAAGGAAAAATGAGCGGAATGAAACAGCACGTGGCTCTTCCCATCTCCCAGGGCATCTCATTACTAGGCGCCAGGGGAAACCACGGACACACGGCATGCTACTTAAGACCTGATTTTAGCTGAAAATTTCGGATGAACGTTTCCCATCAGCAAATAATGAAACCCAGCCCCTCGCAGGATGCCAGGCTCTGTGAGGAAGCACCAAGGCGACTCTATCAGAAAGCAGACACGCCGCATGGGCCAAAATAAGAGAAAACTCGGTCGAAGATCAGGTTTCAGAGGGTTCCTCACTGGAAGGTAAAAAGTTCTGATTCAAGTGTAGTATAAAAGAGCATTGATCACTTTTGTCTTATTCGGCTCACTAGTGAAAGTAACACCAAAACAATGTAATAGAACTGCAGAAAGAGAAGTGGAACAAAAGACGAGGGCCAGGATGAAGATGAGGGCAGCTTCTAAGGTAGGGAGCCAGCACAATTTGGAGAGAGGTGGTGCACTTAGGGCAGAGGAGGGACCAAGATGGATGACAGGGATAGTTGGAAATGATCCCTCTCGATGCCAAGTGAATACTGAAAGGAAGTAAAGTAATAATACGCCTGACGAGCTTTCAGTAACAGGAACAGTATTTTGAACCACAGTATTTTGAACCACTGGGCAGCCTGACAAGCAACCGTTCAGTCAAATCACATGGCCATAGCCTCAGGACATGACATTCTTACATCTGTGCAAACAGAAGCACAAAGACCTTTAACTGCATCCCTGTCGACCAATAGGAACTAATTTGGTGGTGGTCTGCAGTAATCCATCCATCCAACCTTCCATCCACCCATCCATCCTTCTTTCCATCCTTCCATCCACCCATCCTTCCTTCCTTCCTTCCTCCCTCCCTCCCTCCCTCCCTTCCTTTCCCGTCTGCAGTAATTTTGTACACCAATAATATAAAATTACATACTATTGGAACCGTACTATCTAAACCATAAGAAGCTTTCTTTAAATCATGATCATAGTAAGTCTACAACTGTACCTCACAGTGTTTCACTAATAAAAATTTAAAAAAATAAAAAACTTTAAAAAAAATCATGATCATCTATGAGGGGAATTCAATGCAGCTGTTAAAAACTGAAAGAACTACTTAGTCGGCTGAAATATACTGAACTTCTAATATTTACCCATCTTTACTTCATAAAAACTTATTTCATATAACATTAAAAGAGTTTCTCTAAAGGACAGGACAAATTTCCCACCATGTCGCACTGACTATGGCACTCACCAATGTTGCACATGCCTGCCCTCTACTAGATTAAGAAAGATCATATTTAGATTTAGATTTAGATTAAGAAAGATTATATTTATTCCTAGCTTGCTCAAGGCTTTTTCTATATTTTCAATAATGAATTTACATTATTTATATTAGTTAAAAATCACTCAGTAATTAACCATCACTAACTTGTATTGATTTATGAGATAACTTTGTTATACGCCTGCCAAGGGGGCAGGATGGGGGATGGAGGGAACCAGGGGACATTGCTGGATGGAAGTTCACACTGGGGATAGGACTGGTGCTGGAACCCTGTCGGCCTCAAACAACACTATGAGGAGCAATTTTGTAAATGACAATGTCATAAAAATTAGAAGAATTTTTTAACAAAAAAAACCTTATTTCACATGGTCAATTTCATATATGTATTACAGCTGGAAGACATAAAGCACTCGCTGGAGGAAGGAGCATACAGAGGCTGGAACACATTCGTAGGCTAATTCTGAATGCTGAGCACATTCATACACTCAACTGTCTCATTTTCCATATTTATATGTGGGAAGAAATATTTATAGCAGATTTAGTATAGTATATTTATAACTACGTCATAAGTTATTACAAGTGCTTGAACATCAAAGAGCTTGGAATAGGGACTGGCACAGAGCACAAGCTAAAGCAACATTTTTCGTTATCTCCTAAGTAATTGTTCAGGTAAACAATTAAGTATACAACTGTATACACAACATACCACCATTTGTGATGTGTTTAAAGGAATACATAAAATATATAAATACCTCGAGCCATATTTGAAACCCCTGGAAAAGAACACGGGAAAATGGAAATGGAGGCTATCTGGGGAAGAATAGGTAGTTTCAGCGTTCGGGTGACTGGGGTAGACAGGCAGGTAGCACAGGGGTTAAGGCACTGGTCTTACAACCAGGGCACCATCCCCTGTAACACACATGTCCCCCAGGCACCTACAGGAGTGACCCCTGCACAGCCCGGAGTGGGGCATGAGGGCCGCCATGTGTGAACCCAAAACAAGAGTCTGGGTGAGTACCAGACTTGATTTTTCAATATGCACGCTCGTGGAAATTTTTATGTACGTACATTTATTATCTACTCAAAGACAAACGTTTTATGAAGTAATATTTTGATGTCAAACAGATGTCATGCACAGATCTGTGCTTCTCAAACTAAAATCTACAGTCAAGGAAAATCAAAAGAGCAATGGAATGTCTTTAAACATTAAGTTTTTCCAGAAATATTTCACTCTATAATTTTACACAGATATGTATGTAGAGAGAGAGAACACAAAATTAACTTTGATTTTAAAGATGAAATACGTACACCAGATAAATCCAGGAAATTTAAAGGTCTGTGGCAATAATCTATTTGATGTACAAGTAAGTATTCACCTCCCCCAAAGGAGTGATCAGGTGAGAGGTCATCAAAGCTCTAGGAACAGCCAAACAACTGCCAAAGGGGAACTGACCATACAAAGAATTCTCATGAAAATAGTCCTGAGTCCTGGGGACAGAGAGATAGTACAGGAGGTAAGGCACTGGCTGTACATGTGGACAATTCCAGTTTGGATTCCCGGCAACACACATGGACCACCCTATGCAATACTAAGGGTCACTTCTACACAAGTACCAGGAACACCACCCCAGTACTCCAGGGTGTGACCCCAAAACCAAAAGAAATAAAGATATTCACGAATCTTTTGCCAGCTTTAAGTACTGCCCTATTCCAACACAGCTCACAACTAACTGGCTACCAAGAGATGGAAAATACTGAATGTATTTTAAAATGAGCGAGCCCTGCCGATCATGTCACCACAGTGTAAACACTTAAATGTCCTAGAGCTACAGGAAGCAGAAAACAGATTAATTCATTAAGACAAACTTTTGTATAAAAAAAAAAAAGGCTAGAGTGGTAATACAGTGGGGAGGCACTTACCTTGCACTCAGCAGATGGGGATTTGATCTCCAGCATCTCAGACAGCCCCCAGAGCCCTGCCAGGAGTAATCACTGAGCCAGGAGTAAGCCCTAAGCACTACCAGGTGTGCCCCCCCCCAACCAAAAAATATTTTAAAAGGCAACAACAACAACAGAGGGCCAGGAAGGTTGCTCAGGGGTTAGGGGTACATATCTAGCATATAGAGGACCTGAGTTCGCTCCCCAGCACCACATTCTTCCCTCCCCCAATTCCAAACACTATCAGGTATAGCCCTAGAGATCCATAAGCTAGAGTTGTCTGGTGGCCCTAGTAGTGCCAAGTCTAAGCAGTGACTTCTCCTGCCCCACTGGCCATATATTGTCTGAAGTGGCCTGTGTACCACTGGAATGCTGCTTGGGAAAGCCAAAAACAAGATAAACGCCCGTAGTCATTCCAGAACTCATTTTGGAGGTATGCGTACTATATATCTTCCTTTAATCTTTCTCAACTTGTTAACCAACAATTTCCATGAGGCATCTGTTGTACTATCTTTGATTTTTCAAAGGATTTGTGTAATCACTTACTACATCACAATCACAAATCATCCTGTTAATCGTCGATTGCCTCGAGCAGGCCCCAGTAACGTCTCCTTCATCCTAGCCCTGAGATTATATTCAAGGCTCTTTAGGAGAATGAGACCCATCATTGTTACTGGTATTTGGCATATTGGGTACGCCACGGGGAGTTTGCCAGACTCTGCCGTGGGGGCAGGCTACATTCAGTAGCCTGCCAGTTTGTCCAAAGTAGGAATGAGATAATAAGATGTCATAATAAGATGTCGTGCGGCCGCACGGTTCCGGGAGCTGGTTTTTATAGTCTCTGGTCTTGGCCATAGATGGGATTACACGGCGCCAGAGGGCCAGTTGGTGGGTGTGACCCCCGCCTACAGGAGTCTGGAGAATCTGGGTGAAGGATGCCCAGTCCCAATCCGAGTAGGCTTGGAGATCTCGGCCCCAGAACCCGCGTGACTTTGTCCCTCTGCCAGTACCTTCATGTGTGCGGAGAGTGGTCTCAGCGTGGTGGTGGCTGGTCCTGGAGGTCTTTGGCTGCCGGAGCCCTGGTCGGGGCGGGGAGGAAAGCTCAACCCGCTCCCCTCCAAGGGGCTCCAGTGAGGGCAGCCAGGCGTGGGGGCAGGCACTGGTCTTCTCCGGGAGCTGGGTTTTATTGTTACTACATAACAATCTTAATTACAGATGATCAGCAGGGCTCATTTTAAAATACAGTATTTCCCAACTCTTGGTAGCCGTTGTTATTTACGAGTTAAAATTGTTACAGTATATTTCAGGATGATTCCGTTTCTGTCTTGGAGGCCAGGGAGACGGTTCAAGAAGCTGGAGCACACGATCTGCACGTAGAAGCCCCAGGTTTGATCCCTAGCACGATGGGATTTCCCAAGCACTGCTTGAAAAGGGACATCCCACTCTCCCGAAAGCCTGTCCTGGAAGATTCATCTCCCACATTTGTCCACAATTTAGTCTCTAATATCTACATTTCCTGAAGAAAACATAGAATCAGTAAATGCGTCTACTTTTTTTAATTTAGCAATCGGGACTGGGGTTTAGTACAGAGGTTAAGGTACATGCCTCGTATGTGCATGACCGAACTCTTGCACCAATAACCTCCTAAGAATAGACAGGTGTTGTCCAAGGGGCCCCCAAGAACCGCTGGCAGCCCTGTGGACCCAAGTGGCACAGCATCCTCAGACCCTCACACCGAACTAAGAGCCCCAC